AACTTTTATGGACAGAATTCTAGGCGCAGCCGGGGGGCGGAGGGTGTCCAGTTCGGCAGGCAGAGTATCACGTCACTGCTTTTTGCGGATGATGTGGTACTTCTAGCTTCGTCGAGCAGTGACCATCAGCTCTTGCTGGGGCGGTTTGCAGCCGAATGTGAAGCGGCTGGGATGCGAATCAGCACCTCTAAGTCTGAGGCCATGGTCCTCAGTCAGAAAAAGCTATATTGCCTTCTCCAGGTTGGAGGGGCAGTCCTGCCTCAAGTGGAGGAGTTCAAGTATCTCGGGATCTTGTTCACGAGTGAGTGTAGGATGGAACGGGAGATTGACAGGTGGATCGGAGCGGCATCAGCAGTGATGCGGACGCTTAACTGATCAGTCATGGTGAAGAAAGAGCAGAGCTGTAAGGCGAGACTCTCGATTTACGGGTCGAGCTATGTGTCAACTCTCACCTATTGCCATGAACTGTGGGTAATGACCGAAAGAACAAGATCGCGGATACAAGCGGCTGAAATGGGTTTCCTTCTCAGGGTGGCTGGGCTCAGCCTTAGAGATAGGGTAAGGAGCTCGGACACTCGGGAGGCACTCAGAGTAGAACCGCTTCTCCTCCACGTTGAGAGGAGTCAGCTAAGGTGGCTCGGGCATCTGGTTAGGATGCCTTCTGGACACCTCCCGTTAGAGGTGTTCCAGACATGTCCCACCGGGAGGAGACCTCGTGGCCTCCCGGACCAGGTGGAGGGATTATATCTCTTGTCTGGCGAACGAAAAAACGAAAACGAAAGAACGAAAATAATGTGATAATATTGTTAACAGGATATTTTATGACCACAGTAATCGTGAGGTGAAATCCCTAGTGTTTATAATGGTATTAGTTTTGGTATTGGTATTGGCAAAATGAGTTTGAACATTCAAGCATATCTGTGTTGAAAAAAATCCAACATTGTGCTTTGCTTGTTCAGACCTCAAGAAAAAACAAAAACTTTTTGACATATGAGAACTGAGTTGACACAAGTTATAGATGCTTGTCCCCTCAAAGCCTTACAACACTGCCACCAATGACGCTGCTACTCATTTACTGAGTGCACTTCAAAGTACAATAAAAAGCTTTTAATTGATATGAAACAGAATGAAATAAACATGTATCTGATCAGTAAAGCCAAAGAGATCATCAGTGACAAGAGTGACTATATGTGTATAGAAATTCTTAGGACTTAGAAACACTGCTACATGGTCGATAAGACGATTTGCAACTCATTAGAAAAAAAAGAAAAAAAAGAAAAAGCTTTTCACACATTTATGTGGGGTTTGGGGGTCCTCCGTCCATGCTGTGCATCTCCAACTACCTGTTTGCTGACTGCTGTGAGTACCAGACCATGAGAAATACTGTAGACATCATCAGTCAGCTTATCTCCTCCTCAGTGCTGGGAGCTTCACCAGAGAGTTCTTCATAGAGTTTAAGGCTGCCTTGCATTTCTTCTCTAATAGTAATCTAAAAACACTGAGAGAAACTTTTATAACAGCCACAGTCTTGTCAATTTGAGAGGTTCGGAGTTGTCATTTTGTATTTCTCTGCATTGTCGTTCTAAGGATCTAATATTTCTAAGAAGAACATTTTCAAACATTTTCAGGTGTCCAAAAATCCATTTTGACAATTTATCGATGCCCATATAATCCTTCTGAAAATTACCAAGAAGGACAAGTGCAATTTATCTGATTTCTACCTATAACGTCCCTAAATTAAAAGCTGTTTAAAAACTTTAATGCCAACGTTTGTGTCAACTAATTCATTCAAAAAAGGAAACGCCAGTGATACATGGTATTTTTCTGGATTTTGGGAATGAAGTGTTTGTATTTAAATCACTATTTGTTTTTGCTGTGTCTGTATTGTTTCTTTATTTTCTATTTCTTATGCTCTTTTATGCTGATATGGACCTGTGGCTCTGCAGTCAAGTATAGAGTATAAAGTAATGCCGACTGTAAGAATTCAATAAAGGGACTGTCACTTAAAACACAGTGTAATCCCAGGATATCATAAGTACAGTTTTTGGTCAATTAAAAAATAAGTGTTCAAGAGTGTTCCCGAAAGATGAAAATGACATCCATTTTTTTTATCCAAACTCTCAAGACACTCTTTACAGTCAGGAGAGAGAAAAGAAAAACAGAGAAGACTACATTTAAGAAGCTCAAATCAGACAGCTTTGGGTTTTGTGGTTTCAAAATAAAACACTCAAAATAACAACTTGTTTATCAAAATAGTTTGTAGCTTATCTAACAGTTTGCATTCTTAGGTTTTAAAAAAATGACAGAAGAAGACAATATTCCACCTTCAAAACCCTGCATGTCCTCCTTGCTTTGAGGTGAAGTTGTAAAAGCAAACTGTGCATCAGTGATGAACTGAGAGGAAACCACAAAGAAAAAAATATTTGGTCTATACTTAGCAAAGTGGGACTTGATCATACAGAGTGCTTTAAGTCCCTGAAAGAGAATGTTTTAAACCTTGAACACAACATATTTTATTTAGAGGCTACTTTTAAATCACTCACGGCCAAGAATGTAACAACAGATCAGTCAATTTTACAAGTTTGCAGTGTGGCTGTAAATGGGTGGATGGCACTGGGAGGTGAATGGAGGAAGACCTGAGAGTGTGGGTGGATCTGTAGAAGTGCTGGATTTCAGACAGAGGTACAGAGGATCAAAGTTATGGATGACTTTAAAGGTCAGGAGCAGAATGTTGAAATCAACGTGATATTATATCAGGGGCTAATGAAGCTACTGAAGCATAGGAGTCGTGTGACACGTGGAGAGGATTCATATGAGGATAAGAAATTATATATGGCATGCACAAGATCCTAGGTTGTAGTGATAGAGCTCTGCATGCAAGAACACCCAAGAGGTAGTGATGCACACAGACAATCAGCACAAGGCTGCTGTGTTGCATCAATGTGTTTATTGCAACAGCTAAGCATAGGGGAGAGTGGGGTAAGTTGAGCCAAAGGGTAAGTTTAGCCACCCCCTGTTGCTTGGAAATGGTAAAAGAAACTGATCATGTGACCAAATTTTTAGGACATGGGTATCAGTTCATGGAGTCTGTGAAGGTTAGAAGCACATAGGGTTAGACATTTATTTCCAAAAAAACATTTTTCACTCTTGAAAGTGAATAAAGTTTGTCATAAGTTTTATTACAATTGTATTCAGGCCAAAAAAGATCATTTTATATTTGTTTTGTACATCAATTGTGGTATCTCAATACTGAACACATTTCAGCTCAACTCAGTACTGAACACATTTTTTCAAAATGCCAACAGCACGGAAACTTCAGGTTCACCAGTCCATTCTTGCTGTTTTCTATAAATGTTTCATTGAATCCATCTTCACATTCAACATCACTGCCTTTGGCTCACTCACCCTTACTCACCTCAACACTCTTAATAAAATTATCAAAATCAGCAGCAAAATCATTGGTCAGGAACAGCAGTCACTCACCACCATCTACAACACCAGAGTCCTGAGGAAAGGCAACCAGATCTCCATTGACCCCTCACACACCCTGCACCCTCACTATACTCTGCTGCCTTCAGCAGCAGAGTATAGTATAGTCAGGTGGGGGAGAGCTGGGGTGGAGAGTGGGGAGCTGATAGGGATACGTCTCAACTTACCCCGCTCCTATGGTCAACTTACCCCACACATGGGGTAAGTTGACCATAGGAGACCACTTTTTATGGCGTGCTATATTATCAAGACAGTTGTGTTTACACTCATTCTGTTGGTTTGCAAGGATGCACAACATCTTGAAATATATGCAGATACTCTAGTTAGAGAGAGAACTATGATTGCTGTTATGTAGTGATCTGAAATATGAAAAAATGGCTCATCTTACCCCACTCTCCCCTTAAACAGCAGTCTGATTTAAGTCCTTTATAAAGGGGGTGTTAAGGATTTACTTATTTAAATAGTCCAGTTTTCAACACTAAATCCTCCAATCCATCAGAAAAAATTACTCTTTTCTTTTACAGAATTAATGAAGGGTTTCATTTTCAAGTCTTCTATTAATATTTTTAATAATATCAATATTGTGAATGTTGCTCGCCCCTAAAGAAAGAACTGGAAAAATATGGATAATGTACAATGGGGCCTACACAAAATTAGATTTTGGGGCCCTCTATTTCCGCCAATAATATTGATTGTTGATCATTCACACACCTTCACAAATCTCTTTGATTAACATTCCATGACATGCAAACATACCTTTATCTTGGCGTTTTTTCTCTTCTTCCTCTTTCTTTTCTCTGCTCCTGAAGGATATGTCCCTTTTTGCGATATTATTTTGCCCCACAACTACCTGCTCTTTAGATGCTCAGTGCACATTACACAGCAGGAGGCACATAACGGTAGCGGAGCTTTGACATATCAAGAATCAAAGGCCTTCATCAGCAGCAGCACTAAAATATTTTTACTTAATTTTATTTTTACAATAATATATATTTGATCATACAGAAAGCATCACTCATACATGCAAAAAATAAAAAAATATATTATTTATTATTTATTTTTTGGATTGCTCTTGGGGGCCCCCCACTGGCTGCGGGCCTTAAGCAGTTGCTTAGTTCGTTCATGCCTTGGGCCGGCTCTGTACAATGTAAACGGTGTATGTGGTGTATATTAAAACCGTTTCTTGTTTCTTTTTTTTTCACTGAGAGCAGCGTGTGTCGAACAGAGTGGTGCTTTGCCAGTATGCATGGCTAAATAGATATCCATGAGCGCTCACATAGGTGAAGACTTTTGAAGACTACATGACAGTCAATTCTTAAGTGTCGGGGAGCTGTCTGCACAGAAAAACCGTCAAAAGCACTTTGTGTCTGTGTGTGTGTGTGTGTGTGTGTGTGTGTGTGTGTGTGTGTGTGTGTGTGTGTGTGTGTGTGTGTGAGAGAGAGAGAGAGAGAGAGAGAGAGAGAGAGAGAGAGAGAGAGAGAGAGAGAGAGATTAGCTCGAATGTGCACGCTGTCCCGGATGTTTTCTGTAACTCCTTGATCGTCAATTTTCCTACCGCAGGCTGAGCCAGTGAAGTGATCAGGTCCGCCTCTCACATTGAAAGGTCCTCACTGAATTTCTGCAGCTATCAGTGTCGGGAAGTTAGATGCACAGGAGGATTGTTGTTTGAGATGAGAAACGAAAGAGGACGTCCAGAGAGTGAGCTGTGATGTAGAGGCATATTTTCTCATCATAGGAAAACATGGAGACTGTAAGTCCTCCACTCATTGCTCTAAACCGGTCCCCTTCCCTGGCTCACCGAGCAGACATCCTTGAAAACCCGATCCAGGTACTTCTGTTCAACTTTTCAAGTTTGTTTCAAGGAAAGGAAAAATGAATTAAGTGTGTTGAGTTTAATTTGATTCCAGAAATTAATGAACATGATTACTTATCAATTTTAGAAATGAAATCAGGAATATGGTTAGAGACAGACAGCTTTAATTTTGAATTCAGAGCATCGATCTGAGGAAGCCTTTTTCATTCCGCTGTCTTTGTAAACTGTGTAGAAAAAGAGTGAAGACAAAGTTAAATATCACCATCAGATTTAACGCAAATTAAAAAAAACAAAAAAAAAAAACAATTGATCGTTTCTCTGAGTTTCACCGGAATACATTTGCTCATTGTTCTGAGGACCAGTGATTTCTTTGTTTTATGCATGCATGCAGGTATGTATGTATACATGTATGTAGTATACGTGTGTATCTATTTGTATGTGTGTGTGTGTGTGTGTGTGTGTGTGTGTGTGTGTGTGTGTGTGTGTGTGTGTGTGTGTGTGTGTGTGTGTGTGTGTGCATTTAAAAAAAAAGACTGGCTAAACCAGTTCAGCTGCACACGGCTAAGTTCATCCGGCAGGTATATGAGAAATGTTTGGAGAATTTTGTTTTGCTTTATACTCATTTTTTCCTCTTTTAAACGTCATGATTAAAGTCCCTTTGCTTTGTTCAATAGGATTTTATAGCTTGTGTAAGGCAAACTTTCATGCATGCTTTGCTCTCCCACTTTGACACCTACACACATTCTCCATGAGCTCATCTCCCAGTCTGTGTATCCCTCATTTTGTCCAATCTTCTCTTGATAAAACAAAGGGACAGGGGCAGAGAAAGAGCGAGACATACAGAACAGCATAGGAAGAATGAGAGGCGTGAATAATGAGTAATGGTTCACTGGTGGGTTGAGGGAGAATAGATCTACTGTAAGAGTGCTGAACAGCCAGTTTGTGGTCCCAGCTCCTCCCGTTGTCCGATGCCACCCACCATCCACCACCAGAGCACATCCCGTCTGTTTAAGAGGGATTGTGCTGGTGCAAATACTAATCTGGACTGAACCAGACTAGCTGAGAGAATATTTTGTTATAAGAAGCAACATTATGAAAGCTGCCAGTCTGTAGGTCTGTGAAGAGCAGGTGATACTTGACATGTATGGCCATTTATTTATATTTATATGTATTTATATGACCATATATATATATATATATATATATATATCTGTGTGTGTGTGTGTGTGTGTGTGTGTGGAGTGTTGTCATGAAGCTTGTTTTGTTTATCATTGTTTGATTCATGTAATTTGTCCTCCCACATGAAATCTAAAAGTGAAGGGCTTCACAGATTGGCCCATGTCAAGGAGGAACAGACCCCCATTGTCAAAGGACACAAAGGAGCATGCTGTTTATCTGTCTGTAGGTCAGTGTTGTGGAGAAGAGGCCAAGTGTTAGTGCTGTTAGACCAAGTGTTTGTTTTAAAGCTTGTTCGATATCTGCTGCTGTTGTTTTATTTTACTACCAGACCTGCAGTTTTCAGCTCAATCTCTCATTCTTACTGCAATCAGCTCTTTTTTCGGGGGGAAAAAACTTTTCCCCAAAAGAATTGGCAATTTTTTTCTGGTCACATTTATTTAATTCCACCCATGTAACGAATTAACAACAAAGAAAAAAACATGTCTAGCCAAGGACAAGTCTTTGACAGCAGCTAGAATCTCAGGTGGACCTACAATGAGGTTTCGCTTATTGCAGCTTTATTGATTAACTCAACATTTTTTATAATTAAGTAGTTATTATTAATTATCATCTCATTATCAGGGATGATTTATTTGCTGTCAGTATTTGTTTACAACCTCTATACAAACTTCTGTGTCACCCTGTACCTGACTCCACCTGACTGCACCACCCTTTAATGAACATCAGGCAATGCATCTAATCTTCCAACATCACAATCCACTGGATAAGAATAAACACTAAATTGATAGAACCAAGTGAGAGACAAATAATTTATGGGGCCTTGACAAAAATAAAATAAAATCAGTAATCATCAAGAAAACATTTTCTTTAGAACTACTGTTTGACCCCAAAAACAATTGAGCTGCTCACTGCACAACAATTTTATTTAGTGTACCTATCTTGAAAAGGTTCCTTCATAAAACAAAATAAGTCATAATAAAATAGGTATAGATACGTAAAGTAAAAGTTGACATTGTGCTATGTTCACAAAGTTCATATAATTTTCTTGAGAACCTTTCAACAAAAAAAAATCAAGACTTAGTTTGAATTAATGTTCCTGCGCTGCAAAACATGTGCCAGTGTACTTCTCATGATGATTCAGGCATACAAGTGTCTGACATTGACATAGTTTGATGGCCTGAAAGTCAAATCAACCATGTAAGGTAACACCTGAAGGGAACAGGGGCACTGGGAGCTTGGTGGTGTGACATCTCTTGGTTTCCTTGAGTAAACTGTGTAATGTTTGATAGGTGAGCCAACAAACCAACGACACGCCCAGTGTACCAACCTCACCTTCCTTGACTGCTTTGTTTGTTCTTCCTATGACAGAGAAACTATCAGTTTCAGTCTGTCACTCTGTTTACCTCTCTCCCTCCCTTTTTTTTCAACTCCCTCACACACTATTGCCAACTGTATATCCATCCTAGCTGTTGTTAAAAAGCACAAGCTGTCTGTTAGAGGTTAATGATTCTCAGTTTGACCATGTGCGCACACACATACACACACACACACACATATAATGTTGTACTATGATGTAGGGGCTGGAGATGAGGGGGATTTTACCGTTTTTTTACCAACCTATCATTCACCTGTTGGGCTAGGTAACATTTTTTAATAAGTGACTCATTGTGTTAAAGGGTTTTTGTCATAGTAATATAAGTAATATTTCACATACCTATTTCACTAAATAAAAGCAGTAACATATTAAAGTACCATGTCAGTCATATGGTTCTGATGGCACTGACCCGTCTCTATGGCTACCTTTGAGTGTTAAGGCAGTATCAACTCTACAGACATCGCATAACTTAGTTCACAGCCCAGAATCCTCAAAGCTCTTTATAATGTGACAGTGCGACAGCAAAGTGGGCAGTACAGATTCCTCCAAAGCACACAGGATTTCTTTTAAATAAGATAAACCTTAACAAAGACACCACGGCTGTATTCCTTTGTCCCATAAATGGTGGCTGAAAATATATACGCTTTTGGTGTTAGTCAGCTGTATGACGGGCTTATTTTGGTAACCAGGTTAAACAATCCTCTGCTTTTGTTAGCCAGCACTAGCTTGTTGTTCTCAGCTTGTTTTGGACAGAGTTAACCAGACATGAGGACACCAATTCAGCAGCTCTGAGGCTTTAGTAAGGAGGCTACTGTTCAGATAGTGTGATAGTCAAGCCTAGCAGCTGATTTTATGTGGAGAGCCTGTCCTCACTGCTGTTTCAGGATCTAATCAAAGTGGACACACTTGATCCAGGATCATGGAAAGAAGCCCAGGTCCGGCCACTGCTGTCCTCTCTTCTTCTTTAATGTCAGAGAGAACATTTTTGGAATTCTGATACACAATATAGATGAAAATTTGTACAGCGGCATACTAGTGTGTGTGTGTGTGTGTGTGTGTGTGTGTGTGTGTGTGTGTGTGTGTGTGTGTGTGTGTGTGTGTGTGTGTGTAATGGGTTTGTGTGTGTGCAATTGTGAGCTGTTAGAGTCCTTGGTGGGTATTGTGCTGCTGCAGAGTATGATTATGCTGGATTGTGTTGGTGTGGCCTTGGAGATGTGTGGGTGAGCATGTAGGGCAAATACAGTACTTTTAATCATGTATCTTGCCCAGTCTGTTTGAGACTTAAGCATAACACTGACAGTGCAGATCTCCAGTTTAACAGCTGGTATTTCTCACACTGCATATAGCTGTTAAAGATGTGAACTAAAAGGTCCTTTTAACTGTCAATAGAATGTTATTTCTTATTGATATATGACCATCTCTGAAAATAACCAGGTACAGGACAAGCAAGAGAGAGCCATCCTGTGAGCAACCTCCAGCTCAGGTGGTGAGGTATCATTCTAGACATAGATGATACACCGACCTGTTAGAAACATTGATTCCTTTGGTAAATGAATGCCCGCTCACTAATCAGGTTTTCTCTCAAGATCTAACCAGGGGTCCAAACTTTTCTCATGTGGCGTGAGACCCATACCACACATAGTACTGTGATCCTCAGCTGACAGAGACCGAATGCTTTGCTTTAAATATAAACAAGTCTGTATCAGCACCCTCAGGCAAACAACATAGTTAGCATGACGGATAACCATAATTTGCAACAGACTGTACTAATCTGCTTGATGATACCCACTTTCCTGCAGTATGTAAGCGTGGCATGCAGAGATACTGGTGCCTATGTACACTAGATCCAGAGACTGGAAATATTTAAGATATATATTTGAAAAGAGAATCACCAAATCATGATGTTATGAACAGACCAAGCAACATCAACACATAATCAACATTTTATTTAGGATGTCTGAAAGTCTGAGTCTATGTAATTCTACAATAGAAACAGAAGCACTAGCACTAGCAGCACTAACAGGGTCAATCAAGCTGACCAGCAGTATCACTTAAGATGTTCATGTTTTTTATGCATTAAGGGTTGATATATTGTTTTTCCACATTAATAACAAAACCTGCAAAGTTATAATGTTTGCTGTCCATTACTAGATGTATGCAAAGTTTCAAATCACAAGGTAAATTATGGTGTCATAATCTTAGAAAATGAATGTAAACTGCTTAAAGAGACAGCAGCTAGAACAAAGCGTTTCATACAGAGGCTGAAATAATGATATTTCCATTTTATTTACAGAAGAATTTTATATGAAGCCTTGGAGCTGTTTGTTTTGGTAATTGGAAAGATCGTTACACTGTCTCAGTTACGAATTACGATGAGGAATTATCCATATTTATGTGGTGTATTAATCTTGGCAACAAAGTCCTCTAACGTGTTCTGCAATTTTAGACTCTTATTTTTTCAGACAGTAGGAAACCATTAGTCTGGTAAGCTTAGCCTGGGCAGTTTGTTTTCATTGAAAAGAGATCTGAGTGTCGTAGCATGATTAAATAAATACATGAACATTACTGTGGATGCTAATGAGTTGGGCTTGTTGAAGGAAAAGGGAGGAGAAGAAGGAGCAGAAGAGGAGGGTTGTAGAAACAAAGTAACAGTGTTTGGGCTTGTGTAGTACTAAATTCTGTTTATAGCTGTGGCTCATTTACTGCATAGAATATGAGACTTGAAAGCTCAAAACCATGAAACACTTCACGAGGAGGACACAACCAATAGTAGCTTTGCTTTTGGAAGCAGTACAAATGGAATAAAAACCTCTGTGATTGTCATAAGAAAAACGTGCTGGCTGGGGGAAGATTATTTGAGTGTTACAAATCATCGGGCCCTCTTTATACTCCTTTTCCCACAGACCTATCTCCTGGGAATCGTCATCTCCATATGTGGGAATGTCCTCATCAGCATCTCTCTCAACATACAGGTAGGAAGCAGTGGGATCCAGCTACACAGCAGACTCATCACACCAGAACACTGGCCACACCCTGCCTGTAAAAAGTCATTATTCCACTCCTAAAGGTCCTGTGAAGAGACTTTCCACATTGATGAAATAGACTAAAATTCATTTTGAAATCTGTGTAGAATAGCTTTCAGAAATGACTGTGGCAAAATGCCTCTCCAGAACCCCTTTGAAAGATTTAATGCTACACTGATTAACAATATCAAGGAGACGTATGTAGTCATAATCTTCAAAAAATCTATCACTGTCATGGTGAATACCCTACAGAAGATCAGCAGTTGATTTTCCAAATATTGCCATTTATAGGTTCTTATTATCTTTAGTTAGCAGATTGAATGAATGAATGAATTTATTCTTTTCGAACATGTATGCAAAGAAATAAAATAAATTAAATGCATTGTAGATATCATGTACAGTAAAAGCTGTAAAAGCCCAAGCTTTTATCAAAGCAGTGGCCTTGGTTCGAAGTTATGCTTTGATGGTATCGTACAATTTAACTTCCTAAAAATAGTTTTATTGGCTTCTAATGTTACAGATGTAATCAGTGTCTATGTGTATCAGTGACTTTTATGAAGGGAGACCGGGGCTTGTTGTCACATGGGTAAGTTGTCACATTGCAATTATCTTTGCCACTAGAGAGTGCAGCTAAAAAGTGGAATACTAGTTTTCTTCCTTTACATGGTCAGAGAATGTGTCTAGAGTTGGGCGGTATGACGCTATATACCGTGTGACGTTACAAAAGTGTCTGCCGGTAGAAATTTTGCTCTACCGTTTATACCGGAGAGAGAGAGCAGATGTCTGCTGCATCTCTCTGAATCAGTGTGCGGTGGTCTGTGCTCACTAACAGGAAAGCCTTGCATTTGTTTGGGTGCGTTTCCATATATTCAGTGTGTCATGGGAGTTTGTTCCCATCATTTGATTGGTCAGGTTTGGGTGCGCTCCCTATAATCACCAGCGTGTCCAGCAGACTGCTTGGCATAGTTTCAATGAAGAGGAAACAGCTTCATTGGTGGTGGTCATGGCAGACACGGAGATTAGTGGCAGTACCGAGCATGTTGCATAATCTTTTATGTTAACATTTGGCTATGTTCAACGACTTTTTATAGCTCACTGACTTTGATGTGCACTTTCATTTAAAAAAAATAATAACAATAATTTTGTCCTTGTTTCATTAGCTGCAAAATCCACTGTGACATCCTACCCCATATAGTATGACAACTTACTCAATGGTGGGGCAACATGTCACATGTTCACACTCTCTATTTGATTCCTTATAACTCTGCACTGACACAAGATATGAAAATGACATGAATACAAAATATAAACATGAGACTTTGGTCTTTCATCTGGTACACATTTTGTTCATACATGATATATTGATTCCAAGAACTATATGAGTGTAGAAAGTGTGATAACAAGCCTTGGTCTCCCCTACTCTCCTGACTCCCTTAAACTTTTCTCCTTCACATTTGGTCTTGAAAGTCTAAAGATCTTGATGAAGCTTCATAATTAGGACTGCATGATTTTTTTTTTTTAACAAATAGTATGTTCTGTCTTAAGATTGTATATTACCATATCAAGGAGTTGGAGTTTGGATTCAATCAGTCTGATGTTCATGGGCTTCTGGTCCTTTCCCCCCTGACAGAAATATGCCCACGTCCGCCAGGCTCAGCGCTGCTCTAAGCCCTACTACACTTCTGTTGTGTGGTGGTGTGGTGTGGTTCTCATGGGTGTCGGAGAGCTGGGGAACTTTGCTGCCTATGGTTTTGCCCCAGCATCACTTATAGCCCCACTGGGCTGTGTGTCTGTCATAGGTAAGTCTAATTTACTTTTCCCCCTGGTACATTATCCATGGTTAAAGATACTTGGATGGTGAATACTGATTGGACCTGGTTGGGTATCAGTGCACAAACTGCAGCTGTGTGCTGTGTCTATAATGTGATGCCTTTGTTAACTGGTTCATGAAGTGTGAGTGCATGTTCACTCAGTGTTACAGTCTGTTTAAATGCTAAATGGTAGTTAGGCTGTGTTCTCTTCCTCTAGTCTTCTATTCACTTAAAGCTCTTTTACATCTAATGTCACATTCACCCTTTCACACCACATTCACACACTGTATGTATAGAGACCATCAGTTTTTCATTAATCCCATTCACACACCACTGGGTGCAGCCAGCAGGGGAGAGTGGGGTTAGTGTCTTGCCTAAGGACACTTTAATAATAATAATAATAATAATATCTTACATTTATATAGCGCCTTTCAGGATACCCAAGGCGCTTAACAACACACTACAAAAACTAAATACCAAAAGCCTACTTTAGTGCAAGGGATTAAATCCCTGACCTTCTGACCGGTAGATGACCAACTCTACCTCTGTGCCCCAGCTGCCCCTGAACCACGTTGTTTATATAACTCTCATTTCTACAAGGTCAACATTCAGTCAAATGTCTGACCTAACCTGTGATTGAATTCTTAGTTGGATTAAAGAAACAATCAACCCAGGATACCAGATCACACAAATATCGGATCACAGATACTGTTTTTTTAGGGGACAAGTGTTGATCAGTAGTTTTAGCAACAACAACAACAACAAAAAAAAAAAACAATTAGAAGGTTTCTGTCTATAAATCAGATTGTTTGTGTTTCCAGTCTGTTTAATGTATTTGCTTTGCTTTCTAATACATATCCTAATCTTTCACGACAGAACAGTCAGATTTCAGACAATAATCTACTTGACTGAATACATCTGTCGGATTTTGTTGATGCTTAAACTAACAGAAGTATATATTTGTATTTGCAGCCAGTGCAATCATATCTGTGGTTTTTCTCAAGGAGACAGTACGTGCATCGGACATTGTTGGTAAGTACAAACACTCGACTAATGCTTTCAGGTTTCTTTTCTCTCTTCCTCTGATAACCTTGTTTATTGTAAATGTTGGGCCTCACTCACCAAGAAATTCTTCCTATTTGTGCATTTATTAGGTATTCTTTAATCTTACTTTTTATCATATTTCTGTGTTTTAATTATTGAGATTTAATGAGCATGAGAATTTAGTGAGCATTTATTCCAGTTGTTTGGTCTTTACTGTAAAATGTTAAATACAAACCCCAATTCCAGAGTTGGTTCAGGGTCATGTTTTCTACTGTGTTACATCACCTTTTTTTTTTTTTTTAAACAACACTCAGTTAGCCTTTGTGAACTGAGGACACCAACTGTTGAAGCTTTGGCACACACACCGTAGTATCGATATCATGGCAAATTCGTATCATATCCAGATATGACGTGAAAGTATTGATACTTTTTAAAAATATCAATACATTGGACCCTCCTGCTAGCTAGCCTGTCACAATGCCAGCTGGTTTCTGAAATCGTAGTCTAAATAAAGTTTTTAAGGTGAAGTAAATTTGCACTTGCACAGTACAGATTGGGTAGGTAGCAATAGTAATGACTTACTGCGGTAAAATGCATTGAAATACGAAGAGAGGAAGTGACGTACATTTCCCACATGCACAGTAATAATTGGATTTCCAGGGACAGATCGAGTAGCGACACTCACAGCTGCCCTGGGGCAGACAGAGGAAACACAGCTGCCAGTCCATGCCTACGGCCTCTCAGAGCATCACCACACATCACTCACAGTCATACACCAGTGGAGGACAAGCACTGGGAGCTGGTGGGTGGGTGAAGTGTCTTGCCCAAGGACACAACTGACAGACTGCCAACCTTCCAGTTATTGGACGACCGCTCTTCCTCCTGAGCTACTGCTGACTATTTAACTCAGTTGTTGACAAAGTGGTGAACATGGCCCCATCCTTGCTAGTAAAGGATAGAGTCTTTCAGGGATACCTTTTTATACCCAATCATGACCCTCGCCTGTTTCCAGTGAACCTGTTCACTGGAAACAGGCGAGGTATTTTTGGAGCTGACCTCAATGTTCAGTCTTTTGTTAACCTTGAACCAACTTTTAAGGAACATGTTACAGTATCACATCATAATCTGTAAATATTTACAAAAAAATCAGTTTGAATATCAAATACCTTTGTAGTGTATTCAGTTGAATATAGGTGACAAAGGATTTAAAAATCACTGTATTCTGTTTGGAATGGGGGGTTTCATATATTTAAGCAGAGCACTCAGGCAACAAGTAACCAGTTCAATAAAAATTTCACTCCCATTTTTCTTCATATCACAGGTGGCACCCTTGCAATAACTGGAACATACCTCCTGGTGACCTTTGCCCCTCACACCTCCACACACATCACAGCTCATCTGGTCCAGTACCATGCTATCAACTGGCACTTCCTTCTCTACATGGTACGTAAACCTCTGAAACTGTCCCACCTAAATGGCGTTGTTTGGTTAACTCAACTCAACTCAACTTTATTTGTAAAGCACTTTAAAACAACCACAGCTGAACAAAGTGCTGTACATAACAGCACTTGGTTCTGTTATGTACAGAACAAAGTGCTATGTAGACAAAACAACACGGACTTAAAAAAACAATCCAAAAACAATTAAAACAATGGATAAAATAAAAGCAGAATGAACACTTTATATGACCCCCCCCCCCCCCCCCCCATTAATACGTCATGAGCACACTGAAAAAGCCTAACAAATGCATCTGTAGGGCTTTATGACATTCCTATGACTGTTTTAAGGCATTCATAACAGCTTATATCATTGTTTATGAAGTGTAATAAACTGTGAAGATAAAGTCATCTAAAGATGTGGTTTATAATGAATCAGCTTGCTCTTTTATATGCCTTGGAAAGAGAGTAAGATTTCTGAATAAGATTATACAAATTTCAAATTATTAGAAAATAAAGACAGTTATTTTTATGATTGTTGTGAATTATTTTTGTCAGACTCTCTACTTGCAGCCTCAAAATCCTCTATATAACTTCTTATAAATGTGTCATAGGATCATGTAATTGTTAATAACCTCACTTTACTGAAAGAGCTCAGAGTCATGATTTAACATGTGCGTATTAATAAAACATTTTATGAATTGAGAGTCACAGAAATTCTAACCTTTTTTTTTTTTTTGATGATGTACATAATGAGTTCTTAACAAAGGGACCTCAATGAACCTGGGGTTGGGAGAGTTATAATAATGTATATAATACAATAATCATACATACAATAATAATTATTTTTGTGTTACGATCAATAAGGTTCTTGTATTGTGTTGTATTATTGTATTGTATGTGTTATTAAACCCAGATTGTTTTTTTTCTTTTGGCAGAGTATTTTTAAAAAACCCATAACTTTATTAGGCTTCATGCTCACTGCTGATTACACTTCATTAACATTGATATAAACTGTTATGAATGCCTATAATCACTCATGAGGACTATCATAAAGCCTTATAGATATATTTATAAGGCTTTTAAATGTGTTCATGATGCATTTTAACAGGAGGGTGCATATAAAGTGTAACCCAGTTTTTTAATATGTGTTAGGAGACTGTGAGTTTCTGTCATACTCTACATTTTTAGACTGAACTCACTATTCTCACATATATGAGGCTTTTTGTCCGTAAATCTTATTGTGGTGGGGTTGTTGCGTGGGTAACAAGTTAACTCTGGTAATTAAAAATTCAGCTGTCCTTGAAAAACACTCAGAGGAGCGCCGTAGTACAGGGGAATGATAAAAATGCTGTTATTTCTCATGGCACGATATTTACCAAAGAGCTCAGGCGTTGAAACCTCCTACACAGGTTTCCAGGGACCAGTGTCAACAGTAACTTACACACCTACTGAATGTTGTGTTAGGGGAGTAAGTGGAGCGGAAGGATCAGTCTCCTTGACTGTGTGGGCCTACTGGCCAAAAATGTAAGAAGTACTTCATAAAACCAAGAAAAAGGGTTGACAGACCTCAGATAAAATGCAGTTAAGACAATGAAAGGGAAATGGTGAATAAAAAAAGGTTAAAATGTAAATATTTTTGAAGTAAAATCAACTTTAATTTTCCGAAGATACTTATGAAAAATTTAATATATTTCAGTCTACTTTTAAGAAATGAGACTTTTTAAAACTCTTTTTTAAAACTCTTAAATTTTTTTGGGTTAAAACTCTATGGCATATTAAGTGACATTAAATGCATTGTTATTATTATTATTGTTATGAATGTAATACATTTAGGCTGATAACTGTCCTGTGTGTGAAACCCAGTGCTTTATTAGCTATTGAGTGAAGTCATTATGCTGAACTTTACATTTATCTAAATTACATAAAAACCTTAATTTTTCATGGTTTATGTTGTCAGAAATGTCTAAAATGAAAAGGAAATTACTTTACCGTGAAAGGGAAAATGTTTGGCTGTATTTTTGATTCATGATTTAATTCAAATGCTGTATATGAGTTTAAAAGGAAACTTCCTTATACATGCATACAGAATGGCTCAGTAAAACTTTAAGAAGGTATCATCCAGGCGAACATTAACAAAAGTGATTTTCAAGAGTCCATTTAATTCAGTTTCAAAGCAACATTATAAACCCCGGCTTTTACTATCGTGTAAAACATATAACTCGGAGGGAATTATAGTTAACAAAGCAGATTAAAGGTGTGAGAGGAGGACGTATCAGTGCTTTAAATTATGACTTTTCATGATGACTCTGCTGTATGATTAATGAAATGTGAATGTGTGCATCTTAATTTTCTTGTGATTGTATGTCTGTAACTTTGTTAGGACATGCTGCTGCAAATCTTAGCCAGCATACTTGAGTAAAAGAGAGTTTAAATCTCAATTAGACTTTCCTCGTGAAATAAAAATCTAATAAAGAGAGTTTAAATAAATAAGTACAAATAATAAAAAATACATGATAAGATATCACAGTAGATCTTGATCACTAAAATAAAAAAACCCTACATTGTCTTTAATGTAAGTTGAACTTAAATAATTTAACTATCTTTTTAAAAATACTTACTTTGGATCCTCGAAATACGAGATGTTTCTGTGGACATGTCTATCAAGAGATGCCAGATATGTTTGAGTGATAGCAAAGCCACTGTGTGACGAGTATAGATCATCTGAGATAAGTTATTACACAGGTTACCTGACGCTGAGGAGCAACAACATTCAAACGCACGTTCCTTTTGTAGAATTACAATATCTAATAAACAAAGAAGTCGCTCTGGTGTATACAAGTCTTTCTCAAACTGCTTTCAAATATGCCAAAATGTCCCTAACACTTCTACAAATGAAGAACAGATACCTCAGCTGCAGCACCTCTGGGGGTAAACAGCAATGATGTGGACAAAGCGCATTTGTATTTATCTGCCTGATTTCTGCTCAATGAACTCTAAAGCAAGATCCAGCATACAAAACAACCAATCAGGGATCAGATTTCAGTGTGAATCCAAGAGGCCATTGCCGTTTGCCGACTTCACTGCGCCAGAGAGAGGTCAAGTTTGGATGAGTTCCCCTATTTTCCCAGTTCACTTTCAGATCTGGTGGAGGTGAACTTCCCAAAAGAAGTCAGGACAACACAGAAGTTTCAAAACTCTGCCCAACTGGAGGGACGAATTTGTTGTAAAGTGAATCGGACACACAAATCTACTGCAAACAAAGAAATGTCTTTGAATTGGTGAGTTTCATGTTTTTGACAAAGCATCTTATTATTTAGCCTTGAGCTCCGGTCCATTTATGAAACACTTTTCTGAGGAGGCTGAATTAAGTGTATTTACACTTGGGATGGTCACAATGTTATGACACTAATAATTGAGCTAGCTAGTACCATCAGTACTGACAAAGATGGGCACAGTTCATCAAAAGTGGAACTCTATTAACTGTTAATCCTTGTTAATCCATCTGATGGGGTTTAAGCCTTACTTACTTAGGCCTTTGTATTCCTTTCGGAACATAGGCCACTGATGAATCGCTTCCACCCTCTTCTGTCTTGGGCCATCCTCTCTAGCTGTTTCCACGTCAGTCCCTTCTCTTTCACTTCTTGTTCTGTACTCCTTCTCCAGGTGTTTCTGGGTCTTCCTCTGCTCCGCTTGCCTTGTGGGTTCCATGTTAGTGCCTGTTTGGTTATTGCAGTTTTGTCTTTCCTGAGTGTGTGACCAATCCAGCTCCACTTTCTCCTTAACAGCTGTACCTCTATTTTTCTTGGTTGGTGCGTTCCCACATGTTGGTGTTATTTATGCGGTTTGGCCAGAAGATCCTGAGGATGCGTCTTAGGCAGTGGTTAATGAATGTCAGCAGTTTATTGATGGAGTCATTGGTGGTCCTCCAGGTTTCCGATCCATACAGTAGTACAGATTTGACATTGGAGTTGAAGATTTTGAGCTTGGTATTGAGTGAAAGGTTTTTGGTTTTCCAGATCTTGTTTAATATGTTGAATGTGATTCTTGCTTTCCCTATTCTTGCCTTCACATCCTCCTCTGTCCCCCCGTCCACAGCTAAAACACTTCCCAAATATGTGAATTTTTCAATCTCTTCCAGTGTCTGGTCCCCGATGGTTATGGGGTTTGTGCTTTTGTTGTCTATGTGCATTATTTTTGTTTTTGGTCCGTTTATTTTGAGCCCAAGTCCAGCTGCTGTTGTTTCTAGCAGTTGGGATTTCTCTTGCATCTGTTGGTGGTTATGTGAGAGTAGTGCGATGTCATCCGCAAAGTCAAGGGGCTCTATTTTCGTGCCTCGCCGGAGACGTGCCGCAGGCGTGGCGTAAGTCAGGTCCGCCGCGCCGACAAGGCGTTCCCAAGCACAATTTGGTATTTTGGTGAGCGGCGCAGCCCGGCTTAAGTATCCCCCCTCCCTAACTCAGCTCCTCCCAGCTGCGTAAGTCGTAGCGAGGGTGGAGAGAGGGCGTGGAGTGGGTTTAACACAGCCGAGACCTGTTTTCACCAATCACATCAGCTCCTCTCCTCGCCTTTAAATCTGCCACAGGCGAGGCGTATTACCACTTTCGTGAAGTAGTCAAAGAGATCAAGAGACGTCTGAAGACAGTAATGCCACAAGATGGCGACAGAAGGCAGCTCCTCAACAAGTGTCACTGTAAGCGCTGCATTGGGCGTCCTCCACACTCTCTCATATGAGCACAGATGGATTTGGTGTGTGTGATGTTGGACCCACTGGTAAGACAAACACCCTTTTCCACAAATAAAGACACTAACATAAAGTTGCATATATTCAAACCTCATGTGACAAAGGTGGGTTGTGCGCACAGATCACAACATTAACTCCAAAAATGGCATTAAAATCGGAACCATCTGTGCGTAAATGACGCATCGCGCTCCGTGGCCTGGCGCTTTCTTTCATAGATGTTGGCATATAAAATAAATTTGCCTCACAAAACTGAATATTATAATATCCGTATGTCGGCTTAAAGTAAATAACTCATCTGAGCACTGAAACAAATCATCTGTTCAGCCGCCGCCGCTGCAGCAGGACGGAGAGAGGACACGGAGACGTGTCCAGGTCGAGCTGCGTGAGAAATAAGAGGAAGAGGAAGAGAGAAAAGGAGGGAGACGAATTACATATCTAGTTAACTTCATCATGTGTGTCTGTTTACTAGATATTTAATCTAGATATTTAATTTAATTTAATTTAATGCGATTTCAGCTGTGTTGATTCAGTCAGGTTGTGTGTCCAAACGCGCTCATCAAATCAGACATAGATCAGAATATATCTATAGATCTAAATGGATGTGCTGACTCAGATTAATAGTTGTTGTTGTTGATTATTTATTGCACTGAAATGTGCCTGACACTGTGGAAACCTGCTGGTGAGGCATCAGTGACGTACACCGATACGCAGCCGGTCTACCAAAATACCACTAGACCAGCTATACTCCGCCTGCACTGAAAGCTGACCAAGTTTGAATCGGCGAGCTTTCAGCGCACTTAACACGCCACTGGCGAGCACGAAAATGTCACTGCGGCAGCTGATTCTGTCGACACCTCCCCCAGCCACGCTGTACGCCAGGCTCCACCAGACGAAAATACAACTGAAATTGACATAGACAGGTGTGTTCCATTCTATGGATTGCTCGATGATGATCCTGAGGGTAGCAATTTGGTCACTGCACAATCTTCCGTTCCTGAAACCAGCTTGGTTTTCTCTCAGCTCCTCATCAACCCCCTTTTGCAGTCTCTCTAAGATAATGCGATTGAGCACTTTGCCTGGTGTTGATAGCAACATGATCCGTCGGTAATTGCTGCAATCCCTGAGGTCTCCTTTCTTGGGAATAATAGCAATGAGCCCGTCCTTCCAGTCTGCTGGTATATTTTCCTCTTCCTCCCATATTTTCTTGATCAGCTGGTGTAGCATAGTGGTTGAGGTTTCAACATCAGCCTGTAAGGCCTGAAAAAAAGGCTTGAAACCTGTTCTGTAGGGTGGTTTGATACAGTTCAGTTGTTCCAATGTCCTGGAAGAGCTGGATGTTAAATTTTGCTCTGCTGTTTGAGGGGTTGTTGCAGCGTTTCAGCTTCAGTTGGACTTTTGCAGCCAGTAGGTGGTGGTCTGATGCAGCGTCTGCCCCCCTCTTTACTCGTACATCAAGGAGAGCGCGCCTGAACTTCCTGTTTATGCATATGTGGTCGATTTGGTTTTCGGTTGTGTGGTCAGGTGATATCCAGGTGGCTTTATGGATGGGTTTATGGGGGAAAACTGTACCTCCTATGATCAGATTGTAGTCAGCATATACGTCTGCAAATCTCTCCCCATTTTCGTTCATGATGCCAAGCCCTTGCTTTCCCATAGCTAGTTCGTATCCACTGTTGTCATTTCCCACCTTGGCATTCATGTTGCCCATGAGCAAAAGGATGTCTCGTTCTCTTCTGGTCTAGAGCAGATGTTGTAGCTGGTTGTAGAAGTTGTCCTTAAGTTCATCATCAGTATTGTTGGTGGGTGCGTAGCATTGTATGACTTGGAGGTTTATCCTTTTGTGTGTGGTTTGGAATCGTGCAGTGATGATCCTTGGGTTAATAGGCTCCCAACTGATGAGGGCCCTCTGGGCTTCTTTGGAGAACAGGAGTGCCACTCCCTCCGTATGTGGTGCTTTTTCGTCGGCGTGTCCAGAGTAGAGTATGGACTCGCCACTGCCCAATTTGACTTCTCCTGTCTGGAGCCATCTAGTTTCGCACAAGCCTAGGATGGAAAGCTTGTATCTCCTCATCTCATCTGCAATGACTGATGTCTTCCCTGCTGTGTACATGGTCCTGATGTTCCAGGTTGCGATGTTGGTAGGTTGCCTAGGAGAAAGAAGATTCCGACGCATCCTCTCCATATGGTTTTCAGCATGCTTCTTCATTGTCTCTTTAGCTTGTTTGCTTGAAGAGTCTTCATCTCTTAGGTTGAAGGGTTTCTTTTTCTTCATCAATGTTTCTGTAATCATTTAAATCCACCTCACGGGTGATTGGCCCATGAGGTTTTACCATTGCCCTATTGGCCAGCTTGACCTGTTTCCACCTCTCACGACGTGGACGTTAGGGTTGGATTTCGAGAGGCGGGTTTAAGCTTTAATGTTACCTGAAAGATCGGGTTGTAAGAAAACATGTTGAAATGTGTAATCATTAGGGCTGTTACTGTTAACCTGTTAGTTGTAATGCAGGGCATTATTTTTCAATCACATGCTGTTTGTCCCTTTTTGGCACACTATGGTCAGGTTACTTCTGCAGCTGTTGACTGACAGCGCTGCAGTTTTGAATGACACACCTCAGTTTAAATAAAACTACCATACAGTTTAGGAGATCAGCCTTCTTCCTCTCATGTTCCTCACTTTCCAACAACACTGGATGTAAATGGAGCTATGACTTCTCTTGTGATCTCTTATTAAAATATGCTGCAGGTGTAGTACATGTGGAAGTATACTTCAGTTTGGGGGGAGGTACTTATCAGTCAAGGACTACAGGAGATACCAGTCAGCTAGGTACCTTGGTTAAGAATCTGTTCAGAGGACCAGAACAGAGACTGTGCAGACAGGGTCAGTTTGACCTCGTACTTGAGCTCATTTGAAACACAAACGCTCTTTTCAGTGGAAGCATTGGCTCAACTTGATAAATTCAACTCTCTACTTTGCTGCCCGTTTGTTACAGCCCTATTCTCAGACAAAACCTGTACGTGTTCCTGCCTGCATCACACTGATCAGCTGAGACAGTATGTTGGGATCAGCCCATGTGCATCAAACTCAGGACACAGCGTCAGACTGTGAGTGAATTTTTAGTTTTTTTGGAGGGAAACGAGAGAAACAGAGAAGTCTTCAGGCCGGAATAGCTCTACATCTGTTAGTGTGTTGTTTAATCTGCTATGCCTCCCACACACACCCATACACACATATTTTAATGGCGCAGATCACATGGTATGTAGTTAAGCTTCATCTTTGCCATCTTGTAGATACTAGGCTGAGAATGACACACACCCTCTTTGTTCTTTGTTCAGACTACACTGGCTCTGTCCACCATCTGAGCTGTGTGTGCTGCACGGTGGTGGTGCCACCCTTTCGTCTCCTTTCTTTGCTCCCTCACTTTGTCACAAGTGTGTCTGCTCCCTTTTTTGTGTACAGCTTCTGTCATTCAGATTTGCAGCAGCATCATTAGTCTGATTTATGCTCAGTTTCGTTACTTATATTATCGTTTAAACCTTTGCGTTGCATGTGGATTGTGTAAAATATTTGCACAGTCACTTAAACAGCTGCATGCAGTCAGGCGATTTTTGGATGGTCACCATCAACATCTTTTTTTTAATCATTATTATCTTAATTACATGGCGGAGCTGATCCCTATCTGCAGGGACATCCCTCTAAAAAGAAACGCTTTGCAGCTGTCTGCTCCCTCTACCTTGTGGTTTCAGACCCATCTGGTGCTGCAGTTCAGCATTTATTTTAAATAAAAGCCTAAAAGTCAAATTACACTGCATTCATTTGATTCCCAAATCAGTACACTTTAAGAGTTTCCATCATAGACTGTATATAGAATGGACAGCGTCTGCCTCCTTGCTGGGTGAAGCCACTCAGAGAACAGCACCCTCTGATGGTGGGCTGCAGTATAGGTCATAAATCCCGCCTCCGACAGCAAAGCTTATGGAGCTGTGGACCAACTTTAGAAATTTATCACACAGAAAATAAATTTTTCGTCCCCCTGCTTGTGATGTTGACATGTAGTTACAGTAAGACTGGTTTTTGCCTCTTTTTTCTGTGAAGCTCCGTTTTTAAAAGTTATCAGGGGGTTCAGGTTTTCTTTGATTGACACCTTATACAGCCTATGGGCGTTCAGGGATTGCATATATATGCTGTTTTAGCCGAGTGTCATCACAGCGACTCTCAGCGACTCTCCTGCTGAATGCGCACAACCCTACTGCGCAGCGCCGGTTTCAGGAAATGAAGAGAAATCCCGGAAATACTGAGAGCTTTTTGGCTTCAAATCCGTATACAGGCGGTAGGCGGAACCAAGTTGTCCATAGTTTATACAGTCTATGGTTTCCATCTTTTCTAAATGCGGATTTGGAGAAAATGCCAAATTATGACGCTGAAAACTATTGAAATTTAAAAATTTACTGTTTGTTTTACAATATACTTAATTTGATTAAGCATATCATGAAAAGACTTACATAGTTTTGTTTTGTGAAAGATTGCTAGCTTTATTTAATCGTAATGATTATAACTGTTGATCTGAACCTCCTGTGTTTCTCTTAGTATTTTTTACACATCGAACACTCGCATGTTAGGCACACCTAGAGGTTTCTATAAAAAGTGTGTGTATGTGCATTGAATTAATGGTGGTATATTTGAAAAGTGTCTGAAGAGTTTTTGAATTTCCCTGAGGAAACCTTCCCATAAGGAAAAACAAAATTGTATCTCATCTTATCAAATTTAAAAGCATCTCTGGGATCCTGCTGAATTTTCTACTTGTTCTGTACGAAAAAAGGTGTATATGTCAGCCATGTAACTACACTCTCATTAAAACTCTTTGAAAATACACCATGCATTCAGTGCTTTTATTGTATTGCTCTATAATATTATGAAATGCATGTAGAATATTTTTTATGTAAAATCTCAGCCATCATATATGTGGTTCTTTCAAAAACAGCCTCTTATTAAACATTATAAGTTCTCTTAACATTGCAGCGGTGTTATTTTTCATTCATTTGTTCATTTTTGTTTGTAACTTGCACAGTTTGTGTAAAATATATTAATCCCCAATCCTCTCTGCCTTTTGGAGATGTGCATGCTTTTTATTTACAGGGTCAGTTATTCAGGCTCAGCATCTTTCGAACTTTTATCAATTAAACTTACTTTAAACCCATCAAAACTCAACTTTGATATGCATTCAGTATGTAAGTCAAACTTAAAATATACAATTTTTACCTCAAAGCAAAAACTTTTTTTATTGTTTTTATTTTATTTTTATTGTTATTATTATTATTATTATTATTGTCATTTTTTGTCTCATAATAAGCTGCTCAGGTCTTATTTTTGTAATATCTTAACATAAGATGTCTATCTAGACTTGTCAGGTACATCTTTGTTATATCAAGACTAATCAGACATTTTCTCTGGAAATAAAACAAAAAACACTTCCCAGATTTGAGTTTTGATACTATTTTGCTTTGTGTTCTCCAGCAGGTGGCGCCATTTACATGTTTTAATCCTGCAGGCCAAAAAGCAAACACCTACTAACCAGTAGTGACACTATTTAGGCTGCTAAAAATATCAGTGCCAAATCTGTACACAAATTGGTACCTACAGTTTATAATCTGTGCACGTGTGTGTGTGTGTGTGTGTGTGTGTGTGTGTGTGTGTGTGTGTGTGTGTGTGTGTGTGTGTGTGTGTGTGTGTGTGTGTTTACTTGCACAAATAACAGATTATAATTAATAACATGGATACTAGTAGACAGACTTATCAAATTTTCTCTCACTCTCTCAACAGTTTTTGGAGATTGTCCTCTTTTGCATTCTGCTCTACCTGTACAAGAGGAGGAAAGTGAAGCACATCGTGATTGTCATGCTGCTGGTGGCCCTGCTGGGTAGGAACATACAAGAGCTGTTTTTTTTTTTTGTTTGTTTGTTTCTTGGGTACCAAAGTTGGATCCATTTTCAGTATCGTTGTAGGTAATGGCTAAGTAGAGCAGGAGAAGGAACATTATTTACTGTAACACACATAAGAGCTACAAACAACCCCCACAAAGTTACTGGTACCAATGAGGAGGCTCCTTTTTTCCTACAATACATGATATACTGTCATGTTAAGCTGAAATATTGCATCTGTTTTTCAGCATCTTTAACCATCATCTCTGTCAAAGCTGTATCAGGGATGATCACAGAGTCAGTCAGAGGCCAGCTGCAGCTCATCTACCCCATCTTCTATGTCATGCTTGTCGTCATGGTCGCCTCCTGTGCCTTCCAGATCAAGTTAGTCAAGGTCTTCTCTCCACTTTCCTGGGTCTTCTTCTTTTCTGTCCCGGCCTATTTTTAACACTGAAATCCCCCATTTTTTCCCTAAAGCAAGACAACATGTTTACTTTCTAGTTCCTGAACAAACTTAGTGAAATGAGTGTGCAGTGTGACATGAAAACACTACAGTGAATCGGAGTGTGGCTGTGATAAGACTGCTAAATGCTGTCTTTACAGGTCATCTCTACAACTTTCCTCTCTTCTTTTCATAGATTTCTCAACGAGGCCATGAAAATGTTTGATGCCACTGAGGTGGTTCCTGTCAATTTTGTGTTTTTCACTACAAGTGCCATTGTTGCAGGTATGTCAACTGTAAAGCTCGGACTCTGCTTTATTTACTCATTGCTTTTGGTTTTGGATAAAGTGATAGTTTGCTCTATTTTTGTTCTGTGCATGTATGTGAAAAGACCAAACCAACAATCTCAATTTTCCTGCATTGCCACATAAAGCTCATTTTAGTTTATGCCCCAAAGTTACATGAGAAAAACCTTAATATTAGGCCAAACTGTTACATTTGTGTGTTTCTTCAATAGTCACTATTAAATATGTTTATTGTTTTCTTTCTGGGGACACAAATACTCAGAACCAAAGGTTAATGAATCTCTGGCTCAAATGTTAAAAGAAGTCAAGTCCAAATGAGTGTGAGCTTTAACCACAGAGGACTTCTGCCTTCCCTCCGAACAGACATTTATCATCAGAGGACTGAAATGGTTTATTCATCCGTATTTTTTTCAGTTTTATTCTCGGATGCTTCAGACACATCTCTTGATATAAAGGACAGATACACAAGTGTGTTCCCTTCTAGACTTGTATCTCATGAATACCAATTTCTCTGCATCTATCAAACACCTTACTATTGTCTAATAATTATCAGTTAAAAGAAAACTATCCCTTTTATTGAGGAGTAAAACTGTTTGAATGTTTTTGTAAAAATATTTAAATCGGGGCTTCACTGGACTTCGCAGGCTAAGCTGCTCAGCATCATATTAGACCCTGAACTAAATTAGACTAAACACATCGATAATGTAGTGACAAAAATGGGGATGAGCATTGCTGTAACTAGAAAATGTTCAAAGTACATAAAGCAAAGTGACACAAGCTGAAGTCTGGTCACATCTTCAGTCCTGCCCTGCCATTTGGTCATCTGCTTCAAAGAAAAACCTGCAAAAATTGCAAAAGGCTCAAAATAAGCCTGCAAGACTAGTTCTCCAGTGATCTAAGCGCACATACATCACAGAAATCCACAGAAAGCTTACATGTCTTTCTGTTGATAATAGATTACATTCTCGTACTCTAACTTTTTTCCATCATCTTCTAATGGACAAGAGACCACAGCATTTCTATGACCAAGTTAAATATACACAAAATGTACATAACCCCATGACTGGACAAGCCAGCCCTGTCAGAGCTACTTCAATCTACTTTTATCTATTGAGCCATTACAGGATGAAACGCAATACCTAATTATATAAAAAAAACAAGCACAAAATTTGTTGTCAAGAAAAACTTAAACACTTGATGAGATTAAGCCTGTACTAATCCACAGAGGCACTAAACTCGTGTTTACGATCCTGTCTTATTTCAAATGGATTTGTTCTCTAATTTACTTGTAACACCTTTTTCTTTTTTAATTATTTTGTAGATGAGTGATTGTATAATTGTTGAATGAATGTTTATGTTGGACCCCAACTGTAAAGACCAGCTCTTCCTGGGGTCTAGATCCCCATTGGCTCTTGACAAAAGCTAATGGGGATCCTAATAAACAATAAACCATAGAGAGGCTCTTGTTTGGGTTAAGCACACTATCATGATCACAGCAGAGTTTTGTAATGTTTGGCATTTTTATAGGTTACTATTCTTTCTGAAATATTTGTCAAGAGATCTAGTTCTGAACAAATCCAGGGTACTGGCAGACTCAGCATAGCTGAAAATACAGTTTGATATTATAAGAGTTTCCCCTATCTGTTCAGGACACCAGTAAGAATTACTCGACCAAATTCATGATCAAACACTCTCTTCCCCTCATCCCAGATCACGTGTGCTCAGGATTTATAGGGTCTTAACAGAGTATGTGAGATAATCTACATTTTTTTCTACAGTTTTCTCATGAAACCTGAAATGCATTTTTGTGTTTTATGTAGGAATAATATTCTACCAGGAGTTTGAGGACTTGGCCTTACTGGACATTTTTATGTTTCTATTTGGGTAAGTATTCAAAAACCCAGCAAGAAATGCAGGTTGAAATGTTTTACTTAGCCCAGGATATCATTTCTATCCTTTCTTCTTAATCCTCTCCAGCTGTCTCCTGTCATTCCTCGGAGTTTTCCTGATAGCCAGAAACAGACCAAAGATAAAGCAGCAAGATCGTAACTTTATTGCAATGGATAAAATCCCCGGTAAGCTTCTGATCAAGTCACTGTACAATACAGCAAGTCTACAGTACGTCTGCTGGCAGTGCAGTTATAAATTCAGTGAGTTTTGTTCACTGAACCTGTTGATGTTTACAGGGAGGAGACACACAGACAAAGTGCAGCCTGAGCCCAAGACTTCAACATACGGATCACTGGCAGCAAAACTCATCTGCAACAGGGCTGAGCAAACAGCTGATTCATAGGATCAATCCATTAGGACTGTAAATACGTAGAGTCTGCATTTTTCTTTAAATCTACATATGTACAGAAAATAAACTGGGGTCTATCCAAACCACTGCCAACTGAGCAGCAGTTCTGGTTACCACATTTGTCTAAGATTTTCATTTTCCTAAAGCAGTTTGACTTTTTCTTGTATGTAAACAGTGTTTTCAGGAGAGGAGACAATAAATAATGATGAAAAATACATTTGATATTCAACACCTGCAAATTCAAGTGTTACATATTATACCTACAGTGGACCACATATATTTAAAAGCCACTGTGATAATTTCTTTTAATGTGTTGTATTTAATAGATTAACAGAGTAGAAGTTTCTAAAAGTGGTCATTGAATTTAGGAATATTAACACATTATTGCCTTCTAACAGTGGAGACCTCAGACTACTTCATGTGATGTGTCCATCTCAGGTGAACTGAACTCATGCAGTTTGAATTTAGAGAAGGTATATTCGTTTTAGCTTTTAAGTAGATCTGGTCACGTTTACAAAACCCAATTCCATTGAAGTTGTGAAATTGTGATAAATGTAAATAAAAACAGAATGCAGTGATTTGCAAATCCTTTTCAACCTACACTACAGGCCAAAAGTTTGGAAGCAAGGCTATTACAGGCCGAACAGTTGGGAGTAACTTCAAGTTTTTGTTCACAATGCTTTTTTTAAAATTCAGCATGAGTTGTATGTATTTTGGGATGTATTTACTCCATGATCAGGTGTTGTTTTCATGGAAATGCACCATTTTACTCTATTTACCTTTGGATATACATTGATGTCAACAGACCATTGCTTAATATAAGCCAGCAAAAGAAAATAAGGGCTTAGTTGCAGGGTCAAAAACATTTGCAAGAGACAACTTAAGTGCAAAAGCAAAAAAACAAATCACAGTTGGATTATTCACTTCAATTTTTTTGGCTTTTGAGAGTCTGCACACAAAAATCTTAATAAATCTCAACTGCGTTCAAACTACCACAAAAATGGCTAGAAAGAAGCAACTGAGTAAAGAAACAAAAGTACAGATTTGTACATTGAGGAAAGAAGGATACACAGAAAGAGAAATTGCAAAACGCCTAAAGGTGTTAAACAAAGGAGTCCACTACACTCTGAAGAGACTAGAGGAACCTGGAAGTTATGATGATCGAAAAAGACCTGGACGAAAGAGAATTACTACAAAAGCAGAGGATAAACATAGCATTCTTATCATAGCATTGAACAAGAAAAAGAGATATGAGTGGGCAAAAGCTCACAAAAATTGGACTTATGATGACTAGAAACAAGTTTGCACTGTTTGGTTCAAAACACAGAGTCTATGTCCGCAGACAAACTGGTGAACATCTGAAAGCACCATGTGTTACACCCACAATTCAGCATGGAGGTGGTAGTTCCATGGTATGGGGATGTTTTGCAGGTGATGGAGTAGGAGATTTGTTTGAAGTAAAGGGTATCATGAAGAAGGAACAGTACCACTCCATCCTCCAGCACCATGCTGTTCCATCTGGACTCAGACTTGGGGCTCACAAGTTTGTTTTGCAGCAAGACAATGACCCTAAGCACTCTGCCAAGCTCTGTCAGGGTTACCTAGACAAAAAAGAAGAGGAAGGTGTTCTTCAAAAGATGGTTTGGCCTCCTCAGTCTCCAGACCTTTCTCCAATCGAGCTTGTGCGGGATGAATTGGGTTGATTGGTCAGAAAAACGCGTCCCACGAATCAGCAGTCTCTTTTTAATGAACTTAAGAAAGCTTGGAATGCAATCCCTGGAACATACCTTAGAAAACTTGTGGAATGAATGCCTGGTATCTGCCAAGCTGTTGTTAAAGCCAGCGGAGGTTACTTTAAAGAAAGCAAAGTCTAAGTAACAATAACTCAAATATTTTATTATAGTCAAATTATAGTCAAAATGTCTTCTGATAAGTTACTCTTTACACAATAGTCATGTTTATTGTGTTGCAAATTATATATATGAAACTATGATCTTTTTTTTGTACAAATCTGATCTTGCTTCCAAACTTTTGGCCTGTAGTCGATATTCAATTGAATCCACTACAAAGACAAGATATTTAATGTTCAAACTCATTAGTTTTTTTTTTGTTTTTTTTTTCAAATAATTAACTCAGAATTTCATGGCTGCAACATGTGCCAAAGAAGTTGAGAAAAGTGGCAAAAAAATACTGAGAAATTTGAGGAATGCTCATCAAACACCTATTTGGAACATCCCACAGGTGAGCAGGCTAATCAGGAACAGGTGGGTGCCATGACTGGGTATAAAAGCAGCTTCCCCAAAAATTCTCAGTCATTCACGAGCAAGGATAGGGCGAGGTTCACCACTTTGTGAACAACTGCGTGAGCAAATAGTCGAACAGTTTAAGAATAACATTTCTCAAAGTACAATTGCAAGGAATTTAGAAATTTTTTAAATACATTTTCAACATGTCTGAGACCATGATAAGTTTTGGTTGTGGAGCAGAGGTTCATAAGGTACAATCTTGTGGACAGAAGAGCGGCGCACTGCAACAAGCTGCTGTTGCTGCCTCTCCTGCTCCCTGTGGCATGGAAACAAGGCGGACTGCCTGAGCTAAGGTAAAGGCAGGACTCTTGAGTTTTGTACTTGATTTTTTTTTTTTTTTTTCTTGCAGGGGAAAGGGTAAAGTGTGAAGAAGACATTTGGTCAAAAGGGCCCCTTGAACAGCACTGGTCATTGGCTGCATTCATTAACTCCAACCTGCACATGCAGACAGCACATGTGTGTGTACATTTACATCACAGCTAAAAACTCTTCTTTGGCGTGTGCACTCAAGAATAGCAGCATTCATGTGCATGTGGAAGACGTGATTACGGCCATAGATAAAATGTACTTATGTTATGTTTACGATTACGGTGCTGCTATTTCACCTGGCAACAAGAAATACTATATTCTGATTGGCTGATAGGTTGCTAATTCAGGCAGAGCAGGCTGCTCTTGCCTCATTCATTTATACAACGAATTACTGTGCGGCGAGTTTTATCACTTCTCAGCGTGAGACTTGAGAGCCCTGTTGTAACAAGAGCAGTATGATTATTTTATTATCTTGTGTCTTTAGCAATTCATCTACAATGCAGAGGTGCTCAGTCAGCTGTTAACACCACTTTTCTTTTATTTTTGTTTGAACATAACCGTTACCTGATGCAATAAGGACAGAGAAGATAAACTGCCACCAATGACAAGGAAGCGAAGAGGATTTAATCTTTTTACCCCGTGCTGCAGAGCCAGCAACAGAGTGATAGAAAACTGGAGATGTCTGAGAGTCCTCCTGACACTCAGCTGAGTTCAAGTAACTCAACCACTTATGTGATGACAACAGCTCACAACTACAACAACATTTATTTAACTGAAACTGACCCTACTCAACATGAGTTTCACTCATCTCTTTGAGAGGCATCACATTAATGAAGGCTTTATTTAAGGAGAAAACACAAATGAAACCCAACCTGTTCAAATGTAACCAGGAAGTACTGCCAGATTATTTGCAGTCCTGCCCTGTGCATGCAACTGTGTTCAACTCTGTAAAATAGATAAAGGCACAATCCAAACTGGCACTTACTGATACATCATTTAACTTTAAGTAGAGTGCTACATCTTTGTGGAAAAGAAGTAAAGTCCATCTTTCTGGCATCACCTTGAAATCAAAGATTTCAGAGAGTTCAGTTTTGCTCTGATGTTTCAATCAGACCTCGATGGTAACTTTCACAAAACGGTAGTGCAGGGAGGTAGGGTTGCGCAGCAGCAAGATTCCTCTGTGTTTCATTTCCTGGTTGGAAAGTGTTTGAAGGAGTCCAGTAACACTGACAAACCCCAGAGCCTCCCCGCAGCCTACAGACAAGGAGAAGTCGCCCTGAGTGACCCAGCCTAAGGTCACCCTTGAGCAGTGAGAGGTGACACTCGGTAAAGGGTCCGGCCACAGCCCGGCTGTAAACCCTGAAGAGGCCTTGGAAGACGGTTTTGGCTCTTCAGAGGCGGTGAGAAGATGTGACATTTGACCCTCACTTTTCTCTGAAGGCAAAGAGGATGTAGCTGTTTTTGTGGAGCCTTTCCTTCTGCTTTTAAAGTGGTCTCTGTGCAAGGGCTCCTGGGGGCCACTGCTGCCTGGTCCTTTGTCCAGGAGTTGCAGGTCCTCTGCTGTTGGCGCACAAACTATCGCATGGAGCTCTGGCTTGCCCTTGGATGGCATCAAGAGACGCACCCACACCAGGCTCATTCCATGTGCTGTGAGGAAGGATGTCATAGCGGGATGGTCAAGCTGTGGCACCTTCTCGACGCGACACAGCCTTTGGCCTTTAGATGTTGTGGGTCTGCACCAACCAGAGAGCAGCCTCAGGGATTTCCTACACCTAAAAAGCATAAAAGCAGCAAACATCCATTAATGAAATTTAACACCAAATATTGACTCGCAGTTTCACTGACCCCGTTAAGCCCCATAGAGATGTTTCATTAAGGTTAAAGAACTGCTTTAAGTATACATTGGGACCTGACGGAAAACCAAGTCCTACTCATGGAGGCCCACCATGCAGCTTAAAAGGAATTGAAAGGATCTCTGATGATGTATCGGTACACCTTCAGGTGTCAAGCGGAGTCCATGTTCGTCAGGTCAGAGCTGTTTGACTTGGGAGGAGGCTACACTATTACTGAGTGGATGGTGCTCCTGTTTGGGCTGATGGGTGTCATTCATAAAACATGTACGATATGTATGTAAAGACAGTCACCTCAGTACGCTGACACAGCTGACAGGCTTTGCTGCAGTCATGTCTCTGAGCGATGTCGTCTCCTCTTTGATCACCTCGTCAGCCCCTCTTGTTGTCTGGCTGTCTTTCTTCTTCCCCTCTTCTATTAATATAAGCTCCCACTCCTCTGCCAGCTGTTGCCAGGGGCAACGGAATGGAGCCAGACAGCCATGTTTGATGTAATTGGTCCTTTTGGCTGGTGGACGCCTGTGGAAAAGATCACAGAGTTAAATCTTTGTCAAACTGTCAGGGCAACCCTGTCAATATATTTTAACATACCATAACCGCTAAGCAGCTTATAGTGGAGGAGCAGCAGAGAGCAGCAGCCTGCAGACTTATTTTTATCTCCTCTGCATTTGGAGGAAAATCTGCATAAGCCAATAAAGCAGGCTGGAGTGTTTCCTTTCATCAAATCAGTCTACAGACATAATCACTGCTGCAGGATAGTGGTAATTTAAATGTAAAATAGAACTGTTTATAGACATTGAAGAAAAGACCCAGACACAAGATGTGCTGGGTCATAAACGGAAATCTGAAAGACTTCCGCCGTTCAAATATTCATAAAGACAGGATGTGGTGGTTTGACAATCATTTAGAGCTGATATTTAACTAAAAATTGAGCAAAAATAACAATTAAGGAGTTGGACCTGAAAACTTTGCTTGATGCAACAATTCAACCGGTTCACAGAAGACCTGTTCCTGGAGTTTTCAATGTGATATGTTGCCCTATGATTGGCCGATTTAGGATTCAGCTGCACAACGCTTCAGGGTCTCTTTAATTGTGTGTTTTGTGCGTTAAATGATTTTCAAGTGGGGGTGATCCAGGTCTGCAGGCAGGACAGTTTTCTATTCTAACCTGTGACTTCAGAGCCAGGAGCTGAGGTAATATGTCCAAAAGTAATTTCACATCTTCACAGGCCTTAAGGTCTTGATGGCAAGATTAATTCCCTAAACCACTCAGCTTTACTCTTGCTTTCCAAGATGTGTCAAGTAGCCATGCTGTGGGAGCTTATGAATCCCCATACAGTCAGGGATGATTTTTGAGCTGTGTGCTGATAAGAAGACAACAAGTCCCTCCCTCTGGTGGTTGTCCAGAATTTCCAAAAAGAGTGTTGCATTCTGATTAATTCTTAATTAAACACCAAATCCTGTTTTATAGTCATTTTATGCAGTACCCCAACTCCTCTAGCTTTGGTCCCCAGATTTTTCCAGCCACAGCAGTCCTTTGTATTTTTCATGAATGATATTTTCTGGTTAATATTCCTGCACAATCTTCAACCAACCTCCTGAACTTTTCCAGGAGCTCTGCCTCCTGCTCATCCTGAAAGAGAGCACCCGAAGTGCAGTCTGGGTAGTCGTGGGGGAAGTGGGGGACTCCTTTATTCTGAGAATGTTTCAGACTCATGTTCAGCCCACCGGTGCGGACTCCTCTGTACACCTGGGAGAAGCAGAAACCATACATTAAAAAATCAACAGTCAATTTCAGGGTTCTTTCCATTACAGTTACAGAGGTACTAGTTTAACTCAATATTTCAAGCACTGACATGAACACAAAGTATGACTGAAAAAAAAAACTACCCGAGAACACGTGGTCCATCAATGAAACACCTTTTACAGGACTCCCCGTGAGAGAGGAAAAGGAGACCAAAAAACAGGGATGAGAGCAGCCTTGAGAAGACCAACAAAGAAGATTCTAGAACTTAGGGGGACTTCTCAGGGACTGGACTGAGGCTGGAGTCAGAGCATCAAGGGTCTCTACACACAGAGAAGTCCAAGAAATGGACTACAAGTGTCATGGCTCTGCTGTCAAGACACTCTTGAACCAGAAACAATGCCATCAAAGTCTCACCTGGACTAAGAAGACAAAGAACTGGACTGTTGCTGTGTGGTCCAAATTCCTGTTTACGGGTGAAAGCTAATTTTGTTTTCATTTGGAAATCAGGGTCACAGAGTCAGGAGGAAGATCAGAGAGGCCGTGAACCAAAGGTGCTTAAAGTCCAGAGTTGAGTTTCCACAGTCTGTGATGGTTTGGGGGACCATGTCATCTAGCTGGTCTACTGTGTTTTATCAAGTCCAGGGTCAACGCAGCCTAAAGTCTACCAGGTGGTCTTATGTTTCATCTGCTGAGAAGCTTTATGGAAATACAGATTTCCTTTTCCAGCAGAACCTGTTACTGTGCTTGATTGTCCAGGTAACTGGTCTGATCTGAAACCCAGGAGGATCTCTCTGAAGAGGATCTCTGGAGCGTCATCAAGATAAGATGAGGGACACCAGATCATCAATACAGACGAGCTGAAGGAGCTATTAGAGACCTGGACTTCAATAAGACCCCAGCAGAGACACAGACTGACTTCATGATATGTCAGATTGATGCAGGAATTCAAAAGGAGAACTAAGAACCAAGAAGACCAAGAACTAAGAGCAGAAATGAAGAGAATTTTCTAGAAGGTCCACGTGTCTGTAAATAAATCCCTTTTTTTGTAATATTCTGATGTTGTGGATTTTTGATTTTCATGAGCAGCGAGACGTAATCATCAAGATTCAAACAAAAGGAGTCCGTAAATACTTCACTTGTGTGTGATGAATCTAGATTAATCTGGAAGTTTCACTTTTAATATCAAATTATGAAAAAAAAAGAACTTTTAGGGGCACTCAAATTTTTGGAGCTGCACCTTTATTCTTGACACTTTTGGCTGTATTTTGACCAAACTTTACCTAACCTTTGTGCAGAGGACAAAATTCTGTGTAGATGTTACTAAAGATACATTTCAGTTCACAGGATTCTTCGGTATCTTACCAGTGGAATCCAGAAAGCCATGCCCCATCCTTTAGGTAGCAGCAGGTCCCATCCAGCCCCCCAAGAGCTCATCTCATGTCCCAACTGCTTGCCAGGCTGATGGACAAGCAGAACAGGGACTGAGCTCTGTGGTGGGGCGGGGCTAAGCCTGGAGCCTGGGACCAGCAACTCACCTCTCAAGTGGTTCAGCTCCTGTGGGTGATACAGAGATATTGCTAGGGTAGAGATAAATAATACCAGATTACTATGGGAGAAATGCTGATTATGTAAAAGAAGATTTGAAATGTGACAGTGCAACAACTCCACGTTACTGCTGTTCATTTCTGATAGCACAACAATGAAAAAATGCCTTCTCTGAAATCCTGTTTTCAGTGACATTGTCCCGGACCGAGCGATCCCAAAGGGAACTCTGGCAGCAGTGTTTTGGTACTCCTTTCAACATCAGCTCCCTACTCTTCTCCTCATCCACCTCTGAAACAGACACACAGCACAGGCAGACAATGAACCTCAATGATGGTGGACTTATGGCCCTGTCAGTGTGTCCCTGTTGGCTTGTGCATCAGTGATCATCTCCTGGTTGCATACAATTTCTGTCAAAGCACCCTCACTTTTACATGCAAGACTCCTTTTCTCTAAAGCAAGTTTTTCACATCCTTCATAAAATACAAGAGGTTACTTCATACAACAGCATCAACCAGTTAGTGGCGGTGTGAGTATGAAAAGAGCATGAGGGGCGGTTCAGCACAGTAAAGAGACTGCGCTGGCAAATTCTGCCAAAGAATAATGTATGTGTAATTACGTAATGGTATTAAACTTTGGATCCGGTATTCATATCATGGAGATGATGTTTCTGTGACTGGACTTGAAACTGAAGTGGAGTGATAAAAACCCTTGATCGGTTTCTCTTTGTTGCCACTAAATCAGTTGTCTTTTGTCGCTGAGGTATTGCTCAGAGTACAAGGTCCTGCCAGGGTTCGAACCTGGAACATCTGCATGACCAAGCAGAGGCCTCCTAGAGCACAGAACCAGTATTGTACTCACTGAAACAACATCAGGACCAAAAACAAAAACTGATACAGTGCTCCACTAAAGAACTTTTATTTAATGGATGAGACTCAGCTAAGATCCACTATAACACAAGTCCATGTCTGTGATAACAGCTGGTGAGAGAGTACTGAGGAACCTGGTGGGTTAGGTTTTACCTTGTGCTTTCTGTACACTGGGCAAAGCTTTAAGTTTCTTTGTGGGTAAAGTCAGTCGGGGGTCTTCTACAGTCAGACCCAGCACAGTACCAGGGGGCAGCTCTCCAGCCGAAAGGATGCCTGTATGAATTTTAGTTATGGTTAGATGAACACACATAACAATGAGACAGTTTTAAACACAAAAGAAGATATTCTCATACTTTGAGGGATGTTTGTTTTTCAGAGCCAGGCAAATGATCAATTTCACACCTGCATTACTGACCCCAAAGATATACCACTTGAACCACATTTATCCGACTGAGGTGAATCCTACGAGAGCTCTCAATCTCAAACTACCATCAGCTCCTTGCTAGCAAGAAGGAAGCATAGGGTGACCAGACGTCTCGATTTCAGGGGACTGGAATGTCCCCGATTTTAGCGTTTCATTACGGTAACACCTGGCAGGTAGGGAGCTCGAGTAGACATGTAGCATGCAGTCCTAATCAACACTTGAGGGGTGGGCATGTCAATTATATGATCAATCGATCATTCCTATTGTGGACACGATGAGGTGTTTTCTCTCACTAACAGGAAATGACACGATCCAGTATTCATTTCAGCCCAGTGGCCTGAAAGGTCTAAAAAAAGCACTGATTAAAAACGTGTCTCCCCTTCCAGACTGTTGGTGCAGCTGGAATTGACATGCTGCTGTGTCACAGTAAGATTACTAAAGTAATTAGTTCATGACAAATTTTAAATCCGTTCTTTTTGGATCCCTGCTGTTTTTGTTTTATTGCTGGTCAAACTTATTGGGTATACATGGGTATTCAGAGCTTCTGTTACAAAGTTCTTCTGTGTGGCTTCAATTTTGAAATATTCCCAGCTAAACGGACAGAAAAAAAACAGTTTACTGTAAACTAAGTTCACCCTCATTCTCAATCACAATTACAATGGAGAAAAGCCCTTTCAAGAGTTACACCTGTCTTTTTAATCTACGTCTTATGGTCAGGGTGGCTATAAATAGCGGTTATGTTGAAGACAGGTAAATATTTGGTACATTTAATTATCCTAACATTAACTCCATAGACCTTATTACTGTTGGAATTGAGTTACTGAGTTATTTTGAGCTCCCAGACTAAAAGCTGCACTCTGCAGCAAGTTAAGGGAAGTTTCATTTGGACTACCACAACCAGCCTCCAGCCCCTCATCCAAACAGATCTGTCTTGTAGCCCAGCAATGAGTTGGTGCTCCTGTGGTACATATTTTCTGTCTGAGAGCCAGCTGTTAGGTGGTAAAAAAAAAAACACAAAGAGCTGCTTTCAAATCAGGCACTGGCTCTGAATTAGCCCTGGAACCAACTTGGTGTTTCAGTAGTCTAGAGCATGAGCGACGCATGCTTCATGTGTGGTACACTCCTGTTTTCCAGCCTTTGCGGAGACCTTTGGGTTCAAAGTGATTTCACAAACTTTTAGTAATAATTTCCTCTTCCTAAGATGCTTTGCTACACAACTGATCCAAACTGAAGTAGCGCACTGAAATGCTCCAACAGGAATACACGCACCTATCCAACCCCGATAACAATTCACCTTTGAGTAAGTGATAGGCATCAGCTTGTTCTTGATGCAGAACCATCTTGCTCTCTTCTTTGCAGTGTTCGGGCCACCAGAGGGAGGAGGGCTTCAGTTTATCACTCTCCTTCAAACAAAATAAAACACACTTGTTGATGATGCAGATACTCCTCAAGTGCTGTATTCGTCGTATTTCTAACACATTTATTCTTACACCATATTTTGTGGCCACTTCCAGAGTTTCTGCCAGAACAGTGTGAGACTGGGGTCCAATAAGACGAAAGCGTACCATCTCCATTGTGAGATCACTGCAACAAATACAAAGACTTCAAATCAAATACTTCTGTGACATCAGCTGTGAAGGCTTTTCACCAAAGTGAAATTTAATTCACTCTGCAATTTAAAACACTGACTTGATGATGGTTCCAGTGCAGTTTGACTTCCAGCTAACTGGAGTAGTGGGAGATCTAGTACCATCTCCGAGGAGTTTTTTGGCAGGGGGTCCTGAAATATCCTTCACAGTCTGTTTTCTCTTGGTTCCAGCTATCTGCTTGTCTTCAGGGGTCACTGGGAGCTTTTGCTCAATGGGAACAATTGGAGGAGCGACAGCCTCATCACACTGACACACAGTTTGCAGTTCAGTCAGAAGGTCCTACAAAGTACAAACAATTACTGTAGATACCACACACTCTTGTGTATAAACTATCAAAGACTATACAACTTCTATGGACCCTGAATGTGATTTTTTTTTAAAATCTTTAAAATGTCATTACATCTGGAAAACCAACGGTACCTTTTTCATTGTGGGATGAGCCCAAATCCATAACTGCCTGAGGGTTGATCCTTGTGACTGTGGTCTCCAGAGGAAGGTGACAGGGCCCAAGGGCTGCAGGGGGTAACATCCTGCTCTGTACATCACCACACTGCCCTGTTTCTGCCCTGATAGACTCAATGCTGCAGCAAATGTAGGGCCTGAAAAAACAACCACATGCATATAAATTACTCTAACACGGAACTGCAACTTCTGTAATGGTCCTAATCAAAGCTCAGCTTCATGCATTTCTGTAATCAAGTTCATCATTAACCTGAAACGGCTATTTTAAAGTTAAACAAGGAAAACAGGAATAAAAAGGAAGCAGATTATTCATCTCTGGTTGTTGTAAAGAACTCTCACCAGTTTCCTTGCTTGTTAGCTGAGACAGAGAAGCCAGAAGGTTGTTTTCCTCTCCCTGTAGCTCGATGCAGCAGTAGTAGGAAAGGTCCTGAAAATGGTCTCTCTTACTTAAATGCAGTTTACGTAATAAAGTCATATCTGAAAAAAAACATATCCTAAACCTTCAATAGCTACCTGTAGGAGGCAGTGGCTGCTCAATGCCCTGTAGCAAGGACGGTAACACTTGCTGGTGGGTTTGTCTGCGAGGCAGTAGCCCCACTTTTTAACCATAAAGAAGCGCTTGGCGTGCCAAATGTGGGTCTCCAGCCACACGTTCTTCCTCTGTCGGCGGTTGAACTCCAGCAGCAGATTTCCATGCCGCCGCCGGGCCTTGCGGCTTTTGTTCTTTGCCTGTTCCTTCTTTTTGGATCCAGCTTGGAGGCTTTTCTCTCGCTGTAAGAAAAATGTCCTTTCAGACGTTGGAGGCACAGAACATGAATCGGTTCTGCCACTTTTGAAGCTTACCATTCGCTCGGCCACATCTCTCAGTCTGCGAGGTAGCCGCTTGGTGTTGTGGCTCATAGCTCGTCTCCTCATGTGTTTTGGCAGGGCACCAAACACATGGCAGCTGCCTGTGGTCTTCCTGACAGCTTTCAACATGCTGCTCACCTCAGCTGCCCTGGCCCTCGCAAATGCCCCAGCTAAGTGATGTTGGTAGAGTGATTGGAGAGTCATTCACTTGATTTATCCGACTGCTGCACCGCGTCACTCTTTAAAAGTAACTAAAACTTATTTTCGTTCCTTGTGACTTTATAAAATACAAGTTGGTCTAACACCAAAACACTGCAGACTCCAGCACAGAGTGAATTCTCCACAGCTGAAAAATGTCCTCACCTGTAATACACTTGGGCATCTCTTTGGCATAGCTTCCTCCATCTCTCTGGTGTCCACGGCTCCATCCAGCTGATTGATGAGGAGTCTTTGGCCTCTCCATCAACTGACCACCACCTTGGGAAAGACCATGATTTTGCCCTTTTAGAGCTAGTACAAGTCTAATCAGATTACATACAAGCATGATTTACCAAGAGTTTTTACCAGATAATGACAGACTTTGTCGAGGACGCTCTGTAGAACTGTTTCCTTGTTAAGCTCTTGAATTGCTCTTGTTTGTAATACATAAATATGAATATAATACATGGTTTTTCCTGACCCCATTGGCAGATTTTTTTCCCACGCTTTTAAAATTAAGTCAGGTCAGATTTTTGGCTTTTAGTGAGTTGAAATATGCTTTTGAGACTTTTGAAGTTTAATTAAGCTAATGTTAATATTTACTGAAAATCACAGCTGAACTGTAGTTTTGCAGTGCAGAATACCAGAAATAAAGAACTTGATTCTCAGCCTTATTTTCAGCAAGGGAAACCTCTGTTGTTAACCATTAAAATATTACTTATGTCACTGCCATGGCCTGCTGTGAAAAGAGTTCACAGTAAACTATTTCGCTTACAGGGGGGCTTACAGAGATAAGAATCAGGTTGTGGCTCACTGTCTACCTCTGGTTGTAATGTGGGGTTTGAGAGAGTTAGTATCTGGCTCTGACCTATTGACCCAGGAAAGCAGAATCTGTTCATATATTTACAACTTTGAAGGATCTTGTAATGATTAAACCATGCATGACTCCATAAAATGGTTGTTCATCAAAACATCAGGTGATACTGATTAAGAAAAGGAGAAATTCTTCACACTGAAAAAACTTCAGTATAAGTGCTGATTTGAAAGAAATACAACTACAAGGACACTAAAAATGCTGCTTAGTTACCGTGATCTGAGTCAATGTAGTTAGTTTCAGTGCTAGCATGTTTTTCAAACAAAAACTGCATCCTCCAAGGCACAAGCAGACTTCCAACCTGAATTAACATCTGCCCCACTCAACTGGACACAATAAAAGTTTGAATTCACCAACGCATATATGTGCAATGATAAACAGACGTGTAAAGCCTGAACTACAACTAAGGCCCATGCAGGTGACCCCAGGCATCCCCAGTACTAGAAATCTGACACTGCATACGCCCAGTGGGTCTGAGGGTTTTCATGAACTGTACTGGAGATTTAAGGATGTGTTTGACAATTTCTACACAGAGGAGATGCAAAGATGATGGCGTTTTTCTGAGCCCATAAACAGCTGATGGCACTGCAGCAGGTATAATGACAGAGCAGTTTACCAGAGACCACAGCGCCCCCTCCGTTCTGTGTGGTCGAAGGTGAGTACTGCACACTGGAGGGCTGGTTTTTCATCTTCTTCTCCCTCATCTTCGCTTTCGATGAAGACATCTTCTACAGAAAACAGATAAAAACGCTTTATACACCCGCAGTCGGTTTGGCCCCTTGAACTACGGTAAAGCTCACAGCTCTCACACAGCTGTAACCAATAATCTCCACTGCTAACGTCAGCTAGCTAGTGCCTTCACGGAAATCGGTGATGGTTGTCTAACAGCATATTCAGTACACATGGAGCGGTGAACGGCATTGTCTTGCCTCTTTGTCCTCCTGTGTGGCTGGACTTCAAGGACACAGCGCGAGCATAACGCTGAAGACAGTCACTGTTTCCCAGTTCGCGTGCACATGGGCTCCCGGTGGGTTGGTGCTGCTTCTTTCATGGTGTTAAATTGTGGTTGGCTAATCACCTCTCAAGGGCAATACGCCCCCGGCTGGACCGGCGTGGAACAGATTCAGGCAGCAGAGAAATACAGCTTGTTAAATCGAACTGCACCCGCACACCGTGTACCGAGATATTTAGGACCATGTGTAAATATTAGGACTGAATTTGGGTAGTTTTGATTAAGATGTTGTTCGGCCTTGCTCCACTCTAAATGTATATCCAACTTATTCTAGTCACACTGTTTTGTAACACTCCATGAAAACTTGGATTAAAAAATAAATAATTTTTTGGTGGCTGGTTCATGCGGCTCACACAATTGTTTATAGCATATGACCTTAAAAGAAAAACAAATATTGAGCTTTTTATTTTAATAACCATTTAAATGCAAAATTCAAAGAGACTTTTTGTGGGAAACTATAGACATACTTGTGTGTAGTTGACCAACTATAAGGTTGTGGGAACATTTAAATGAAAACATTAGGTAAGTAGTAGGTAAGAGGGCTTTAAATGTTTAGCTTTGTATCTAGTTTGAGTCAAATCAATTCAATGACATGCTAAATAATCTTGACATTTGGATTTATTCGCATTAATGTTGCCCTTGATGTGGTTCTCACATTTCTACGAACTGCTCTGTTGGCCAATGCTTCATTGTACTTATTATTTAGCTAATATGCACAGTTACGCATAAAAAGGGCTGAGGAAATGATTATTATTCTCTTTTTCTGCTGGTAAAAGTATTCATATTTAAGCAGCAGTGATGTGATATTCAGTTCTGTTTGTCTCTCCTGTAAGTTAAGTCGAGAACATGGGAACAATCTGCAGTAAATCCAGGAGGACAAAGGCCTATTTCAAGTCAGTTTGCCACCATCAAAGCACAGCCAGCCACTTAACACTTATCATAAACACATTTCCATGAGGCCGAGGTCAAATTCACTGAATGTAGTTATTCACATTATATAAGAATTTATCATTCATTCAAGCAAGTGAGCAAAAGACTGTGTGCAAATGTCTACAAACCTTCATAATATCAGGTGAACATGATTCACCCGACCTTGAGTATAGCTGCGCGTACCCTCGGGTATGTGCTGCGACACCCTCCCTCCCTGACACCTGCCCCCCTCCCACATGAGCAAGTTCTCAAGTATTTTTGTTGTAATGTCTTCATTATGTTGCTGAGGTGTTTTTTGCTGATCCCACACTGTGCCCCCCATGGGAGCAGAGTTTGGAGTTGCCTTTTTGTCCCCCTGTATGTATCTATCTTGTGTATGTATCTTGGAAAGGATGAACTGTAAATTGGGAATTTCCCCTTGTGGGATTAATAAAGGAGTATCTTATCTTGTCTTATATTATCTTGAGCATCACACAGAAAACAATCAATCAAATCAAAATCTGTCAGACATACATTTATGTATGCATTTAACATATCTTTGATACTGAACCAAGTGTGACTTCTACCACAGTAAAACACCTGCCAGTGTAAGTGACTCCAAATCACAGGAAAATGTCACAATCAGATTTGAGATAACAAAGAAACAGTCACAGTCAGGATTGAAATCATAGATGGATATGGAATTTGCTCAAATAAAGGGAAACCTTAAGATGTGATGTTGATAAAAACAACAATAACAACAGAGCGTCCAGAACATTAAAACTCATACTGTCATGTAGCCAACTGTGTGATAAGATAAGATAGATACGATACGATACGATACGATACGATACGATACGATACGATAAGATAAGATAAACCTTTATTCGTCCCACAGTGGGGAAATTTGCAGGGTTACAGCAGCAATAAATCAGCACAGCGAACAAAGAAGAATAAGTACACTCATCATGGACACAGTGCACAGATAATTATAAAAAGTTAACTTAGACCCATAACAAAAAATGTATATACAAAAAAATAGAAAAAATGTAAGCAACAACAACAACTAAAACTGAAAATGTCCTACATAGTAAACAAAAAAGATAGTTGTTGCACATTATTAGAGTTATTATGCCTGAGAAAAATATGGGTATTTGTAATTGTAATAAATATCTAGTCTGTCATTATTGCACATTGAGTTATTGTCTATTAGTTGTGATTAAAAAAAAAATCCTCGACTACTGGCAGCAGGCCTGGTTAAAGAGTCTGACTGCAGCAGGAGGGAAGGACTTGAAGTATGTTTCTGTCACACAGCGTGGGTGAAGAAGCCTGTCACTGAAGGAGCTGCCCAGTGCTGTTACAGTGCTCTGCAGGGGGAAGGAAACATTGTCCATGAGAGACAACAGCTTAGCTTTTTCATCCTCCTGCCACCTCTACAGGGTCCAGAGAGCAGCCCAGGACAGAGCTAGCCTTCCCCACCAGTTGGTTCAGTCTGTTCCTGTCTGCAGTTGTGATGCTGCTGCCCCAGCAGACCACTCGATAGAAGATGGCTGAGACCACATAAAAGGACCTCTGGAGTGCTCCCTGCACACCAAAGGACCTCAGTTTTCTCAGGAGGTGAAGTCTACTATGGCCTTTCCTGTGAAGTGAGTTAGTGTTTTAAGAGGATGTTTTGTTTTTCACAGAGACGTAAAGTATGGCGGTTATAATCATAATGTAGTTTTGGCTATCCCGTTGAAAAATCATCCTTACATTTTGACCTGTCTAACTTTCATTTTGGCCACTACCTAACTGTAAATTTTTTAGTCTAACGTTGAACTGTTGTGTCGTACTATTTAAAGACTGTTTCTAAATATGAGCCAAAATGATTTATGTAAACTATTAGCTTGAAATAACCTGTGAAGCTCTTTGTTCAGGCTTTCATAAACATTTAATTACAAAATGAGTTAAGTTAACCTGTTGATTAGATTTTCTCCATGATATTGACATGAAGAATAACCAGTTTGGTTATTTGCCCTTCTGCAGCTGAGCTGTCAAATGTGAGACAAACAAAAACCGACAGCTGAAGAATTATTTCAAACCCCTCTTGTCATGATTACACTTGGTGGTGTGTGTGACGTTTGTCCCTTTGGTTTCTTCCACAAAGGTTAAGCGGCTTCACCCTGGCTCCTCCCACACCAACACACCTGCACCTCATCACCTCTGATCACCTGCTGTGCCAGTTTATTTTCACACCTCACGTGGTATCTCAGCCAGCCTTGGAGTTTTGCATTATTGAAATTATTTCCATTTAAATGGTGTTTTACATGGGATTAACCCCTGCTCTCCTCTTCTCTCCTCCAGTGCCTCCATAAGCCTGTTGAGCCAAAGTCCCAACCTTTGCCATGCTTTTTCCTCTGAGCTTCCTCACACCTCAGACCTCAACCCCCCCAACACAAAACCTCTCATTGGAAATCATTACACCTCTGAGTCAAAGAAAATTCACTTTCAAACAGAGATACAAAACATCTTGACATTATTGTTAAAGCAGGGACTAAATACTCTCTGACAGTAAGGGAGTGCCATTACAAAGGAGGGAAAACTAGACTACCAGCAGAAAATACTGCCAAATAAAAAAGGGGGAACACTGAAAAGAAAATCTGAAACCGGACCTCAGGAACATAGACAGGAGGAGCAGGAGACAAAAGCCTGAGGAAACAACAGTAAAATAACAAGAATGTGACTAAACAACACAAACAAAAACTCAGGAAAACACAAAGTCAGATCTACAGACAAACATAAAGCTGTGATCCAGTTACTCAGATGCTGTGCCCTCATTCTTCTTTACTTTATGATGATCTGCAGGAATTTAAGACTTAATGCATCTAATTTCTCCTTACTGTACATCTGAAGCAGACAGGTGAAACAAGAGCAGAGAGACTGGAGCAGATTATCATATCACTAAGTGAATCTTTCAGCTCCTGTGATGCAGACTGTGTGGTTTTATTTGCAGAGCTTTGTCAATGTTTGAATCGAACGTTACATTTCATGAAGCCTACAATTACACCAGCTGAGGCTCAGCAGTTCAACTGTCTTCAGAGAATATTTGTTCAATGAGTGCAGTATTAAATAAAACTCTGAGCATAACCTAGTCCTACACATTTGGTCTACAAAGCTTTACCATCATGTTGAAGTCACAGTGAAACAGAGCCAGCTTGTAACTCACATCCCTTAATGTCAATGAAATGTTAAATAAGAGAAGAAGTCTTCATTCAAGTTTGACCAAAACAAATTACCTACATAGAAATAAAGCAAACAGGGGCATGGCAGTTTCACTTTGGCGAACCAAACATGAATTGATTTTCTGAATTCTGACAGATTGTGAGAGACAGGCTTTAAAGAGATATGATGCTGGCCTATCATTATCATTGGTTATTACATTTCGAATTGCATATTCGATGCTGCACAGGCACTTCTAAATGATGATTGAGAACGTACAGACCCAAAGAAAAGGTGTGTAAGAAAACCTCCCAGTTCTACATAAGTGACCCTTCTCTCTCTTCTACACAGGTGCTAAGAGTTTCTTTGTGCTCATGGAGGATCAAATCTCTGCTGCAGACCAGTCTTTCAGAAATGCTTAGAATCTAATGCTGTGGTGATGAAGTTGAGAAAAACCTGACATGTTTATCTTTTGACTAATCTGTTTCAGTCTCAAAGCTCTCCAAACATGGAGCCACAGAGAAACATTTGGGTGTGTGACAGTAATATCACCTCCAGCCCCACTGACACCATTTTTTTATTATTTTTTTTACTTCACCATACACACAATTAACACCCTTTGTTTGTTGTATTGTCACATTGTTTAAATTAAGCACACCTCCCTGCTATATTGATCATTATATCTTTGTCTGTGTGTAAGCTGATCTCAGCAAAAGGCATGACCAAGGACACAAAAACTCTGGGTCTGCTCAAGTAGTCCAGAGGGTTTTCCCAATGACTTTTTCACATGTTTTGTCTTAACCAGGACAAAACTGAGGTTTTAGTAATCGATCCTGATGCCCAGAGAGAGAAACTTTTACCCAAACTACAAGCACTGTCTTTTAATCCATTACCACAAGTGAGAAACCTGGGGATCATTTTTGACTCTAAGCTGACTTTTAGTCCACACATTAAGAACATAACAAAAGTAGGTTTTTATCATCTAAAGAACATCGCCAGAGTCCGCCCCATTGTCTCTCGGGTCAACACAGAGATGCTAATGCATGCTTTTATCACCAGTCGTATAGACTCTTGTAATGCCCTGCTTTCTGGTCTTCCAGAAGAATATTTCAGGTCTACAATTATTACAAAATTCAGCAGCACGTGTCCTGACTAAGACCAGGAGGCGGGCCCACATGATACTGGTTTAAGAATTGACTCCCTGTGTGTTTTAGTGTCGATTTTAAGGTTCTTTTACTTGTTTTTAAATGTCTTAATGGTCTTGGGCCTTCTTATCTTTCAGAACTGCTTTTACCTTATGAACCTTCACAGACCCTGCGCTCCTCTGGCAGCAGGCTCCTAGTCATTCCAAAAGTCAGGACACACACTCACGGTGAGGCGTCTTTTCGATATTAAGGCCCTCGTCTATGGAACAGCCTGCCAGAGCGGCAGAGAACGTTCATGTTTTTAAGAGCAGGCTCAAGACCCACATTTTTAGCTGAGCCTTTAATTGATGTTTATTTGTTTTATCTTCATTTATTCTAGTTAGCCCAGGTTTATTTTAGGTCCGTGTTTTATTCATATTTTAGTTTTTACTAAATGATGGCGCCTTCTCAACTGGTTCATCTGCACTCAGCCTCATGCCCACTCTGTTAATGTGTGTACGTGCGAGTGTGTTGGTGTGTGTGTGTGTAGGTGGGTGGTGGGGGTGGGGGATAAGGGGGCATCTCGGATAGTTTTTTGCTTTTAACTTGACTGTAAAGCACTTTGAGTCACATTCCTTTAGGAAAAGCTTTTAAATAAAGTTTGATTAATTGACTGATTGATTGATTGATCGATTAACCGGTAGAAAATGTGGAGGGTGCTGTTACTCTAAACAGATGATCATAAAAAAGTGGAGAACAGGGTGATGAATGTGAAATGATTCAGGGATTTTTAAGTTAGTGACTAGTCTCTACATGTAACCTTGATTATGTAAATGCTGTTTCTGTCGTTTCATCATAATATTCAGACAGGTATCCTTTATTACTTCAGTGACTGATAAGTGCTTTTCATCAACTGCCCTGTGTGTGTGTGTGTGTGTGTGTGTGTGTGTGTGCTATTTTCACTCATCACCATCTATGTATGCAATAAGACACAGCTCCAACTCAAACACAGAACAGGTTATTAGTGTGTACAACTTTATTCTATACAGGAAAGAAGAACTGTAAACAAAGCCCAGATAAAAATCATATAAAATATATAAAGACAAATGTATAGAAGACAGGAACAGAAAAAAATAAAGAAGTTTAGGCAGTTTTTCCCCCATGATCACACCAAAAGATCTATATTAGAGATATTAACTCTATACTTCAGACTAAATCGTGTGTACAGGGTCATGAATGCATGTACTTGGGTAAAACCAACAGTATCAGTGTTTCTAAGTGACGGGTTTGGTTCATAGTGGGAAATGCCTCAATCATCCAGAGAATAATCTTATAAAGTAGCAGTACACTTGTTCCAGTACTCGGATCATCATGCATCTGAACATCTTTGTGCTTCATTCCTCTTTTGTTCATAATAAAAAAAAAAAACACATTTTGACCATATTTTTGTCTGATAACCAAAGTAATGGCACATGGACACATGAGTTTGACTGTCAGTAGTGGCTCAGTGGTGAGGTCGGTGGTCTCTCAGTCAGCACTTTAATCCTAGGTGCCTTGGTCTGCATGCTGAAGTGTCTTTGGGCAGGACACCGATCCCAAAGTGCTCTAGTTTGCTTCACCGGGAGTGTGTGAGGTGGATAAGTAAATGCCGAGAGCTGCTTGTCATCACAGCCTCTGCTATCAGTGTATGATGGTGGTGTGAATGAGTGAATGTGACAGTGTAAACTTTGAGACCAGAGGAAGCACACTTTAAATACAGTACATTTACCAGTATTAATTACCAGTATCACACTGTACACTGTGTTACTAAGAATTTCATTCACATTTAGTACTGTGTAAAGACACATATCAGACTACAAAACCTCAAGATGCAATGTACAGAGTAAGAGTAGGAAAACCTCAGGTAGTTAATAGCACTTGGTTTGCAAAGGCCTGAAAAAGTGGATCCAGGCACCAAAGGTCTCCGAAAAGCAGCTTATACAGGTTTATCTTAACAAACGTAGGAAACTAGATTTTTTGAAGGCATCTGTCATGTGGATGTACCTGGTGTGCAGTGCTGACAATAACAAGATGAAGAGTTCATGTTTGTTACTTGTTCTTGATATTCTTCCAGCTTCTCCCAGCCGATGGGTTTTGGTATTTTGCATCTTTTCTGTGAAAAAACAAGTTGTTATGTAATCTGCCACTATAATACTATTACTACTACTACTACTACTACTACTACTACTACTATACACACGCACACACACACACATGTATAGAAACATATAAACATGGTGTGGATTGTGACTGTGACTGTGATCTCACCATCTCCCCAGGCTAATCCTCCTTTTTGGCTTTTTCCTCCGATGAGGCCTCAGTCGCAGACGCCACTGCAGATAAATAGAGGAAAGATACATAAATAAAAATCACTCTTTCTTTTAAAAGAGTCACATAGTAAACTTAAGCATGATGGCACCTGAAGCCTGTTTGACAGATGCGTGTTAACATAACAGTTTCCTATAACAAAGCCACGGAGGAGCTGTAAAACAGGAACATTCCTTCCAAACTTCTTCTCATTCTGCTGAACTGGTTTACTGGTGAGCTGCCTGTCCTCTGAGCACTCACAGAAACATACTCACTTTGACTGCTCAGTAACTGCTCTGGCATACACAGCATAGCTTCCACAGAGAAACCCTTGTAAAAGTTATGTAATATGTCTTCAGCACCAGACCACAGCTCCACACGTGCAGTGAAGGGCCTCTTCTCTGCCCTGAAAGTACTTTGTGTTCTTTTAAAGTCAAGTTAGGGAAGTTGTCCACAGACCATGAGCCCGGTCCTTCACACAAGGTAGTGCACACCAGCGAGATAATACATGGGTAGCACTACACACACACAGATATCATCGCCCTGTCTGTCAAAGTTAAAGGTTAAAACTAGTTTAAATAATAACAGAACCACCGCACTGTCTGATAACTTTATAACCGTTTAAAGTGGGAAGAATTACACATGATGTGGTCTGGCAAGTCAACTACTGCCATTTTTTTGACTAATATATCTGTCATAAATCTGATAAAAATCTTAGAGTGTCTCCGGAGACTCTTTCTCTACAAAATGAACCCTTAAACAGGTTCTGACCTTGTAACTATGTATCTGGAGCAGGTCCAAATGATTAGATTATTTATGTAATTCTGAGTGGCAGTGCAGTATTTTTATAGTAGTCAGCTCACCTCTGATCACAGCTGCATGACTGGACCTGCTGATAACATTCTCCTGCTTAGAGTCACTCATGAGACAAACCTGCATTTTCTCTCTGCTGTATTTCTACACAGCTTTATCATTTCAGTACCACAGGCAAGAAAAGATCTTCTTCATCAGCCAGAGAGTAACGTACAGCAACAGTCAGCCCTCTAGTCAGTCCAGAGTTTATCACTATTCAAGCAGCTGAAAACAGGGTACGATACCTCAAAAATCTAGAAATGAAACAATAGTCGCTTGCTGCATCATGTTTTGCAGTTTTATACATGCATATAGTGTTTCGTCACCTGAAAAGGCAGTCATTTTATAGTATTTACTAGGCATGGACAAATATGTGAAATGACTGACTGGAAATAAGATCAAAAATAGATGTTGAAATTGACATTAATACCTTCAAGTGTGGTTTCAGGAGCTGGGGATACTGCAGAGCCTGCTACACTGGCTCCCTCTGGCTCTGAGGTGACAGTTGCTGCGGGAGCATCAGATGAGGTTTCTAGATTAGCTGGTTCAGGTTCTGGAATGGCTTCGGTGTGGCAGGGAACCTCAGCTGCTGGAGCTGTATCCACAGGGCTCACGGCAGGTACTGCAGATAATGGAGGCATATCTGGAATTGTTGCAACAGCAATCACTGGATCTATGATAGATTCTGTGACCGGTAAAGGTGCTGGGACTTGACTCGGTGACAAAACCTCTTCTGGCCCCACACCTTCACCTGGGGCTGCTGGCTCAGCTAAAGCTGAAGCATCACTTGGTGCAGGTGCTTCAGCCTCAGCTGGTTCTGCGGATTCACATGGTGCTGTAGAGGCAGTTTTTAGTGCAGCATTGTCAGTCGGAGACTCTGCCTCTTCAGGAGCAGACACAGTGACAGGGGCCTCAGCCGCTGCCTCCTCTGTAGCCACTGTTGGCTCAGATATGGCAGCTTCAACAGCCGGGGCATCAACTTCAGGAGGGGGCTCAGGTATCACAGCAGTCACCTCCTCAACAGCAGCAGGGGCTTCTACCTGCACATCCACACCTGAGTCAGCCGAGGGGACCTCCTCTGTAGACTCGGCTAAAACCTTGACTTCAGGAGAGGGCTCAGGTATAACGGCAGTCACCTCCTCAACAGCAGGAGCAGGGGCATCTGAGTCCACCGAGGGGACCTCCTCTGCAGACTCAGCAGGAACTTCAGCTTCAGAAACAGCCTCAGGTATCACGGCAGTCACCTCCTCAACAGCAAGAGTAGGAGCATCTGCCTGCACTTCTACAACTGAGTCCACCGCGGAGACCTTCTCGGTAGACTCAACAGGAACTTCAGCTTCAGGTGTGGCCTCAGGTATCGCAGCAGTCACCTCCTCAACAGCAGGAGCAGGGGCTTCTGTGTGCACTTCTACAACTGAGTCAACTGAGGGGACCTTCTCTGTAGACTCAACAGGAACTTCAGTCACAGCCACTGTCTCTACAGGGGCAGGTACCTCCACAGCTGCTACATCTTCAACTACTTCAACGGCGACCTCAGGTTCTGTGTCACCTTCAATTAGATCTGCAGCTTCTGGAGCCAAATCTGCAGAGGCAACAGGTTCTTGCTGAGGCTCAGACACAGGCAGAAGGTCAGTCCCAGAGCTAGGAGCCTCCTGAGCCTCCAAGGCCACTGACACAGGCTCCAGCGTGCCATCACTGACTGGCTGAAGATCCTCTGGTAGGGCAGTCTGCACAGGCAGCTGCATTTGGTCCTCAATGGTTTGGGCATCTTCTTTGTTGATGACATTGTTGACAGCTGTACAGGATGGAAAAAGAGAGGTGCTTTACTAAGAATGGTGACAGACCAGAACAAGGCAGTCCCTCTTTTGGGGTCTTTCAGACTGTGATGCCCACTGTGTTCATCTGTAAAAGCTGCAACATGGCAACACTTTGAGTCCGGGCTTGGACTTCAGTACTAAACACTAGTGTGAGGTGCAGTTGCTTTAGAAAATGTGTCTTTATAAGTTAATTACAAAAACTACAACTACCTTTTATAGCATTGTTTAGTATTTACTTTCTGTAATTTTTAAAAATAAGTTTTGTAATATTTCATGTTTAAAATTTGTTATATTTCATGCACATAGTGGGCAAAGTTTACCGCAGTCTTATTCCTTGTATGTGTCCACATACTTGGCCAATGAGGCTGATTCTGATTTAAATAACAGTGTTCCTCAGCACTATTTCACTGCTAAAAAATCCATCTGACTTTATTCACTCATTCAAAACACAGCGCAGGAAGTGAAATGGGTGGATAGACTGATGGTAAAGCTGTCTGATTTGACTCGTATGTCAGGAGTGATAAAGACAGCTTTGGTTAATGGGTGGAAAAGAATGTGACAGCCCTGCAACCCAACAAATGAGACGGTAAAAGAATCCACAACACAAAGAGCTCAAGTGAAATCAAACATTCAAGGTTGAGCTACAGTGTTTGACAGTAAAATCATGTTAAAACAAACAAACAAACAAAAAAGAACTTTTACAGCCATCACCAACTATTATACAGACAACAAATGTGTTGTCTTCACAGCAGGTCTGACCTGGTTGGTAAAGAGTGTGAATGTGTGTTTGGGCAGAGACACAATCAGCTGCTCCAGACATGGATGACTCGTGTGTCAACATGATTTCACAGCCAGAGATGACAGAGATCCCAGTCAAAACAGAGCTTTGGCTGACAAAAAGCACAGAGACAAACAGGGGGATAGACGGGGATGGGACCGGCAGCTTGGATGGCATAGAGCTGGTCTGTAAGACAGACTGTTCACTGTATGATTGAGACCTCCAACCGCCCCACTCTCAGAGAAGTCTGCTTAGGCAAAGAGTACAATTACTTATTTCTTACAGGAGGTGATGTAAGAGGCTGGAGAGGCAGCAGCACTTCTTCAGGTGACCATAACTGACTGACTCAGTCAAACAAAATACAAAAGAACACAGTAGAGGATGGAGATGATACGCACAGAGGAGCTGATAGAGTTATATTGACTATCAACAGGCAAAAAGAAACAACTTAATTTATCTTCAACATTCAGACACTGACCCTGCTTCATTCCTAGTTTTATTAAAAAGTTCAGTTGATCAATCACATACACATTTCCTTTCAGTGTAGCAGCTGTCATTTAATGTTAATGTTAATGTGTGGAGATAACGTGTGAGCCCTCTGTGCATGCCATGTGTCATTAAGTTAAACCCATGAACGGGAAACTATTGTGACAGTCTTTGGCAGGCCTCACAGAGCGGGCTCACACGAGAATGAACAGAGTCCCACTTCATATCCAGATGCATAACACAGGGAAAATTAAATGTACATGTAGAGCAGGACTACCTCTGGGCACAAAAATAAATCAGAGCCTGTCTTTTCAGTCCCAATGAGGTATTTCAGAGAAGTGTGAAAACAAAAGAAGTAGCCCCCTGCTTTGCCCGGTGTACTCACTCCTCAAAGCAACAGTAGGGACCTATATGTGTATATACAGCTCAAAAGCAGGTCGTTTCAGCACATTTCACTGCTGGCCTCTGGAGTGAAAAACAGGTTGGGTTGCAACCTTAACCTCAGGCTGCAGTAGGACAGCACTCTCAGCTTTAGAAGCAACATGAGGAACACTCCCAGCTGCTTTCACTCAATGCTGCTGAAAAAGGATGACACTTTGGGCAGGCTTTGTCCAACCTATATAATCCATAAAAAACACAGGAACATTCATTCAGCCCCACTGAATGATGCAGGCACTTTAACACAATCACACAAAGTTAGCCCTCTCTCAGGTCTGATTTTGAATGTAAACTTGCTGCAATTCACTTTCTAACACACAAAAAAAACACAAGCTCTGGGCACCAAGTAAGATAAGACCACTGTAAAAATAAACATCAGCTGCTTTTGAGGAAAAGATTTAACTTTAAGTCTTTGCCCCACATGGATCAGCAATACTCTCTGCAGCACAGTGAAGTCAGAAAGCACATAGTGTACTTGTTGGGTTTGGAGTCACAGTCCCCTCTGAGAGACTCCACGAAGGGAAAGTAGCCTAACTCTGCTGAACTTGTGAACATCTTGAGAAACTGTCTGTCCTGTCTCATATTGCACAGATCACTGACAGTTTTAAAGAGAAACTTCAGCTCAACACATTTAAACCAGACAGTCTGCTCACTACTCACCCACTGTGTCTCCATTACTCTCCTCTGGCTTTGTACCCGGCCTTTTCTCCTGATCAATAGTTTGTGCACTGGACGAGGAGCAGCCCATGTTTGGAAGAAGGGTTAAAAACAATCAAAACAATTCAAACTCTTAGAGGTGCAAAGAGAAGTCCAGGTGCTGTGTAAAGTCAAAAAGAGACTGAGCCTGGTTATGAAATAATGGATAGTTTGAAGTCTTAGGAGTAGGTGGGTACCATCATCACCCCCTTTTCCCTGGTAGCTTATTGCATGGCCTGCTCCCCCCTTGCCTGAAATTGTGCTGTGATAATGCAGTGAAGCTCAACTTTACAGGCTGCCCTCTGCTCACACTCACGCTATTCATAAAGGAGGAGGAGGAAGAGGAGGAGGCCAACATGTGCCTGAGGAGCAGGTCCTCCCTCTGGAGGAGGGTCCAGTTCTGAGGATCTCCAAATTAAAAGTCTACCACATCAGGAAATGATGGAGGCCCAGCTCTTGTGTTAAGGTAGACAGACTGAGCCTTTACAGGCTTATTTTAGCCTGAAGACCGTTTTATGAGTTTTAGACAGCCTAAAGACAAATGTTTATTGGGTGAGGCTTTTCAGGAACCCAGATGAGTTTTTCAATAGAGAAAACTCCCAGATTGAAACTTCCTTTTTATTTTTTCTTTCTTAAACCTTTTCAATGGCCTTTCTTTCTTTTGAAGGATTTATCAGCGTCTTCTGAGGTTGACACGTTACCTGGAGAGTTTGCTGAGGCAGGAGTAAATAGGTGGCTTAGTCGATGCCTGTTTAAAACAGTGCAAACAGTAGTGAGTTATTGAGAAAAATTTAAATTATAACTCTGATTGATTAAAGGGTGATTCATATATTTACTCATAGTCTGTAAAAAAACACATGTATATGGGCTGTAGGGTGAGCGAGACGCTTCTCCGGGCGCATGTTGATGACGTACTGCCACGTGTACGCAGTAAAGGCAGCAGCACAGCTGAGCTCCTATAGTAATCACACATCCTGAAGTGTCCTTGTGCCCAGGATCTTTACCATCAGGAACACTTTTTTCCTTCCCTTTAACCTCGTCTGATCTCATGGTCGATCGTAGAAAATAACGTCGTAAAGACAAAGCTGCAGCAGATAGTGGTGGTAACGATATAAACATTTAGAGTCTATGAAATATAAAATGTTAGTCACGTAGTTGTCTATTTACATTCAAGATGTTTCCATTTTCCTTTTGTTTGGTCACTGGTGTATATGTTCCAGTTCCATCAGCTGCAGGATGTGGTTTTGATTAAATACCCTGCTGAGTTTGTCGCCATAGGCTATACTTCAAAATCCCTTTGTACATTTTTATTAGACTTCTATCCTGCACCAGGGGTCTTGACTGGTGTGGTAGACCCCAGCCTTCACTGATCTTGATCTTAGGGCTTTCTCTGTGCTATATTTCCATCTAGCAATTTAGATGTTTTTTCTTTCTGTAGTCGAAGTGTTGTTGGGACATGCTGTGCAGGGGCTTCTCCTTCCATGACAGCTTGGTTTCTCTGGTTCCTCATTTTGCTGCTTGGGTTTCTGCTGGATGAGGGATTCACTCAGCAGGTCATAATTGGCAGTCATCTTTCTGATGTACTCTTGGATGTGAGCTGTATCGGCTTTTCCAAAGAGAAAAAAGGAGACACTTTCTGCTTACCTGCTAACTACACTCATTTTCTCTCTTTGCTTTTCTCCTTTCATTTGTCCAGCTTTCAATCACTTCTTTAATTGATGTGTTAAGCCAAGGCACAATTACTTTGAATGTTTATCTTTTTTTGTTAATCTTCTATACATCATATAGGAAATGCCAAAAAAAGGAACAGAAGTTATACAATATGATTGTATAACTTGATGAAACTGAAATAAAAACATGAAATATTAAACACAAATCTAAAAACACTTTTTGCATCCACCTTTATTGTGAAATTTTCTACTCCCCCTGTACAACAAAAACAAACTTTCCACAAGGCAGCAGTGAACTGTCAATGATAGTACTTGTTTATAGAAGGGGATAACTTAAAGTCACAGTGTGTCTTTCCTCCTTTTAAATACTTCAACCGCTGTCATCTTTGGCTGGGTTTCGGCTGACAGCCCTTTGTCGAACCACTTATCTGGGAAGCAAAGGTTTGAGCCATCAGAGCAGGGCTGCGGGCTTTTTATTTTACAGTGCAGATGGAGGAATGTTGAGGACTGGAAACTTCTTCATCAACAAAATTTAAAAAAAAAAAAGAAAAACAACAAAAAAAATAAAAAATAACAAGGTGTTTGTGTTCAAAACACAAAAAAATATTACAGCCTGGGGAGAGAGAGGAACGGTATTTCAAATTTAATAAAACTGTATAGGGACAGAAAATAAATCTACAAAATTAAGCTAGGTAAATATTTCACAACAGTAAACATATTTTTATTTTTTTTAAATTGACAAACCTCTACACAAAACCAAAATTCTTGGTCTTAATGGCTAGCAGGAGCTTCTGTTTAAGTATCTGTTTTGAAGAGTAGAGTGGCACGTAAAGGCGTGAGATGCAGGTATTGGCTGTGGGAAGGTGCTGGTCATCTGGAGGCCTGATGGTGATGGAGGGCATTGGCTGGAAGCCCTCCTCACTGGCTGGTAGAGATGGGCTGGAGGTCCAGAAATACACCTGAGGGCACAGAAGCATAATTCACTCTTTCTATTGGCCCAGGAAGAGAACTGCACTAAGTTGAACAGATGAGTGAGGGTCAAAAAGCCAGAGTGTAAACAGAGAGAGAGATAACTTTTCCAAAGTATTTTCTCAAACCTCTCAGAATTGTCACTTGTATTTAAGTTCAAACAGCTAAAAGAGTTTTCTGTAGTAAATATAAGGTTTTGTAAACCCCAACCGTAAGTCCACAATGGGGCATACCTACAACCCTGCACCACCCCATATTCAGTCAGATCTATTACAGTCAGTGTTTCTATAACACAGCTTTCTCTTCTCTTCTGACTGACTCTGCCACAACTTGCTCAACCATAGATGTATTTGTTATTATTTAGTTATTGATCAATAAAAAACAATGTCATCATAAGACCACATGCATACCTACATACTCTGTTTTCGTGACCCCTCATAAAAACTGTTGTTCTGTTATGATAAAGCCCAGATCAGTGTTTTAATCAAAGCGCATCCTTAATAACTTAATGCTGCCTGGGGTGTGTGCATTTCCCAGGGTCCTCAAATGCCACACTTGGCAGCCATAAGCTCTCACTTTAAATCACTCAGCAATACACAACATTACCACCCAGACCATACAGTGTATTTAGGTCTGCTCTGTCTACGCCACCACCAGAGTCTGAAAGGCTGCAGTGAGGTCTTTCAGTAAAGCATCTTTGCACTGTGTTTTCCTTCAGGAGGCCTGTTTAGCAAAGCTGCACATGCCTGTGTTTATTTGGGTACTCTTTTTTATATTAGGTTAACCCGGCTGTAGAGATCTCACACTGAGTCTAAATAAAATACTCACTTTTGTGCACCTTGCCATATATGGTCTGAAATAAATGATTACTTACAACTTTTACTCAATTGAAAAACAATCAACTTCAGAGAAACAGTTGAACGTGTTTTGAATGGGGTGTTTATGTTAATCTGAGCCTCTTACAGTGCATCTTTGACAAAAGCAGTTGTGAAAGCTCACAGTAACTGTTTAGTTTTCAGTGTACAATCTTTATGAGAAGTGACTTACCAGGTCTTGTCTTTCAGTCATGCTCATCTTCTCCACTATAGACCAGAACCAGCGTTTAAACTGCAGTAGCTTGTCTGCATTCTCTCCTAATGGATAAAATACAAACTTGTTACAGGGAAATTCTCTTAAGCAGATTTTTAGGCAGGTCATTCAAGATCAAATTAAATAATGGACACAAAGAGAGACAGCTAACAGACAGAGCTTAATACCAGATTCATCATTGAAGGAGGTGAAGCTGATAAGCATCTGGACATTGACTTCTCCACAGCCGTTAACAAGCAGCCTGAAGTCCTCTGCTGTCAGGTCCTCCAGAGCGTTCTTTGGAAGTACATCCAGTAAACCTTTCCTCATCGCCTATGAACCACAAAGGGAAAGCAGTCTAGGTGGATACACTCTGGTGACACACAACTCAACGGCACATGAGATATCTGTAGCTCAAAGGGTGTGTGTGTGGTGTGTGTGTGTGTGTGTCCTCAAAGTGTTTAACTTACATGGAGAGGCTGTTCTGCCACCACCAGCATCCTGTGCTCTGCATACTTCCTGACATACTCGTACACGTTCAGAGGAGTGACGGGCATGTTGACCCCACCAGACAGGAGCTCCACCTGAACCAGAGAGAACAAACACTTCAGTTACAGTGTGATTATATCACTGAACAACATCATTTACACAAAGGGCCACATTCTTGTGTCATAAATCCTTTTTTGGATTGGTGTTTTATAATATTTTAATAATTTGACAGTGGAGTTTTGAATTGAATCAGCTGTAAGCTATAATCATCACATTTTAAAAAAAGTTTTAAAATATTTTACTTTGTTTCTTGAATCTAGAAAATCGGGAGGTTTCACTTTCTGAGTTAAATTATGGGAAAATCTAAACTTTTTCAGGACAGCCTCATTTTTTGAGCTGCAGCTGTTTATCTGTAACTTGCAAAGATAAATAGTCTGGTGGAGTAGCTTCTTTCCGCTTTAGACCCACCGGTCCCTCACACGGCTGTTTGTAGTGCAAATAACCAAAGGCTGGTCACAGAGATGCACAGGAATTCCCCCTGAGCCCTGAAACAAACACTTCCTCCTTGCTCTCTGCTGGATGTTCAGCCTGCTCAGCGTCTGCCCAGACAGACCAACATTTGGAAGTAGCCTATTCGTTGTTTCAACAGCTGACAATGTTCAGGCTTCAACGGTATTACTGCAATGCTTTTCCTAAACTGTAGTTTCATTACACAGTCATCAACTCTGTGTTAGACCAACACTTGGCCAGGAAGTCTAGTTGAAATATCAGAGCCAGCTCAACAGTGGGGCTTCTGTTACCTGCCCAGCTCCCTCCTCTTTACACAGGTCAATTGCAAATGCCAGGTCCATGGCGGTGAAGACTGCCTCGGCTTCACCTGTCTGAGAATGGCGGATGAGCTGCCGCAAGCTCTCATACATGACTGGGTCAAAGAAGGCAAAGTCATGCCAGTTCACCTGCAAGAGAAGATAATATTCTGAATATAAGCAGCAACTCAGAGTGTACAAATATACATTTAAAAGAGGGATTGTCTTTTTTACCTTCCTCCCAAGCAGCACTTTGATGACATGTCTGTTCAGCGTGATTGGACAGAGCTCATTCTGAAGCAGACATAACCCCAATATTCTGTTGGATTTCAGAAAACATTTAGCTACTTTCACAGTGTCATTACAGAGCATTTCAAAAAGAACATTGAGGAGCTCTGCAGGAAGCTTTTCATTAGAGTGACCTGTCCTTTTAACATAAATATCTACAGGAAACACACTTTTCTTTGCGAATAACAAAACATGAAGGAAATTCACAACCTGCCGATGTTGCGGAAGCAGTTCAGCCTGGCTTCTGTGTTCTTGCCGGGGCGAGGGGAGTAGAAGCCTCTTTTGCCAGGCTGGTAGAAGAGAGGAGCGTTGTCGTCTCCATCATCCGGGTCATCCAGCTCCATGTCAACCACACTGCGGGTTGAACCATGTCGCTTACGGCTCTCTTGCTACAAGCACAAAGATGTAGGAGAGGGGGACAGTGAGGTAGGTCAAGGTGGGCTGTATAGGTGAGTTTCTTATAGAAGTTCTCATGTCATCTTAAATTGAAGAAGATCCGAGTCACTGTGTCAAAGGGATCTTTCACAAAAACATCTGCAAGCATCAAATATAGAGTGACATCTGAGACTTACTTGTGCTTTCTCTGGGGCTTCCAGGAGACCCAGGTCCAGTATGCTGTCAGCACCATTTTCCCTAAAGAAGACAGAGGTATTAATATTGAAGCTCAAATACTTCGATATGAATGAAAAACACAAGACAGGACATTAAGTTTTGTCTCCTGACAGCTGATCAGTGGTGGCGTTCAGCATGCCCCACTGTAGAGAGCTAATGCTAATGCTTCCGGTAAGCTATCAGAACCTGTACTGTTGTAACAGCAGAGTCTGTCACCCAATGGGGGTCTTAAGCCTAGTTAATGCTTCTGGGTCATAGCCATGAACCCCCGACACCTGCAGAAACATGCAACTTTGTGTCGAACAACACACACCACCAGCCCCATGACTGGTCTGCTTGGCTGCAGACTACACTCCCACTGAGCCAGCTGCCATGTGCCATAACCTACCCAAGACTAAGAGAAAGTCAAGAGCTTTGTTTCAGACTTTTCAAACTGGATTTTATACTTTTAAAGCCTCATTTTGAGAATACTGAATTAAACTTTGAAGATCTGAAATACATAAACTAAAAGATCCTGTGGGCGTCTCCCTGATCAGCAGTTTTGCCTGTCTGAGTTCACCTTACCTGCCATGTGCGATGAGAAGTTCCATGGCCTCCTCTACTCGTGCTCTGAGTGAATCTTCACTGGCCAGCAGCAACAGCAGCTGGGCAGGTGACAGCTCCAGTAACATGCCTGTGATTTTACTGGCAAATGCCTGAGGACAAACAAGTGCAGCTTATCTGATTACAATGAAACTGTCATGGTTACATTTGGACTTTGCAGTAGTAATGCTTATTTATCAAAGACAGTTAAAGCGTGTTTCAGATCCTTTGGAAACTGCTGCTGCTGGTCACAGCGAGGTTCAGGTCAGGCTCTCTGTGTGTAACAAACTCCCTCATCTTGTTGTTAAAATGTGAGCGGGTCTTTTGGCTGTCAATCAAGGAAACCTTCTCTTATGTACTACTAAAAATCTGTTATGCAAACATAAGGCGCAAAGAGATGAAAAAAGATTATTACTGGCTGCATTGCATGAACCCGTGGGTAGAGCCTTTCGCCAAGGGCTTGTCTATGAGCAGGAAGCGGGTCAGGTTCCTCGCTGGGGTTTCCTTCTGATGAGGGCCTGAAAGGCCTGGTGTCTATGGAAAGCTGCCTCCTTGAGTCTCTGTAAAATACAGGTTCTGTCTCAGTGACAAACAGAGCTTTTTGGTTTACTGTGTACAAAGATTTAAATTTTCCATCTGCATTTACCTGTCACGGTCTCTCCGAGAGCCAGCCCGTAGCCCTCCACTTCTCCTCTCTCGTTCCCTGTCTCTGTTTCTTAAGCGCTGCATCAGATCTACAGACACAAAGAACAGTTTAGGAGTTCACACATGTCCACACATTTGCTGAGAATTTCAATTGTTGGTCTGATCTGGTTTAAGCGTCATAAAAGAATGACTGAATGCAGCAGTAAAAAAGTTCATCTACACATTGTGGTTTCTGTGCTGTGTCATGCATGTGTGTGACACGTACTGCTGGCTTGCATGCCCTTGCTGACACTCTGAACACAGTCCAGATTGGGCAACTTATCGTTGGAGAGGAGGGCCAGAGCAATGGCTGTGTAGAAGCTGCGTGCCACTCCGCTTCCCTCGCCCGGTTCATCTTTGAAGGTGACTTTCACCCGGTGGACAGCCATGGGTGTTGTAGTACAGCGTCTACCAAAGTGAGTATTTAGCTGACGCATGGTCTGCTGTATAAGCTGGTCACGGTCCCTGTCCACCTCAAGAGCTAGGTCACGGGACTGCAGGTTTCTCAGCTTCTCCATCTCCCGACGGAACTTTGATTCCTTCACCTCAAAACCCCCGAGCTCAGTGAGTATCTACAATCAACCACAGAGACAAGTATTGGTCCAATCTCCACGTCTACTGATGCGCATTATATTCACTTAATACAGTGTGACAGTGTGATATATACAGTACATCAGACTCAAACCATCTCACCATCAGCATTTAACAATGCATCAAAATAAAGGTGAGTGCTGAGTTGAGGGGACTTTGAGGAGTTTGATACTGGTACCTCTTTATGACCTTCAAAAGCAACAAGTCTGATCATCTATCTGTTGTAATTCTGAATGCCTGAAATCTCTGTGAGGGGGTGGGTTCACACAGACGATTGACAGCAGGCTGAAGAAAGGGCCTTTATAAAATATGTTGTTATTAATACTTACAGTAAGTGAAAATTCACCATCAAAAGATAATAGCATGAGGTTTTGGTCTGAAAAGATTATTTTTACATGCACAGAGGATGCCAGAACCAGCACAAACCAAAACTTTGAAGAAATACTCAGAATAAACCGTACCGATCCAGGCTCAGCCCCGACATCCTCCATAAAGACACGACCAAAGAGCTCCAGTGACAAACGCCAGCGGCCAAGCAGCATGTCGTGCGAGATCATCATCCCCATGAAGCTGCACTGAGGTCTGGACAAAAAGAAGAGAGAGGGGCACTCAGTCCGATAACAGTCCTAGACATTCATTGTGACTTCAACAAGAATTTGTAAATGTCTTTACAGGATAACTTAATAAAATCCCTCAGTATTTTAAAATTAAAGCTGCTGTTATATGTGGCGTAATGGATCTTATCTCACCACTGAACCATATGTACATGAAATCAGTGAGAAAACTTTACCCAACAAACTTTGGGTTTGTACCGTGGTTAATTACAAATATCTACACTACAGGCCAAAAGTTTGGAAGCAAGATCAGATTTGTACAATAACGATCATAGTTTCATATATATAATTTGCAACACAATAAACATGACTATTGTGTAGAGAGTAACTTATCAGAAGACATTTTGACTATAATTATTAGGTATTTGAGTTATTGTTGCTTAGACTTTGCTTTCTTTAAAATAACCTCCTCTGGCTTTAACAACAGCTTGGCATATACCAGGCATTCGTTCCCCAAGTTTTTTAAGGTATGTTCCAGGGATTGCATTCCAAGCTTTCTTAAGTTCATTCTTTCTGACCGATCAATCCAATTCATCCCGCACAAGCTCAATTAGAGAAAGGTCTGCAGACTGAGGGGGCCAAACCATCTTTTGAAGAACACCTTCCTCTTCTTTTTTGTCTAGGTAACCCTGACAGAGCTTGGCAGAGTGCTTAGGGTCATTGTCTTGCTGCAAAACAAACTTATGAGCCACAAGTCTGAGTCCAGATGGAACAGCATGGTGCTGGAGGATGGAGTGGTACTGTTCCCTCTTCATGATACCTTTTACTTCAAACAAATCTCCTACTCCATCACCTGCAAAACGTCCCCATACCATGGAACTACCACCTCCTTGCTTAATTGTGGGTGTAACACATGGTGCTTTCAGATGTTCACGAGGTTGTCTGCAGACATAGACTCTGCGTTTTGAACCAAAAAGTACAAACTTGCTTTCATCAGTCCAGAGAACTTGTTTCTAGTCATCATAAATCCACTTTTTGTGAGCTTTTGCCCACTCATATCTCTTTTTCTTGTTCTGTGGATGAAGTAGTGTTTTTTTGCAGATACACAACCCTTCAGACCAGCCTTTCTCAAACGTCTTTTCACCGTTGTCAGAGATATGGGTTTCGACCTTGTCATGTTGATTTCCTCCCTTATTTTTGGTGCTGTCTTTTGCTGATCTCTCTTACTGGTGACAATAGTATGTTTATCCTCTGCTTTTGTAGTAACTCTCTTTCTTCCTGGCCTTTTTCTATCATCATAACTTCCAGGTTCCTCTAGTCTCTTCAGAGTGTAGTGGACTCCTTTGTTAAACACCTTTAGGCATTTTGCAATTTTCTCTTTCTGTGTATCCTTCTTTTCTTCATGTACAAATCTGTACTTTTGTTTCTTTACTCAGTTGCTTCTTTCTAGCCATTTCTGCGGTAGTTTGAATGCAGTTGAGATTTATTAGGATTTTTGTATGCAGGCTCTCAAAAGCCAAAAAAATTGAAGTGAATAATCCAACTGTGATTTGTTTTTTTGCTTTTGCACTGAAGTTGTGACTCTCGCAAATGTTTTCAACCCTAAAACTTAGCCCTTACTTTCTTTTGCTGACAAATATTTAGCAATATCCTGTTAACATCAATGTATATCTAAAGGTAAATGGAGTAAAATGGTGCATTTCCATGAAAGCAACATCTGATCATGGAGTAAATACATCCCAAAATACATACAAATCATGCTGGATTTTAAAAAAAGCATTGTGAACAAAAACTTGAAGTTACTCCCAACTGTTCGGCCTGTAATGGCTTGTTTCCAAACTTTTGGCCTGTAGTGTATATATGTTATGATAAAAATGATCCTAAAGGTAACAATCAAGATTACTTTTCAAGATCCTTGCAGCGTCCACCATTTCATGAGTCAATAAAAAGAGGACAGCAGTGGAGCAGTAGGAAAAAGAGAGAATCTAAATGGAGAATGAATCGCTACCTTGGTATTGAAGAAGGGGAATAAGGTACAAAGACCCTCCTTTAAGAAAACAGACTCACAAGTGACTGTCATAATGTAGGTGGTAAAACAGATCCAGAGAGATGATAGGGCAAATGTGCTGTTCAGTGTACAAACAGTGCCAGGTGGTACACTAACCAACAATCTTGACATTCTTGTAAAAAGTTAGACTATTTCTTTGGAAGCCCAACAATACATTTAAATGTCCAGGCACTTTCTTTGACGCCCCCAATGACAGCAAAACCATAAGAATGAAAGACATAATGTCAGTGAGGCACTCATGTACACTGAAGAGAAGCCAGTATCACAGACTCAGACTTCTATAAGGTACCTGAATGACGGGAGGGGGGGGCCATCGCTCTCAGTGAGTCCGATCTCAGCTAGAAGACTACTCTTCAGCTGAGCGGCGAGGTCATGGGGTGATGGGCCTTGTTTTGAAGCTCCCAGCTCCTGCTCTGCGAGTGATTGGTTCCTCGTGTTCCCCTGACTGGTATCCATACTCATCACATTTTTCAGGTTGGCTGAGTAGGACATCTTAGTGGGCAGGATCTGATTTGGCAGGGTTCAGATGTTATTTAGCACCACAAACTTTTTTCTAGTGATGCCAGTGTGGTAATGCAAGAGGAGATATTTGGAAATCAGGCACAGAACAGATTCAATGTTCCAATATCCACAGGTCAACTCAAAACAACAACCGTGTTCTTGATTTCTCACTGTCCATTACTTGAAATGCTCTCAGTACTACAAGAAAAAATTTGGAGGAAATGATGGATCCTGAATTCGTTTCATTTGAACCGTATTCACTTGGTGGTGTTTGTCTGAAGTGGATATTAGAACACAGCTGCCAGCTTGAGTGTCGGTTGTTGAGGGGTGATATACCTGAGTGGGGGAGGGTAGAGAGGAGCCCATGTTTACCTCCAGGCAGTTCCTGTCCATGCTTGCTTCAGCCAGACCTTTGGTTGCCATGTAGGAGGAAGAGTACAAACCCTGAGAGGGACGACCAAACAGATCCTCCTTCCTGGCATTAGGCTGTCAAGAGGATATGAACAGTTAGGTTGAGTTTGTCACGGATAAAAAAAATCCATCTACAAAGAAAAGTTTTAACATTTTGGGGCTTTTCTTTTCTAAAGATTTAACAGGGATACACCACACCTGCTCACAAGAGGAGCATAAATCATGACATCTCCTGCTGCAGAGTTTGATTGACTGAATATCACTGATTTCGTGCATTTAGGACAGGTCTCGCAGTGTATGCACATCTTTAGAGAATTAACACGGTAGTGGAAAACCATTAACAGTTTCCTGAGGAAAATATGCAATTTACAATGGTCACACTCTGAGTTCTTTCAAACAAGTCAACTTTTCAGGGTTAAGGCTTCCTGTGTCTTACCAACTCTGACATATAAGAGGAGAAGTCTCTGGGAGGGATTTGGTGAACTAGGACCCTTGGAGACATGGACCAAATAAATCAGGTAGACATTTCTAAACAAATCTCATAGGAGAAAACAGCAAGGGATTTGTTTTTGTAACATGACAGATAACTTCTAATACTGCTGTTCACAGTATTAGTAATACAGCCCCAGGGGCATTGTGGGCAGGGTGCTCCTTTTCCTTTGAAGGAGCTCTCCAACTTTCTGAAGACACGTTATAGAAACCCACTGGCAGGGAAAAATTTTGATCCTGAAATTTAGGTGTTGGACACAGGAAAATGGGCAAGTGTAAGATGGGAACCAACAACAGGGTCAAAGGCAGACCAAGGCTCATTGATGTGTGTGGAGACTGAAGTCTGGCTTGTGTGACCTGATCCAGAGAAGCTACAAGAGCTCAGACTCCTGAAAAGGTTATACTGGCTTTGATAGACACACAGAGCAACACCATTTGTCACGTTTGGGGCTGCAGACCACTCAGGGTGCTCACACTGACTGTGGTCTACTACTGAAAATACCTGGATGTGATCAGCACTAGACCAACTAGACCACAGAATAACATGTTAAGGTGTCATCTTAGTCCCAATTCAACCACGTATCTGTGGAACATGCCGGACAACCAAGTTCAATCCATGGAGGCCCAGACTAACATCCTCTCAAACCCAAAGGATCTGCTGCTTACAGCACGCCTTCGATGGTCCAGGAGAGTCTGTGTCATCTGCTCAAAGCTGTTTTGGTTCTGACCTGGTGAGATAGGGGCCTTTTTCTCCAGATTCAGGACTATTGAGACCTGCATCTGGCCTGCACTTTGATCATGAACTTTGAATTGATTGATCTTGAATGTTCCAGGGAAACCTTTAATAAGTGCTGAGCTGCAACTCTAACCTGCAGGAGATGGGGCTGGTCAGCCAGAGGAATGGCTTCAGCCAGAGGAACATCGAAGGGATTCGGTGGGATACAACCAAGGAAGGTCATGGAGTCAGAGCGACGGAAGAAAGGGTGGTTCTGACCCGTTTCAGCAGGAACCGGGTCATCATCCTTGTCTTGCAGAGTGGAACCTGGGGTGAAGAGGGAAATGAAATCATAAATAAAGTTGTGAATAATCATCATACATCACCTTTGATATGATTTTTTTTGATCGTCCCTCTTACTTTGGTTGGTGTCCTCATCATTCTCATGCTCAGAATCCTCATTTTCCAAGCCCAGCTCTAAAATCTCACGGTTCCTGCAGAGAGCGTAAACATCTATTAAGGAATTTTAATTGTGTTTTAGGTTGCCCTTGTGAACACAAATGCAGCACGACTCTTTATCACTGTCTCCAATCAGCTGACCAGGATCAAGAGAAATTTACTCTACACTGACTGACGGGAGACATGAGGAGGACTGGATTTAAAGACGTTACAAAGTTATAGAAATCATTTCAATGCCTTTATCCACCTCTCTCAAGATAATTCACAGTATGGAAAATGGGTTGTTTAATAACACATAAAACTTTCAATCAAAGTCTACCCTTAACTCTGCAACAAAGAAATGACATGTAAGTGACTTTTTCTGATGTCCGTAATCATGCCAAGGAGTCTGGTGCAGAAAGTTCAGGCCAGTGGGGAGGGAGCTCAATTGTAATCCTGCGCAGTACAGGACAGCTGGGCCACAGTAGCAAGTAAAGCAGCTCCTTTTACCAACAACAAAACATCAAAAACCCAAGCAAGCAGCACTTTCCTCTGGAAGCAATACCTGTCAAATATAAAAGTTTGGTTCATAATGAACTTATAGAACTGTTCAGAGTCAAGTCCGCCATGAAGGGCAGTCCCCTTTCCTCACACATTTGAGGCAAACTGCATCCATGTGTACAACTGTACATGAAATGATGCAATAATGTGTAAAACACCAGATGATCATTCAAACAGGTTAATTTTTCAACTGCAGCTGTGTTTTTCAAAGTTGATCAGGCTGAAACTACACTATGACCCAGATGCAGGAGAGTCCTTGCCTGTAATGGGATAACCAACTTGTGTCTGAGTGTGACAGAGAGGAAAGATGTTTTAACAGTCTGACTGAACTGTACAGACGCTCACTGGTTAGGAAAGCCCCCCCCTCATCGCTGAGGACCCCTTCCCCTGCACCACTCCTTCATGCAAAGATGAATTTCTGTTTTCTTTTAGAGCAGACAATAAAGTTATATCACAGTTCATGCAGTTCTCAGTGCACTGTGATATTATTCAAATCTATGAGGTTTGAAGTTGAGGCAGGTTCACCTGGGCAGTGTCATAACCACTCAAAAACACATCATTGGGGTTAAAAGTGGATCTCAAAAAGTGTTCAAATGAATGTTTAACCGGGTTTGATCAAATGCTCTAACAAGTAACAAGCTTAGTGGTCGATATAAAAGACCAGCGACACAATCGTGTAAAACCAGGATGTCATTTCAGTAGCTTTTTTCTGCAAGTTTATAATCTATTAAGTCAAAACCTAACCATCTATCAATAAGAAGGTGCAGAATAACCAACTGTGTTTTCTTTTTCCTCCTTATTTTTATGATCCTGAAAGCAAAAAGGCTCAGGTCATCTCTCAGGTTAGTATCACGAAGACAGAAATAAGTTCACCTTTTTCTTTCCATTTGGGGGTTGTCCAAATTGGTCTGCTGGTTCATGGCCTTAATCCAGTAAATAAGAGCCTGGAATACATATGCTACATGTTTAAGAGAGCACACATCCAGCACAGGAAGCACATCTGAGTGCTCATCATTATGGGAGCGCATCAACGACAGGGCGTAATTCAGGAAGTCGCCTCGTGCTGACATCATCCCATGGCGAGCTGACAGTAGAGTAGCTGCTCTCCTGCAACAAACAAAAATCCCATACATGCACAAAGTTAGCTGATATAGTTCTGCCAGCATGAATCATTATTCATAATGATCTTGTGAGGTGAAATAATAACAATAAGAGAGGGGCTGTGAAAAGGTGTGGGTCTGTTTTAAGATGTTGTTCGTTTTGCATTTCCTAAAACTCAGGTGCTTTCAAAACTGTTTTAACTCATCAGACTAATGAGTGTGCAAAAGATAAATACTTCAAACTGTTTTTCTGTCAAAGTACTTGTCTTTACCTGCGACCCTCAAGGGTGCGGAGGCTGGCTTCCTCCCGAGCAGTCATACGCTCCCTGCGAGCTGAGTGCTGGGATGCATGTAGTGGGTGACTGGGGTGACCTGGATCCCCAGCAGAGGCCAGGGCTGAGCCGTATCTTAACTGAGCTTCTGTAGAATCCATGATGGACACCATCCAGTTCCATGTGGGAATGAGTTTTTCTTCAACATAGTTCTAGTTAGACAAATGAAAAAAAAAACAGTCATCTTTCAATATCACCGGTGGATTAAGGTTTTCATGTGGAGCACACACCATTCATCTACAAGCTCTAGCTCTAAGTAGACAAGTAATGCCAATTTCAGCAACTCACATATTTTTAGGTATTTTGCTATGACAGAGGGCTAGTGTCTGCGTAACACAGTTAGCTGCTTGTACAAAAAACCTTCACAACATGATATGGTATAAAACTGACCGTCCAACTCTTAGAGGATGGACTGTAGTCAAATGCTTGATAGTTTAAATATCAACTGCTTAAAAAATGCATTAACCATAATTCTTTTCTATTTGACATGAGGACATGAAAGAAAAGGTCCACTCTTGTGTTTTAAAGCAGAAGCTGCAGAATATCTCACCTGTAGGTTTACTGCATCTTGGTAGGTAAGTTTAACAGAAGCAGGGTACTGAGTGTAGACCAGATGATTGTACTTGGGAATCAGACTCATGAGGTCTGATATTTGCCTGATAACAATGCTGTAGGCTCGGGCCAGGCTGCTGGCAGATGTCAGATAGCTGCTCGCATTGTTGGCCTCGAGAGCCGCTGCTGCCGCTGCTGCACTGGAGCTAATTGCACTGGAGCGCCGAAGGTTGGTGGGGTCAATATATATCAGGCCTGTAGAGCTTGCTGTGGAAAAGAAAAATAGCATAGCATTAGGAGAGTTAGAGCAATTTTGAGACGATTACTAAAAAAAACACAATTGTACATTTCATCCAAAAATTCAAGACACAGAAACAAAACCACTGACAGGCTGGTGTTGAGGAGCTGGAGGGAGCATTTCCAGTGGCCCTCTGGCTGGGGGTGTTTCTAACAGCCCACTGCATGGACCGAGGAGCCTGGGCGGCACTGTTGCTGTGAGAAGTGCTAGTTGTCCTTTCCAGGGGCTCATCCAATAGGAACGTTTCGTGATCGACATCATCGCTCTGACTACTGCTACTGTCTGAGTCACTAGAATCATTAGACTGGGAGTCGTCCTCTGAAAAGAAGGCAGGAACACTGCTGGCACCTTCACAGGAGAGCAGAATAAGGAACAGAGCAGTTAACTTTTTAAAATCAGATTCATCCAATCAGCAGTGCTGGTTAGTGCATCACACCACTACAACACCCAAAAAAACTTGCCCCACAGTGAGACACTGAGGCTTTGAGTCATTAAAACTGCTACACTCTCTTCATTAACTTTTGCCAAATTTAGAGGATTATCAGAAACTTTGTACGGGAGAAAGACAAGCAATTTATCTGTTTACAGGAAAGTTTGAAATGTACCATGTTCATCAATAGTTAACACAGGCACTATAGATGACCACAGACGAAAAACAGCACACCATGTGGAAAAGCTCGACGTTTATTAGTATGTTAATAAGGTGAAGAAAAAAAACAAGGCTGAACTTGTGATGAGAACAGTTGAAGTTAAAAATGGCAAACTCAATAACAGTAAAATGTGAGAAAAGAAACTAACTTTCACCAGGACACTGTATGCAGTTTTCAATTCACTCTTGCCCTGATATCTGTGTATGCATTTAAGTAAAGAGGTGCTCATACCAAAAATAGGAAAAGCCAAGGACACCCTACTGCCTGCAAATGAAATACATTGGGTGTTCAGCCAGGGATGGGTTTTCCTGTATCAGTGCCTCTCTGTTAAAAACCGTCAATTCTCACAAGCCAAATGCTGACTGTCAAACATTTATAACTTCAGGGGTCAGAACCGCTCTGTATTTGTGATTTTAAAAAGTGCAGTGCAGAGCAAAGAGCAGGACAATCTATCTCTATGTAAAGAGCAGTTGGAGCGCTTCAGATTCTTTTGGTTTACGGAGGCCTGATAATACAGGATGATTTTCCACACACTCACACACACACAAATTGCTTTAAGAAGGATCAAACAGCCCAAAAAGAGACAAAAAAATTAAACATGTCGTCTCTTTACATACCTGCTTCTGAGCCAGCAGTTGCTGCTGTGACGACACTCCTACGGCCGCTGGCGTTATCCTGATTGCTGTGATTGCTTTCGCTGTCACTCTCGGTTTCAGCTGCAGCCAGTAGGTCCAGCTCCATGTCACTTCCTTGAAGATGAAATAAGGAAAAAATGCCAAAATCAGTGTTGGCTTGGGCTTCAGAATCAAGTACCTATCAACTCAAAACATGAACACGATCCTCAGCTTCTGACTTTGACATCACTGATCACCGTGATACAAAGTTAATTCAAATTTAACTTAAACAAGATTTAGAAGCAGAGATTCACAGAACCAAAAACAGCCCTCAACAGGACTGTTTCTCACCCTCCTAATTTTTTTTGACACATTTCTCTGTAGTGTCCAGCTGAATGCGTGCAGGGAGAAATGCCTTATCTTTAAATGAGGCTGGGAGAAAGGAGAGGGTGTGCTGCTTAAACCCTGAGGTGCCTGATTCGGGCAGCAATGCTAAATGAACTGGTTACTGTCTGGATCGTAGGTGATTGATGCCTGATCAAGCTGTGATTTATACATCTGCTACACCATTAACTGATAGAAAGTGACTGTTATTTAAAGAGTTTCAAAACAGAAACCAGAGAAGTCACTCGAGCAGGTTATTGTATGGTCTTATGTATCTACCCATAATTCTCTCTTGAATAAGGATGAGAAAGCCTTTAAATTGTCCTTTACATAGCATGTATGTCTCACCATCCTCATCATGTTCATCATGCTGCCCTTCTGCATCAGCATTTTCCTCTCCCTGCTCTTCTTGGTCATCATGATGGTCTTCTTCACCTGCAACTCCTTCTACGACTTCAACCTTTAAAACAGACCACAAAAAGGCTCAGTAAAGACATACCAGGAATGTGATAGGCATCCAAACACACACATTTTAAGACGAAGACAGCAAAGACTGTCTCTGTACTGCTCCCTATCCAATTGGTTGACTACTGTATCTGAGACTGTATGGTAAAGATGATTGACTCTTGAGAGCAGTGGGTGGGCAGGGCTTTTGCACTCTAAATCAACACACCTCCAGCGCTCTGGAGCTGGAACAACATTTTTTCAAGGATTTTGACAACACTTTAATATACTTTGCAATTTTTTTAATAATTGAAATTAAAATCTCAGAACCCACATCTTTTCTCCACTTCCCACAGACTTTAACGAAAAACAAAAAAACATGCTATATTCAGTCCCACCTCTTCCACATCTGCAGATACAATGTCGTCCTGCTCCTCATCTCGTCCTCTGACAGGCTGAGACTGACTGCTGTGTCGAGGCTGTGGGTTCCTGATGATATAAGAGGCAGCTGTCTGGCTGGAGCTGAAAATACAAGCACAAAACAATGAAGCTTTTCCAGGGCTGATAAGTAAGAAATCTTAACAAGAATATATAAACAGAGAAACCAGCATCATTGAATTGTACACAGATTTAAATTGTCCACTACATTTGAAAAGCTACGTCCTTTTAGAAGAAAATGAAATATAAGGTCACCAGGGTGAGTTGAACATGTTTCTAGGTGCTAGGTTTGTTTACATTGGGATACTGTCAATATTGAACCAAGTGCAGCTGCCCCTTTGGAACAAGCCTTGGATTACTGTGACCTGGATACATGAGAACCTACAGAGATATGTTTTAATGGTGGCCTTCCATGAACTTCTCTGAGAGAAACTGTACATCCAAAGAGGTCTCACTTTGTTCAGAGCAAAGATCAGATCAAAACGAGTTAGCAAGTTAGTCAGTATGAGATCAGGGTCAAAAACAAACACATTCATTCTTCTTTTATCACATGCTATTTGTCTTTTTCAGAGCATCAAAGATAAGCTGCCACTCCTGCTGCTACCATGATGGATATGACACCATTGTAATTTTGAGTCATACATTTCACTTCAAAAAAATAAATCTCCAAAATGGCTTGTATTTCAAAAACAATAAGCACTCTGTGAGGAAAGCAAACAGATCAACACTCTGTTTTACAGAATCAAGTACATAAATTACATTTAACTGCATCTTTTTCATTTTTAAATCATGACGCTTGTTAGAAATGCTTTGAAATGGTTTTGAAATGCAAATTTTAAAACACACAAAGGAAGCAGCAAACTGCAACTAACTAGAAATTCTGAGAGTAATCATGATTATTAAAAACCTGAAATTTACGGAAACCAACTGACCTGCTGGACTGGTCAGGTGAAGGCCTGGGAGGAAGCGGTTCCACAGAAAAAAGCTCTTCACTACCCTGAACAGCATCAATACTGGTACTGGCCAAGGTGAAGGGAGCGGTGGGTCTTGCTATACCCATTCGAACTGGAACGATCAGTGACTCTGCAACATTACACAGCTCCTCCACAGCATAGGGCAACAGAGCCTGGAAAACTCGACGACACTTCCCAATGGGCTGGGGGATAAAATTGCTATTTGATGGGATTGAGAAGGACAGATGTATCATTAGTAGGCTTTAAAAGCTGTTTTCAAACGTGTACTTCATTTGATGATTCCAATTAATATCCAAGACCTTTGTCTTAAAGTTATTTGAAACCTCTGAATGTGTTCTTACTTTTTTTTCTTGGATGAGGCCATCTCCACGCTCAGGATGACAAAAACCCGAGCTACAGAACGTAGAAACCTTCTGGTGACACTGACTGCCTCTTCTTGACGGCCAGGGATGTACTTGTTCTGCAGCTCCTTCACCAATGTACCCAGTAAGGTGTCAATGAACTAATGTAGGAGAGCAAACAAAAAAGATTCCTCAAGACCAAAAGCAAGAACGTGTCAATCGAAGTGATTAGAGGTGTGCTATGTGCATCATCTGAGATAATATCCTTATCTTGGTTGTAATGCCACTCATTTTGCAGAAAGTAAATGAAACAGGACTACAGTCATGTGTTTCCCCGGTTTATTTTTGGCTGTCACGGTTTCATCACCTTGTTATTTTCTTCTTCTTCCTTTACTTTACATTTTTATTCGATTGGGATCACCCTCCATTATCATGTTACACCTTGTCTGCATCGTGTAATGTCAGGTGTGATGGCGGGGCGAAATCGTTCCACTTCTGGTTCTTACTCAGAGGTTACTCACATGTGGTTCAAAAAGGGATGGGAGTGGGTCGGATCTTACAAAATAGGACTTGGCCTTATCCCATCTTGCTGTTAAGTTGTCCTGCAACATTTGTTGTGAATTAGCGTTGTATAAAAAAAGATTGCTTGACTGATGGATTGAGTGTGCTGATGCTGGACAATGCCTCAGCTTAGATGGGCAAGTGCCTGCTTATGCATAGTAGAAACACTGTTACAATTCAGCGCATGTGGCTTTTGGGCATACAGTTACAGTAACTGACTAACAGCTGTTACTGAAGAGAGAGCGGGAGAGATACACTGCGTAAACAGCTGATTGTACAACTCTACGAGTCAGCTCCAGCTGTAACACCTCATCCATACCGTCAAACAAACTCCGGGACAAAAAAAAGAGCAAAAAGAAAACAGTTTCAGGAAACAAACAGGAGCTGTTTTCATCAGATCTAGCATGCAGTAATGATGGTAATGAGATTAAATGAGTTTGAATTTTCACTTTAACGCAGCAGGTTTTTTGCTTCTCTGCCCATTTCTTTCCCCCTAGCACAGCTGTGTTGGTTTGGATGGGATCATTCGTTCAACTTCATATTTTCCAAATATCAGCGATAGCTCTGAGTTTGGAGACGTTTTTAGTGTGTCAGCAGCAGACTGGTTCATATCTGTGGTAGGTCTCATGTCTCTACAACACCTTTATAAATATGTGTTGGGGCACTGGGGCACTGGGGTCTGTGTGGGCATTTAAAAACTTGAGAAAGCAGAGAATGTTTCACTTCCATTTCCTTTAAAAAATTTTTGCTGTTGCACAGATTTTTGAGATATACAAAAGATTATTCAACACCATTATCCGCAAAATCTCCAAAAATATCAAGGTACTATATTCAGCCAATATTGCACACCTCTAATAAAAATACCAAAAAATGTATCACCAATATTTGGACGGTACAGTTTTGTTTGCATCTTGATGACCTCAAAGACTCAGAGATCATTAAAACATAATGTGGACTCTTCTTTTTGGTTATCACAAACACAGAAGTAAAGACGGAAACCAACCACTGTCTTCCTCGGATAGAAGACCAACAGGACTTACGGTGATGTCAGGAGCACACTTGACGATGAGGCAGTGGGTGAAACAGTCAAGGCGAATGCTGCCACTCTGTTGATTCAAGTAGACCTGCTCTTCAGGTAGGAGGTGAGCAATTCTGCTACTGGCACTAAGTCTAGGATGAGTAAGAACACAGAGCATTTTTAGTGCGTAATACATCTGTAGACCCACAGTGAGAAAATGAACATTGAAACTGTACATGTAGGGTGATTACATAAGTATCAACATCTCAATTTTAGAGTCTTATTTATCAATTACCAAAATTTGGATGAACTTAAAAGTTTAAGACATCAAAACTGGTTATAGAGTTTGTTAGAAGACACAAAGCTCTCTGTGAGACTGGATCATAGTTACAAATATAAATTACATGCAGTTCAAACGTACACCCACGTATACAACAGTACTGCACTGTGAGTGCATTACAAACTTAGCTGTTTAAGTACTTATTGTGAATTTTCAGGTGAAAGGGACAAGAACAACAGTTACATGTAAGTTGTGATTGGACGACAAAAGCTGAAGGTCAGCTGAAAAGAACTCCTGCTCATATCTGAAGAAACATCTGGTGTATCACAGGGATTATAAGGGTAAAAACACTCTGAACAACTACACAAGTTTGTTTTTATTCATTAGGCTGCCATCAAAAAATACAAATAAAAATTAACATTCAATGTTTCGTATACCTAGACTACAGCTGAGCTTCACTCTCGGGTATCATCACTGACATTTCATTTATCAGCTTTAGGAGAGCTTACGATCACCCTGCCCTCACTCTGCTCGTCCCTATGACAGACCCTCACACTGTGCTGTGAAGGACACTCACCAAGGCTCTCGAGTAAACTTGCTGATTATTCTGAATCTTTCCAGTCTAAACTTATCTTTACAGCAGCCGTTTACGCACAATGTAGTTTGGCCACAGAATTATATTGCTTTAGATCGTTTTGATTTGGACCCAATTAGGTTTCCTCCTTGAGCACTTTTGCTGTTCTACAACCAGACACTAACCCCTTTAAGGTCTTAAGACACACCAAGCAGAAACAGGAGAGGTTGGTGTTTAGCTGTCATACTTACAGATCTTTGTTTTCCTGAGAACCAAACATGATCATCGACTTCAGGGCGTTCCAGTCCTGCAGGACTCTCTCCAGAGCCAGCTGAGCAAAGCGGGGTGGTTCCAAGTCATGATCTGGCATATCAGATTCTGAAACAAAGGATTGGAAATTAATGTACTAGATTTTAATCAGAATTTTAATCACTTGATCATGCAAAAAGAAAAACACACAGTCCAGAAAATTTATCTGGCAGACAACCAAAGAGGCAATGATTTGTAGATCATTACCAAAGTACGTTACATGTCAAACCCAATCAGAGTCCCTGTGTTTCTTTTTTGTTGCCTTCAATATCATTGTTTTTTTACATTTGACTGAAACACTTCAATATTAACCCAAAAACAAACAAACAAACTTTGAGCCGGAGAAGAAAGTAAAAAGTGAATTATATGTGAGCCTGATGGTGAACGTACCCTCTGCATTGGCAGCCTTGCGGTTCCTGTCCTCTCTGATGCGTGGTGGTCTGTACTGACAGTGCTCAACACTCTGCCTGGCCACAGTCTGCACCAGGAACAGTAAAACATGCTCTCCCCTACAGAGAGGAAAAAAATCAGTAAGGAACAACTCTTCCTTTTTTGGCCTGCACAGTCTTAAGTTATTTCTGTGTGTGTAGGGGCATGCAGAGCTAATCCAAGCTAATCTAGTGTGAAATTCCTCCAAGAAACGTGTATTTACAGTACAAACCTAAGAAAAATAAATAAAGTAAGGATGTTGAAGGCTAGAAAAATAAATAGATTAAATAAAAACATGGGTCTGACCTGCTGTTTGGGGTGGTGACCAGGTTGGTGGTTGTGAGTAACCTGTAGAGTAGATCCAGCCGAGCTGCCTTTTGGCCAGCAATCAGTGTTTTACACTTACACTTTTCCCAACAGTCACAGTACGCCGTAGGGGAGGTTCTCTTCAGCCTGAGAATGAGCAGACGTTAATTTATGATCATGTGTACCAACTGTAGACATCTTTAAGGTATTAAGGTATCTTCAAAGCTTAGACTTGCCCACACCCAAAGTTAAGACTTACTTGCAGTCATGTCCTTTGTGACAAACCCTTGCACATTCAGTGCAGCAGCAGAGGGACTCGAGCAGGCCACATGTCCGACATTCAAAGATATCCTAAATAAAATGTCATTATGATGAAAAATGCCAGAGTTCAAATTTTCAACGGTAAACATCAAAGTGTCAAACAGAATTATTTAGCTACCAATTGGGCTGAGAGAAAAGGTAGCACTGCCAGAGGCCATTGCAGTTAGCCAGGCTGTGTGTTTGTTTTTGCACAGCTGTGTTAAGTATTTGATTCTGACTGGTCTATGCAGCAACATTTCATAGCAACAGTCTGCTATTTGTAGATGGTTAACCACTGCAAGACTGACTGCTGAAACAATAGGCTATGTCAGAGAAGTCGAAGATGGAGTGGACTCCTCAAGGAACATGATTTGGGACGCTGAGGTGTTAAAGGGCTGACAGTCAGATAGAAGGAAAACCTCAGATACAGAGCCAGGAAGTCCTGTTAACACTGAAACATTACAATGGTTCACTTAGTAAATTCACTACCAGAATAATAAAGATAAAGATAAAGTTATTCTTATTCTTAACCTGGCTGGCTTACATTCCCTACAACATCTGATGTTTGAGTGCAAACTGTGCTGAGAGGTAAAAACAAAGTATGCCAATGCTATAGACTGTGAGTATTTAATGTAGCTGTCAACTTGTTAGCTGACAAACCAATAGAATAACAGCTTATCACAGAGCAGCACTTTTCTTTTTTTCTCCACCATGTCATCGGGCTCTTTTTTTAAAGGAACTGTCCTGTATGTAAAACTAAAATAATCAGATTAAGGACTCTTCAACAGTCAGTGGGGGCAGCACATTAACATCTCCAATTCACCTATCTATGCTGTTGTCCCAGTCACCAAGCAGCAGAAGACCCTGAGTTACCACCTCAGTAATGATGGCTCATTAAAACTGGTATCCATTACTGAGCAGGTCATTAAAGCAGAAGAACCTCCATAGGGTGAGACAGGACCCTACTACTTCACGTCCAAATCCCACTCATCCAGACCAAATTCCAAGCCATGGTTACTCCCAGCTCACTATACCTATGCCTTACTTATGTTTAATCTTAATCATATTATTTCAGTGAACCAGAAAGCCTCATTGGGATAAAAATCTCTTTTACAAGAGTGTTTTGGCCAAGACAGCAGCAGAACATTCAAACAAAGTTATACAAACACAGCATTTAAAGTTTGGTAACACATTCTGGGTCATATAACAGAAATCAGCATAAAAAGCATCTGCAGCCTGGTGCATCTCCCTCCAATGCTTTCAAACTGCTTTTAAAAACTTTATTATGGGAGACCAGCTCCCACAGATCCACATTTTCCTGCAGTAAATTTCAAGCTGCAGGAGCAGAGGACCTATTATTCTTTCCACCCATTTCAAGACACACTGTTCCTGGATCACAGAGTGAAGACTATAGCTTCCAATATTTTTCAAAGTAAATATCTTACATAAATAAAAGTGAAGCAAGTTCAGAATCGCGGAGGACATGCCAGTGATTTATTCTGTCAGTGGACAACACAGGTCAGCAAACTTATACAGAGAGCAGAGTTGAGTATGAACCTTAGAGCTCCATGGTTAACTGTATCCAGAGAGTGAAGCTTCAAGGCTTACCTGGTTTATGTGCTCCGCTCCAGTCCAAGTGAAACTGCAAGTGTCATTGCAGCATAGAACATAGAGGGGCGAATCATCTGGGTTGGTCCCCAGGGGACAAATCATTTCCATGAACACAGAATCCGAATCTTCCTTGTCTGCAATGCTTGGGTCACCCACTGCGAACAAATTTATAGAAAAAAATGTCAACATGAGAATACTAATTTAAATTTGCTTTTATAAAGCAGAAAAAGAACAAGTCAGTGTTCACCAACTTAGGAATAACCTCATATTTGAAACTCTTCCCCAACCACATATAATAACACACCATAAAATATCTAATAAAAAAATGAGAACCATTTTCCTGTGCTCCATTAGAAAGGACAACACAAGACACCTTCATAGAGAATACTGCACCGAATACTACCCACACAGAAGTAACCTTCAAGAGTGGGTATGAAATCCAATCACTTATGACTAATCAGTTATTAGCCGTCTCTATTAAACAATCAAGCATGAGGCAATGAACAAATGACACCATAACTTACTCTTCGTTATTTTCTGAGCAGCCTCCAGCACAGTGATGGCTGCAGGATAGGCTCTCCCACTGACTGCCAACATGAAAGGAGTCATGCCCCGTGCATCCCTGTAAACAATCACATTCAGGAGGACTTTGAATCATGGAGGACAAAGTTAAGAGCCGAATAATCAGGACAATGTCTTCAAAAATAAGGTGTATTGTTTTGGTGTACAGCAAGCATTTCATTAAGAATCACAGTGACACTGAAGAAATCATACTTGGCAGAGAGTAGCTCCCGAAGGTGTGGCCTCAGAACAACACTGTCACACATCAACTTTAGGATAAGGTGGGCATTGGCCTTCCTGTCTTTAGATTCAACCACAGATGACTCAGAGGACGGCCCTGCTTGGATGAAGATGATAGATCCATTAGATCACCAAACAAAACAAAACAGTTTATTAGTACAGAGCATAGAAGTAATCACCGAGGGGCTGTGTGTACTGATAAACCACAGAATGTGGGGCTTGTGTTCAGTTCCTAAAACCATTTTTGGACAATTATGTCCCTGAATTTTTTTTTTTCCACTCTACAAATAAAAAAGTGAGATATCTTTTCAATGCATGGAAAACATTCACTTTGAAGGGCTGTACATTTAAAGTTTGAGCCAAGCGTGAAGCATAATAGTGCTGGGGGATATGAGAAATGACAAGTGTGAATGTTGAATTTACCCTCTGATGCATAGAGTGAGACAAAACTGACGACTGGGTCTTTAATTGGATCTTTTAAGAATTAGCATTCAAAATAGGTTAAATCATAGTCAGCAGGGCACGAACAAATTGTTTATCTCAAAGAAGGCAGCATCAGCTCAATAATAACATGGTCAGCCTTCCTGCGGTGCTCTTGTTTTTTAAGACTTTTAAGACTCACAAAAAAAGAGCCCAAAGAAACAGAAAAAGTGTATTTAATGACAACCCTTAAGAGAGACATTGTAAATTGTGTACTTTTTTGTTTTTGTGATCAAGAATTAATATTGTTTCATGTTTAATGGGAGGAAACAGTCAAATATGACTCTGACATGTCTGTTTTTCATGCTCTGTCTTTGGTGTGAACTGTCCTTTATTTTATTCCACACCCTGATACAAGCTGATCAACACCTCCACCTCCTCCTGTCAGAGTTTATCAATGCAGTGCAGTTATGAGACTTCAGGTGGATCTGTGCGTTAATAACATCACTTTCACTCTAATTAGTGACTCCTGACTGTAATGTAGTCCTTTTAACTCACAGACCAATTGCAAAACTGTGACACCAGATCAGAGAGGAGCAGGAGGAGGCAGAAGCTTTTAAGTAAAGTTATGTGGTAATGTGGTTAAGTTACGTGTAAAGATTTTATTTCTCTTCTTAAAAAAGAAAATCAAACTAACACTATATTTTTTTCAACAAAACCTCACATCAAAAACTCTGAAGCACAATCAATCAATCAATCAATCAATAAACAAATACATACATACATATAAAAACAGAACAAAACAGAGCAGGAAAAAAAAACAGCCAGTATTGAAATGAAGTGTTTAATCAGCAGACAGGTCTCCCAGCTGGAACTATGATGAACATGTACCTGGAATGGTTGAGGTGCTTGGTCCCTGGCTCGGTCCAGTAGAGGCAGTAGTGAGTGAACCCACAGCTGGTGCCAGAATGAAGTCAATGTCACCGTCTGTAGATAAAATCAAACCACAGCTCTGGTGTTACAGAGATTCTGGATTGATAAAAGTGGTAGCTTTAAGGTACATTATCTTTACTCCTGGAAGTCTATGTATCTTTAAAACACAGGGCTTTAGATTTTCTCAAACTAAATGGCAAAATTAACTAAAGTCTAACTTAGTGGCACTTAGGCCTGGACGATATAGAAAAAAAGCATATCGATAAAAAATAAATCATATTGATCGATATCGATAATTATCGATATGATTATTATAATTATTTAACATATATTTTAATTGCAGCCCTGGATGTTTTTATGCTATTGCTTAATGACCTACTTTTAATAAAGAACACACAAGCACTGAATTCAAATTCAAACCTTTATTCAACCACCTTTTTTTTTTTTACCACAACTGAAAGTTTTTTAAAAAAGAACTAAAAAAAAAAAGAAATCAACTTAAGTGGCCTGAGTGACATCAGTAAATACTGACAAACATAAAGACTAAAGTGACCAGAAAATCTGATAAATAAATATTTAAATAGTCTTTTGATGAAAATAAACAAAACAAACAAATATATAAATAAACAGAATAGCTTTAGGTGGGAATAGCATACTACCAGGTTTAACTGTGTGGGAAACTGCCCACAGCCTGGTGTCTGAACACTAAAATATTTCTCCCGGGGTCGGGAGATTTATTTTTTTTTAATTATCATGTGATTGACTTAATACACAAACTAAGCACGTGAAGCAGGACTTATCCACGCCGGTGTTGTGTCGTAGAATGCACCCCTGCCGAATGCACCCCCTGCTAGTAGCCATGATCCAAATACTCGCGTCTTTGTAAAATATGAGCTCATTTTCTTCCACTTTAAGAAGCTAATGAGTGGACGGGATACAGGGGTGCATTCTACGGTACAACACCGGAACGTATTTCCTCCGCACCCTTCTCACCTTTTCAACCCCTGACCCATTTTCATGCCTGAAGCGCTGTGTTTGAGAAATACTTGCGGCCGGGCACTTCAAATCGCGGGTCGAGAGTGGCTAGAAGCTGGTCGAAGCCAGGCTTTTCAACGGTAGTTATTGGCAGTATGTCCCTCGCTATGAAGCATCTTACTGCATGGGTGATGTCCTTATGCCGCTCGAACGCTTTGTCGTATTTTGGCAAGAAACGAAGTCCAGTTTGGTCTGCTTCACATGCTTTGTGCTGGTGCTGGCAGCGGTTCCAGAGGATTCCTCCTCCGACGACCTGCGGCTGCGATCGGTTTAGATGGTAAAACAAGTTGGTTGTGTTACCAGACTTGGTTTTTACTAATTCTCTGCAAATTTTGCAAACGACCGCTGTTCGCTTTTTGTCAGACTTCTAAAAACCAAAACATTGCCATGCTGGTGAACTACTGAAACCTTTTTTCGGGACACTGTCCTCCGCTTCTCCTTGCTGTATCATTTTTTCTAATACACGTGCTGTCTGTTGTGGTTTGAGAGGGGCTGGGCTTGGTGCCGTAGCGTACCTGGGTCTGCGTTTGTGATTGGTTGGGAGGAAGTAATGACTGTAGTAAAAGCTACATGATAGGCTATGATGAAAAAGAAAGGGAAACTGTGTTTTTCTATCGAACTTTTTATCGACCCGTTTTTTTTCTATCGTACCACACGTCTATCGATCGATATATATTGTTATCGAATTATCGTCCAGCACTAGTGGCACTACTCCATTATTTTACATTTGTACAAGAATGGTTGACAGTTGCAAAAGTAGAGAAATAAGTGAGCTTTGGGCTTGAATGGTTTAAAGTCACAGCTCTAAGATTTCCATGGATTTTTATTCCTGAGGCACTGATTCAATTTAAAATCGATTATCACGTTGTGACACATGCACACTCATTTTAGGGTTTAATTCAGTCTACCGTTATTACTAAAAAAGATAACAAGAAAACAGGTTTAAGTTTGGGCAGCTTCTACACTGAAAAATTGTTTGTCACAAGATTACAAAGTACATTTATTTTATGCTAAGTTTGAAAAGCAGAGGAGCAATAATTGAAGACTTTGACAAACTGTCTTGGTATTTAGTGTCCTTAAATAGGTGCATCCTCTTCACCTGCTTCAGGGTGTGGAGGCACCAGCTACACCCAGTCCAAAAAAGAACAAAACTCCAAACAACTGATCCCATATTTTAAGCAACCAGGTCTCCTTCTGCTGCTGTAATTAAAGTTGATCTGAAAACTGCTTCACATGTCTCTTTATGTTAAAGAATAAAAGCTGTAAAAGTGGTCCTCTTATTGGATTATTATTAAATAGATCCAAAAATGATGGCGAGACATGGTTACTGAAGTGACTTTTGATACTGTGAGGGAGTGTGCACATGTACATATTTATATATTTATGTATATAAATGTTTTGTTTTTTTAATGAAATTAAACAATCGATTGGTTGATGAGTTGGAGTAATATGGTCAACTGATTTTTTTTTTAAGTTGACCACAGCCCTAAAAGGTAGTTGCTTTTTTTTTTTTTTTACTTGATTCAATTCAAAACTGAAGAAATTCTGCAATATATCAATTTTCTCCCCCACTCAAAATGTATCAATTAGTCAATTTCCTTTTATTTATATAGCGCCAAATCACAACAACAGTTATCTCAAAATGCTTTCCATAAGAGCAGGTTAGACTCAACTCATTGTTTGACATATTACAAAAGACCCAACCTTGAGATGGATCAGATTTAAGCCATCTCGAACCATCATAAGTGAAGCATTTTGCAGTATTTAGCAAGTTAATGATGGCAAGAAAAAAACTTATTTTTAACAGGCAGAAAACTCAAGCAATAGATCCTCTCGATCATACCTTAACAAAAAAGGACTTACCAGGATCCATGGGTGGGGGATCAGGTACCCAATTTGGTGGGGCAATGGGCGGAGATACAGGGTCCTGGTGGTCACTAGATGCTTGGCCAGAGTCATGACGACCGAGACCTGCTGCTCTTAAAGACCTCCGCATCATCTCTCTCAGACGAAGCCTGATGACAAAATAAACATGGTTGTCACAGATTTCACAAATACATGTTTGAATAGTTATTGTGTTTCTCTCCCACTTTCTCTCCCTCTTTCTCTCTCTCTTCTTCTCTAGAGGTTTTGACATATTGGCAGTTCAAGCAAGGAAATTTAAACCCTTTGAGCCTTATCTGCAATATGTGATGCAATAATCCAAAGTGGTGCGGTGAAGTCCTTTCACCCCTGAGCTGGTGTTGAAGGTAGTACGAGAGCGGTGAGGGAAGACAATGGCAGGATCTAGTGTTGAAGTCATCACTGTATGTGTGGTGTCTGTATGTGTGTGTATGTGGAGCTCCTGCAGTAAGTTGGTATGTTGTACTTCCTGTGCCTCTGCTACTCCATCACTCAATGTCAAATCACACACGAAAACAGTGTGTCGTGTGCAACTACAACAGCACAGTGCTAGTGGACCTTCATTACAGCAATGATAAGGGAAAATAACAGTTGGACAGAAAGGCTGATATATGGATATGGAAAAGCAGCATGTAGAAAAAGCTATCCTTTCACACAGGGGTGGTCGTAAGTCGCTATATGTCAGATGTGCCTGCCTGAACTACATTTTTGCTTCACACTGCTCAAAAGAATAAAGGGAACATTTAAATCCCACAAACCAGATCTCCAGGAATGAAAGAAATCTGCTGTAAAGCTTTATTAACTGCCCAGTCTAATTTATTGAGAACAAAATAACTTAAGCACAATCAATAGAAACCAAAACCATGAACCCACTGAGGACTGGACTCCAACTCATACTTGTGGGCTCATTCTGTTGGATGATGCAGATGCAGACTCATGCTACCACTAGTGGAGGGGGTGCTGGAAAAACGCAACACTAGCCAAGAATGATCCAGAGAGGATGAGGAGAGGGAAATGACCTCCACCTGTAAAATCACTTCTTCAAAGGGAGTTATCATCTTGATAACTGCCTCTCGTATGAGTGTATTTTCTGTCCCATTTCAAATAGAGCTGCTGAAACTGATACCAATATTCATTCCTTCCTAACTGAACAAGAATGAGACGGACTTGGAGTTACACCGTAATGATTATGTATTTCTGATATTTCTTGAGCAGTGCGTATTACTGGTACATGTGGCACAGAAAGAAATAACTGGTCATTTACCCTCGACTACTTGATGACCCAGTCCTATTCCCAGAACTGTTGCTTGAAACCACAGAGATGGCATTTGCAATTGCCTCCACAGCAGACAGACGCTCTGCAAATGTGTTCCTCTCTGACCTTTCAGCTTCTGTGAAAAAAAGAACAAAAAAAACATGATCACTTCAAGGATAAAAACTTGACCTAAACCACTTTGGTGGAGAAAGTTGAAGTTCTCTTCAGAGTATGTTTCCAATTTATCAATATAAATAAAAATAGTAATAAAAAAACATGACAATAAAACAGATCATATTTATTGTTGTTACGGATGGCCAAGTCCAAATCTTGGATGTCTCAGATAGAGAGCTATGAAACAACTGAATGTGAAGGACTAACTAATGGGAGAAATCCTGAACATCACTGTACCTTCTTCTTCTTTGGTCTCTTTGTTACTAACAGGAAAGCAAACAGAGACAGCAGTATGAAGGATGTTCCGATTCCCATCACAGCGATGGTCCAGGATGGCTCCAAGAGCCTGACTGCCCTGATCCAACAGAAAAGCCTGCTCGAGGTTCACCAAGTACTGGCGACAGGCCTCATAGTCACAACGCAGGACATGCTGCATCAGCATCTGCTTCTAAAGGACATAAATGTGAGATTAGCGTCAGAAATAAGAGAGCAGCTCAAAAGGGCAGAGCAGCATATTTTAGCCCTCTATAATGATTCATCGTGATAACGAAACTCTATTTTAACTCCCAGGAGCAAAGCATCAGTAAATGCACTTCTATATTTCTTTGTCCTTTGCCTGTTGCTTTATTAGATCATATTTACCTCAACAGCCATGATTATGATGGCAGCTTTCTTTTTAATTGTGGAGTTAGAGGGCAGATTTGCCAAAGAGTGCACCCCCATTCCAAGACTGTTTATAGGGGGAAGGTCCAACCAATCAGGGTCTCGGATTCCACCCATGCAGTCTTTGGCCATTGGGTAGATGGTGCCATTCCCATCTCGAAGGATGACCGGAGATTCCTGGAGGAAATTTAATACTAACATTATGATCTGTATAAAGCCAGGCTGTCCTATATCATGGGCAAAGAGCAAAAGCATTAACAAACCACCATGAGGGGATATCATCTTACCTGTCCTGCAGTAAAGATGGCAATATTGCGCTCACTCTGCCCAAGGAAGGCCAGGTTACTAGTCGGGAAGCTATTTTCTTGTTCAGCTTTGCCTGTGGCCAGGTCAAAGATACAGTACCTCACACAGTTAGCAGTTTTAAGGACTGCGTGGACTCCTGAAAGATGGACAAAGATTTCAGGTATAGAAAAAAAATCAGCAGAAAACTAAAACATTACCCACCCACCAAAACATTTAAAAAACTTTATGTATTCAGTGTCATAAAGAAACACATAACAATCCACCTTTGGAGTCAACATTCACAGCCAATATCTCAGCCTTTTCTGGAATACAGAGCTTTTTAGGTGTTCGTTGAAAACAGTCAGGAACTTTCGGGGTCCCGCCAGTTTTAACCACCTGTCAGAAACAGAAAGAGGCAGACAACATAAAGATGAGAGGAAGAGCAGCACACAGCTGCAAAAACATTGATTCACTTTAAATTTAAAATCCTGAGAGGAAGATAAGCATCACCTGGAGCTCATCTATTCTGAGGAGTCTGCAGTCCTGCAGCAGTGATGATGGGTCTGAGTCAATAGGAGCAGCATTGTTCTGGTTGCTCACGCTGCTTGAAGTGCCTGGGAACTTGACCGCAACATATGCACCATCGACTTTGAGCACCTAGTAAGTGAATTAAAGGTTAGAAGTTGTAAGTTGACCAGTTATTTGTAATTACTAATTCAATTTCCACATATATTTAAATGTCATATTCATTTTTGCCAGTGACATGTTGAAGATTAATCCTTAATAAAGTGATGAAAGAGACAAATTCTCTGGGTTATGCTCAATAGGTTAAATTTCAGTACATGGCAGACATTTATATGTCAAGAGCAATAGCAAACTGAGGTATTCTATACACCATAAGATAATTTATATTAAACACAACCCCCTAACTGTTTAATTTTTGTTATACTTTCATAAAGGATGGAAAAATGTGTTTCTATTTACACAAACATAGTCAAAATGCCTTCAATTGGCCCAGACAACTAACTGATCAGTCTCTATTATTGATGACATATTCTCAGAGAAGACAGAGGCTAAAACCACATTTCCAAATTTTTCACAATTTCATGACATCGCCAATCTTGAGAACATGAGGGATCTTTTGCCTTTTTTCAAGAGTACCAACCTTTCCCACAGGAACATTTTTAACATCCTCCACAAAGACCACTTCCCTGAGAGGCCACTGCTCCTCATTCACCTTCTCCTCCTCTTTTGGAGCCGGGGTGGAACGTCTGCGCTCTGTTACAAATATAACAAACACAATTTTGAGTCCTTCAATCCTGATACATCCAATTAAAAACCAATGAAACAAACACGAGTGGTGAAAAAGAGAGTTACTATAAACCAGACTAAGTGTCAGCTCTTGGCTTCCATCACACTGCGGTCAAACAGGGCTCAAGACTGTGACCAAAATCGCATGCAAGACCTTTTACCAAATGTGAGTACAAATTTCAACTGGTCGCGTTTGTGCAAGTGCATATGTTTCAATGCTCTCTCTAACACAGGCCCTTGTGGTTGAACGTTGCCCTCTTTTTCACTGGCTTAGTCAGTCTCCTCCACCTGCACTCTCTCCTGTTCTGAGGATAGAGTGCCATTGTGTACACGCACAGCACATATGCGCATCACACACCAAAGACAGCCAGAACTTCACAGATGCGTCTGCAAGTAAGTTATGTGTAAAAAAAAAAAAAAACACTGGTTCTGTCCATAGGTCCAGGGACCCCCAAGGGTCCCTGAGGCAGTACACTTTTACAGTGTAAATATGTAGCCTAGGCCCTGGCCTTGGAATTAAATTAAGGATTGGGATTTTAAAAATCACTGATTTACAAGCCATTTACATATATATAAACTGTTTTTTTTAATTATTAATTTATGCAACAAACGGGATATAATCATTCCGTTATTACATAAATAAATACAAGAGCAAATCAAGTGGGTCAATATCTCCACAGATGGGTCATGGCCTGAAAATGTCCATGTGACATTAGGGTGGGTGTTGTAGTGACTACTATGTCAATATTGGAGTGCATATTTGTTTTGAATTGTGTGAGTGAGTTAGTGCATGTGTGTGTATACCTACATGCATGTGTGTATGCGTGCCCATGCATGTCAGTTTGGGTGTGCATGTGTGGGCAAGGCCAGGGTGGCCTGGTTACATGACTGACTCCCGGCTTGAAAAAGTCCCCCAGTTCGGGAGATTTACTACTACTTTGAACCAAATCAAATCAGATAGTATGAACAAAATCAAACCCAATAATAATCATTTTAATCATTATAAACTGTCCCCTAATTGGATCCTGGCCATCGAAGATTGAATTCAATCAGATTGAATCCTTGTAAAGGAAAGCTGCACTCCCCTAATGAAATTCATCAGTATTTAAGGAGGGGAGGCTGTGGAGCATTATTTCCATCATTTAGGTTAACCTTTTCTCCCCTCACTAGAGGGTGAACTGTAAAAGTCTAAACCTAATTTGTTAACATTTCACTTTGGGGTTTTGAGGCACATTAGACCAGTATTAGTGGCTCAGGTTCACAGTGATTCCTGGGTGTCACCATGGCTGAAGCAGTGGAAAAACAATCCCAGGGTTTGTCTCTGTGATTTGTGGTTCAGGGTATTCTCTACACAAGATATTTGTGGCCAAAACTAGTTTCTGACTCCTGATTTTTGTTGTGAGGGGAAAAAGTGATGAATAAAAGTATAACTCCTTTAATGTGCTCACAGAGATTGACATTTTTTTAGGGAAGCTTTTCTCAGGAGCTCCCTCCAGTGGCCTCTGACACATGGTGGACATTCAGAAAATGAACTGCAACCTGCCCACAGTGTTTTCTTAAGAAAAGGGAAGTTCGTTTTCAATCTCTGCTCAACAAACAGCCTTATGAGCTAGACAGCTGACAAATGGGATTAAGATGCTGAGAAATCGTCAGACTTTTTGTTTTGAGAAAAACACAGTGCAGTGCGAAAGGAGGGCTGTCCAAAAATAAGGTCAAGTAATAAATCAGTACTGTTTTTAAGTGGCTTAAGTATGTGTATTTGAAAGGCCCATGCAGTACAGAAAGAAATATTTCACTAGGCTTGGGGGAATAAGCCTCACTTTCTGCACAGCAAGTTATTTGCTCGTTTTAAGACATGTTCGCAGCACTCAGATGGCAGAATTATAAATGGTATATCATTGTATTACTGACGAGGACTGTTGCATTTCATAAACTTTATCATTGATACAGCTAGTCCTATGATTTAAATGGACAACATGAGTGTTGTTGAAAGTAAAAGAGAGTAAAGCTGACGTACTATAGGGCAGTGAGGCACTACTAGCAATTGAAGAGGTATCACTGCAGGTAGAAGCTGGGGATGGTGGGGGGCCCATTTCAGTCTTCACAAGCTCTGGTTTGCTTTCGGTCCTGTGGAACAAGATGGAGTTATGAAAGATATTTATTTCATGTTATCCAGGGAAAGCTACACTCTGTGTTCTCAGAGTTAAAATTGATCTACCAACTTATTGAAATCAATAATACTAACTTGATTTCCTGGATCTTAGTGGTCTTCTCCATGTTCTTCAGGCTCTCTGGTGAGCGTAACTGGAATCTGCAGCTGTCATTCATATTCCAGACAGATTCCAGCAGGACTCCTACTTTAGGAATTCCTGCACTGACTGAGAAGGCTACTGCACCAGCATGGTAGAGTGGGTTATTTCTCAAACACACCTGGAACACAAGAGGATATGTATTTAAATCCATTAAATGCATAGTTAAACGTGATATCGAGCCTAAAATCTTTACAATAGGTACTCCTGTCTTACCTGTGTGCCCACAGTGATGTTGGGTATTGAGGAGATGCCAGCACTAGACTTTGGCTTTTTGTTTTTGGCCCTGGCCTTTTCAAGCATCTTCTTCCGTTGACTAAAAGGCACGACACCCCTGCAGAGAGGTGAAAACATTGTAAAGACTGGAAATACTTCTTCAACACTTACATCATTTTCCCCCTTATATAAGACAAAGATATATCTTTCAAACCTTCACTAAATGTCAGGTCTTTAAGGAAATTTATTTTACCCCCAACCCCAAATGTATCTCAAAAGACAAGAGCTACAGGCTCAACCATGCGATATGTCTTTATATCTCAGTAACTGATTGGTAATTGTCCTTAAGATTGAAAGAAGACAACATTTCCAGTTTTTCAGCATTCTTTGTTCCTCTATCCTGATAAAGACAGCTATCCACTAATAATTAAGGACCCAACTCTCTAACCCTCTTGCATAGGCCATGAGAAGTGTCTCGACTAATGCTCTGCAGGATATCAGAGATCCACTTCCTTAAAAAGATCCACTGAATGTCCAAAACAACATTAAATGGTATATCCTTCCTTAAATCTGACAGTTTGAAGGCCAGTGTTTTAAAAGTTTTGTACAGTGGGTCAGTTCAAATGAACTGCACTGCACTCAGTGTGTCACCCTGTATTCACTTGTGCATCTGGCTGCACCATGAGGGCATTTGTTAACATATTTGATCATGCAATACCCACCTTACTTATGGAAGTTACCACTATGTTGAGACTTAGTCCTGGTGGCCTGATTATCTTTGTGCTCAGACATTTACAGGCCTTGACTTATTTCCATTTAGTTCATCAGGTTTCCCCATCAACACATAAAATAAATTGATCTTTTGTCAGTGGTTCTCGCTGAATTATATGGTATGAAGCTGAACTGAAGCTAAATCTACACCGGCAGCCTTCAGATCAACTTCATATCGACTAAAGCGCTACATGGCCTAACCAAATGACACATTGAAAAGCACATGAAGCGAAATTAAACAATAACCTCTCCACTAACTTCTTTGCTCGTCTTTTTGCCGTCGTCTTCTGTGCCTAGATCGTAAAACACTGGTGCATCGGCATTGTTGGTCCCTGGCAGCTCACTTCCACTGCATCCTTTTATTTTCGCAGTAAGTAACTTTTTTTTTGGCATCACCACCTATTTTTGCGTCATTACCTTCCATTGTTTGTTTGTTTTTTAAATTTGCACCGTTTCTCTATTTTTATTTGCAGCAGGCTTCGGTTTCTTTTTTATTTTTTTTTTTAGCATCAGTAACTTCCGTTGTGGTTTCTTTTTTGTTCATTCTTTTTTATTTGCAGCAGTGGTGGTTCTCGGCCACCATACATATCAGACAGAGGTGGATAAATTGCAAGGCAAGTATGCTCACACTCCATGCTGTGTTCAAAAATTTGGAGTTCAACTTCCCATTCAGTATTGTTCTATAAAAATTTTCTCCTTTAACTCACCACCAGAAAAGGCTGTTCTCCAGCTGTGCACAAGTGTAGAGAGCACAGCAATGCAGAGATATCAGACGTTCTCCCTGCAGCTCAGGGAAAGCCTGAGCGCTGTGCTCCAGCTTTGAGGCCACTGTGCTAAGAGTGTCATCTACCCAGGTCGCCACCTATATCATAAAAATTTGCGTTAATGAAGAATCCATTCCTTCACAAAAAAAATGTTAACCTGTAACTTTAAAGAGTTCTGTGCTTAGACTAAATATCCTTCACCAAAATAGTTTTACCAAGAACTCTCTGAAACTTTCTGTAATAAAAAGAAAAGCATGATCCACCTTATTGGCCTCAGTGGCCACCGTGGCTCTTATGCTATTGGCAGACAATAAGGTGATCTTCTCATTAGCCAGGCCGAGGAAGGACACACGTGGGTGATGAATCGAAGGATTCTGGAGTGATGAATTAAAAAAAAAAAAAAGATATTAGACATCCAAATTTTGAACATGTGATTTGAAGCTGTATGTTTTATCCCAGTAATTAAATAGGATATAGTGTGTAACACAACCTTTTCCATTTACATAACAAATTCCCCACCTGTGCATTCCTGTAAGGCTCAGGTTCGCTCCACTTCCACTGATAAAGTTCTCCTTTGGAGCTCACAGCCACCAGCTCTGAGAACATGGCCCCAATACTCACAAACTTAACACCATCCTAAAAAAAAAAAATCAGCGCTCTTAACTAGGAATCGTCTGATAAAGCACGTTCAAGCAAGTTCAGTAAAACTAAGCAACTTTCCACTCACAGTGCAAAAGTAAAGGTTCGTGGGTTATTTTCTTTTAACGAAATCTTTATATATTTTCACAAACCCATCATAGGAGTCATGAAAGAACTAAATCAAAAACCGTGATTCCATTTACCTTGTCAGGCCACCACTGAAGCTCCTCTCCCAAAGAAACAGGGCTCTGGACCGGGATACTCTTTTTGTCCAAGCTTGGCTCACCATCACGGCTGGTGGAGCCTCTCTCTGTTTCAAATGAGGCCCCATCAAGCCACCGGCGTTCACGTAACCTCAATACTGACTCCCGCTCACGCAACAGTTCTGAGTCTCGCTCTAAGGGAAGAAGGAGAACTGGTATGCAATAAGGTCACACCAGTGGGATAGGAGTAAGCCACTCTCTGGGAAAGACCCGTCAACATAATTTTAAGAGGAGAGAGAGAGAGAGATTCTTTCAAATCACTGTAATGCAAATCAAAATTGCAGTACAGAAGATTGAGTGGGAGTTAAAATTGTACTGCTGGGTGAGTCAGTTTGCGCACTCGTCAATATAAGACTCAGAGGAAGAAGTAAGTAGACAGATATAAAAGCATGCATGTGGCCTACAGGTGGGCTCAGTCGGTTTTTTGATTGAACTGCCTCAAAAGTTCTCTGTCAGGACAAGTGGTCCTAGCGGGCCTTTCTCAGAGAGCACACAGTATGCACTACATGCATCATACAACACCAAACAAGAATAGTCTATTAGACTTAACTCTGTTATGCAAACATGACTAAACAGACTGGAGAGAAAAATGTCACAGCAAACAAGCTGAATGATTTTTTACTTCAAAAAACTGAAAAATAACTGAACTGTTTTCCTCGTCAGAAAACTCCTGTTTAATTCTTAGCTATTAAGCTCAATCCCAACAACAACAACAACAACAACAACAACAACAACAACAACAACAACAACAACAACAACAAAGCAATCATCACTCACAGCTACAGCCCCTCTATTATCCAGCCCTTTCTTAATCTTGTCAGAGGTGTGATGATGACTTACCTCTGGAAGATCCTAAGCGAGACAAGGAGGAGCGTCTAAAAGAAGGGTAGCCAAAGTAGCTGATGTCCTCAGAAAACATAGCATCAGCATCAATGATCACACTGGGATGAGCTGAGTGAATGTCTGCATCCAGCAGGGACATCAGGTCCTCTGAACAGAGCAGAAGCACAAACAGTTGAAGATGAGTAAAAAAATAATTGAAGTAACATGAGGCTCAAACTGCTGTAGGCCATTACAACATTTATCACTGCATGTCAGCTAATTTCCTTTCTATCCCATTGATCTGTTTCATTTTGCCGAACCTCCAGGGAGGTAAGACTCGCTGGCAGTATCGTCTCCATCATCTCCATCTTCGTCATCTCGACTCAGCAGGTTGTTGACTGCAAGGTTGACATCCAGATTTGTCCTTTGGAGTTCCCTTATGATAACACTCCTGGACTTCCCCTGAAGAACTACCTGGGCCTACAGGAAAGTAAAAACAGAAAGTGAAAACATAGTCCAATGAAGCGTATTAGTGAACAAAGAAAGAAAAAACACTATAATGTCTTCAGGAGGATGGAGAAAAGCAGAGAGATCTGTACCTGAGTAATCAGTTCTTCAGGGATGACAGAGGCTGGTATGACTGGCTGAGGCTGACTACCTAGAAGACCCGAGCCACGGTCCCTTCCTGTACGGATCACCCTGGTTTGACGACGGGAATCCCGAGCTGCTGTCGAAGACCTTCCTGATGTGCCTCCTCCTCCTCCACTTCCTCCTCCTGCTCCTCCTCCTCCACCACCTCCTCCTCCACTGCTGCCACTTCCTGCTCCGCTTCCCCCTGCTCCTCCTCCACTTCCTACTCCACTACCTCCATTCACACCGGAGCTCCAGCGACTCCTGTTTCATACAGTGCAAGGTCATGATCAGAGACAACTGGCAAATTCAAAATCTGGCTGTCAGAGCAGGCAGAAAACACACCACTATCTGAGAACCAAGGGATTCAGTCTTTGTGACATCAGACAAGATGCTTTTTAAAATATTAGAAAGGTACTGTTTCTTTGACTATCAGTAGTAGCAGCTGGTTTTAGATCAGCATATGGCACCCTTTGAGGCTTTCTGAACAACGACAAGTCAACCAGAATTCCTTCAGTTGAGAATCAGGCACTTGGTTAGTTGCGTGTCACAAATGTCAGCAAAAACGACTACACCTTCAAATTCAGGGGAGGACATTTGTGATTCTGTATGATGCCATTTGGTTACATATTCATTAGATTTTCAAAGCACCCTTCAGTTAAAGTCTTAGAATGATAACTAAGATAACCCCCCTACCACAGTGCTAATTTGCACTGAATAATTTACTTTGTCAGGACAATTGTTCTCTATCAACCCTACCAGAACTTACCCAAGGGTGTTGCCTGCCAGTCTGCCAAGTGTGTCAGAACCAGACAGGAACCAGGGTGGATCACTAGTCCTGCCTGGCCTGGAGCTCCTTCCTGTCCCTGAACCACTGCTCAACTTTGAACTGAAAACAAAAGATGGGAGATCAGTTACAAACCTAGAGAAGTCCCAAATAGGACCAAAAACTTCCAATCATTACCCAGGCCACTGAAGTCTAATTCACCCCAGGTAATTGTAAATCACACCGCTTGGTTCAGGATTAATTTTCTGTGCCTAATTCTTTATACTGAGCAACAGGAGGGGGTACTTGGGAGACTAGCATGGCAACACCCTTTTGGAATCAGAATTAGTTGCAATTCATCACTCCTTTGAGGTTGTCTTTCTTTGTCTTAGGGTTGGGAGCTGCTTCCGTTTACTAACTATACTCACAAAATTAGACTGATAACATCTGGATGTTTAAAACCTTTCATTACAAAGAACACTGAACCTTGCATGGAGATCAATACATCAACAGTAATACACATCAATACAGAGACACAGCAAATTCAAACCAACAGTTGCTAAGCTTACACAATCCCCCGACCTTTGTTGTCGATCAGAACCACATATTGTGTTGGGCATTGTTGGGTAAATTGTCAGAACCTGCCAAAGAAACCCAGAACAGTACACCCATAGGTACCTCACACTTGCAGGACTATCAGGGCAAATGACTCATAAAGCTTTGTAAAAACTCCACTGTGGGTTGATGAAGGTTATGGTGTGAATAAGAGGTGTAAATAAGGTGGCACTACTCTAAATTGAAACTGCGTGAAACTTTGGATGACAAAGACTCTAAACACACAGAATAACTAAAACTTGAGAAAGCAGCCAGCAGTCCCAACAGCTACCTGCTAGAGCACAGTTTGGGTTCTAGATCTGTGACTGAGTTTCAACTTTAACTCCTGATGGTAATGAAAGATTTTAGCAAAAGCCTGAGTAATTTCCTGACATTAAATACATGACCAAATACCTTTGCGCGACAGAGGGCACACTTGCAGATCTCAAGTCACAGCGACCTCCGTTAAAAAAAATGAGCATCTGTGTTTTGCACAGGTTATGTCTAAGAGAAACTTTCAAACCATCTGAAAAGTTCAAAGCAACAACACTTCCCATGACGAATGCCAGTTTAAAAGAGGACTCACCCATCACCGTTGTCCGGTTTGCTGAGCTCCAGGCGATCCGGCTGGACAGCAAAACTGATTCTACACACACGTCCATCCTGAAAGAGATGAAGACATTGTTTTTGAAACCACTCATTTGATGGATAAAACTTCTGAGGGATAAAACTATCAAAAAGTATTCATGGGAGCTGAGAAGTACAATGGCCTCTTGTGCGACCCACATCACTAGAGCTGACACCCTCAAATGATCACATATTACTTTCATAGGAAGCTGCATGCTACTTTTGCAGGGATAGGACGGAGACCTGATATGTTTTATTGTTGAGTGATACTGTCTCAGAGTCTGAATAAAACTTCTTAAGTCTATGCGTATATCTCTTCATTTAATCAACCTTATGGTTTAAGGACAGAAAGTCATTAGATACCACATCACTAATGAACTGACAGCATGTCAATAAAAAAGTTAGCAGTGTGGACGACGCAGAGGAGGAACATCAAAGAGTGTATTTTGAGGGACTGGGATTTAGAGCTGGGATGTTTTTTTTTCTTCTTTTGTATTCTTTTATTTTTTCCAAATGTCAGCTTGTGCCAAATTTTTTCTGTCTCAAGTAAAGAAGTTACCCAGTAATTGAGGCAGAGGCTCAATCAAAAACTCAGCAGAGACAAGGACATATCTGTCCTTCTCTCCCAGTCTTCTGCTCCATCACTGTCCTGTCGTCTCTAACAGAGGCAACAGTTCACTCTCTTCACACTTACTTGTGTAACATCTACATTCCAAAGCCCAGGAAGGCAATCTAGCCTAGACTTACAATCATGCTGTGCTCTCTGTGGGAGGGATGTGCATGACAGAAAAGACTTCAAGTCCAAGCCAGTGAAAAATTAAAAAAATTAAAATATCCTATTTTTTATCCACTGTATCTGTAATTAGACTCAAAGTTTTAGAGCAATGAACACACACGTGTGCAGAAAAAAAATCTGGCCTCAGGTTTGTGATGTTTCTGATTGTGTCTCTACATTATTTTAAAGCAGCTGGTATTCCTTGGCATCAGCTGTTAAATTCGTCCATATGTCTGCTCTTTTCTTTACCCTATCATGGACATTTTATCGCTTTAGTTTCATGACAAACAGAGTGCATTGGGTGGGTTGTGATAAATCATTAATGTTAATCCTGACTGCATCTCATCCTAACCCACACCTCCCTTGCACACAACTATGTCTGATTGCATTTCATCTTTCCCAAACGTGTTGTTTTTGTTAATTGAAAAATCTGTTAATGCATGTCCTCATGGGTTTTCATCCTCAAGCAACCACGTTCATGTCCATATTAACCATGTTTGGCATCAGTGTTAAGAGTTTTCTCAGCCCTACCTTACCTTTAAACAGATTCGTTAGTTATAACTTTAATTCCCATTTCAATGACCGGGAAAATAGTCACTTTGGAACATCCCCTAAAGATTTGATTGATGGATTTTGGGGAGACAGCAGTGAAATCAAACACAGAGGGGTTATTAGGCTCAAAATGTGCTGTATATGGGCATTACCTCGAGTAGAAATCCAGCATGGTTTGGACCCACAACACACTGTTTCAAGGTTGCCTGCTCCAAAAGACCAAGATGTGGATGACTGTATTGACAAGGAAAAAAAAACAAAAGACAAAGTTACTAGCACTGTAATGGCAAAAAAAAAAAAACATTTTTACAACCAAACACTTGAGTAGCTTACACCGTGTTGCCAAAAACTTACCTATTAAAGCTGTATTTGTTGAGTTTCTCTGAGACTTCACGGAGCCTAACAAGAAAGCAGAAACATACTTCAAAATGGCAAAACTCAACAGCAGAAGTCATAACTGAGGGCTGACCTACACAATTAAAGTAATTGCTAGAAGTGAAACATCTGCACTTCAGAGTGGTTACGACACATCAAAATGTATCATCTTAGTAGCTGTAAGAATTCAAAACCACATCATAACTCATTTGAAGCATGAGTGTTAATCCTGCAAAACAAATTTATAATCTGACACTGAAATGTGTGATGAACAGGACTCACTTCACCACAAGCATGGCAGCAAATAAGAAGGCCGCTTTTGTAAAATACAGCAGCATTCTCCATCATCAGTAAAACTGCCAGAAGTAGACCTAATAATGAATAACCATTCATAACAATTGAGCCTACACTTAGATTTTAAGCCCATGAACTAACAGTGTGCCGTTTGTCAACATCTAAAGGTAGTGGTCACAGGCGTCATGCTTCACCAACATTTTGGTGCACAGCCTCCATGAGAATGAGATGTGTTGTTTCTCGTGTGACCCCAGCTGCTCTCTCTCTTTAGGTTGATGGCTGAAGTTTTGTTTGAGGTTTTTCGAACTTTTAAACACTATTAAATGTTATTTTAAAAATAAAAAACCTATCCTTTTCAAGCATTTGGTATGAATACAATAGGTATTACTAATTTTAAAATCTGGTATGGGGTATGAAGATACCTATTCCCACGTATGAAACAGACTTAAGAAATTCAGTGTGGCTCTGACTCAGGCAAAGCAACAACAAAACAAAAGTAAAAACTTCATATAAACTCAGACACCAGGAGTATGGGGCTAAATCTAACACCATACAAATGTGCACACACAAAAAAGTAAAAGATGCAGGTCCAGCTCTCAGGACTTAAGGAGTTCTTCCACACATTTATAGTAATGACTCGGTGTTACCATTTGTCACAGGGCAAATATCTGCCACTTACAGGAATAACCCCCCAGAGATGCTGCAGCGGAAGAGATGACTTTGGTCTGATGTTATCAACATTAAGATTAACATCATCTTTACTCCTAAGATACAACAAATCAATTCAGAGGTATTAATAAGGGGAAGCAACTGTCTTATGGGAGGAACTGTACACCACTTGAGCAAATGTAACCTTACAGGGCTGCACAATTTTGGCCAAAAATAAAATCCCAGATTTTTTCTCTGAAAACTCAATTTTCAATTTTGATTTTTTATTCGGTGACAATTTCACCAAACTTCACTCTAAAAATAAAAAGGTTTTCTACCATCTCTCTAAACGAAACCACTGAAAACGATGTAGTGCATATGCAAAGCCAGTAAATGGCACTGTAACGCTGCCCAGGAAATGCACAAAAGACAGAAGAAGAGTACACAGCATGCACATAAATGTTGTTTCGGCCAGACATGCACAGGCGCCATAAAAGAGTTACGCTGTTTGTCACACAATTGTGTCAAGACAGATGCAGATGGGCATCCACACAGAGATGAAATGGTAGTCGTTTACAGATTTATGCTCTCAGACCCATCCTCAAACAGTACCATTTACAGACACCCGAAATGCCATTTCCGAGTGGATGAAACGCTGATACGACAAAATAGCGTTTACTCTTGAATTCGTTTCCATGTGGATGGGTTTAAAATCGATTAATCGTGCAGCCCTACTTTCGAGTGAGGTGTGTGTGTTTTTATTTGGTATTTTTGTTTGCACTTTTCATTAATTGGTCTGCCAGCTGATTACTAACAAGTTAAACCGGTCAGTAATGAGGCACGTTTTACCATAAAAACAGTAAAAGAAGGAGGAGTGCAAAGAACAGCAGAACATTTGCTTTCAGACGTGATTTCTGACAATAGGTTATGTTAAAGGTAAAAAATAAGAGTTGATCTTATCAAAATTGCTGTGTTATATGGCACGGTTCGTTTCTGCTCATCATCTAGTTTTTTCCTGCTCTTTACCACAACAGTTAACTTCTGAGTATGTACTAAACTCACACTTAAGGATGAGCATTGATAAGATTTTATCGATATCAATGCCATTATCAATTCTTCTTATCAATTCAATCCTTTAACGATTCCCTTATCAATATCTTTCTTCGTATGAAAAAAAGTAGACTATAGGTTTTTACTGTTAACTTAAAATTTTATTGAGTCTCAGATAACAGAAAAAGATGTGTGCCACCATCAGTGAGAGTCTATAATTATTTTAACAAAATGCTATTTGTACAGCATTCCTGACACGCACTGTGCTTATGTTACCACAGGACGTATGTTAAGGTGACTATATTCTGAATCCCCCCAAAAAAGGACACTACTACTTTGCTTAGAAGTGAGCGGAGGGGCAGAGCTGCAGAGAGCACTGATGCGCTGCACTGTTCTGTAATGAATGGATACATATTCCGGACATTTGAAGGATTTCATAAACTCCTCACAGACAGCCCCCCAAAGGAGGACATGTCCGGGTAAAGAGGACATATGGTCATCCTATTATATGAACCTTCCATGCCGTGCTGAGACAGAGCAGCAGCGGCTGACAACCAGCGGAGAGCATCAAATACATGTGACTCCTTGTATTTGATGCTGTACCCCGTTGACAAATGTTTAAGCATGTTGCTGGTGTTTCCACCTTTGCATGCTCGGCAAACGTTGCACTGTTGTCGTCTTACTTAGTAAAATTAAGCCACGCTTTAGCTCGTTTCTGCTTACTTTTCGTACCATCTGCTATATTTTTATCCCTGTCTCTGTTCCCGTTCGTTTAGAATGGCACTCGTGAGACCGTTTTTCAAGGCACCCAGAAGAAAGGAATTGTTTAGATGAAATGTAAATAATGTCGATGGATTGAACCATTTGGAACCGGTTCTCAACAAGAACTGGTTCTCGATTCCCATCCCTACTCACACTCCTCCTGCTGGTTTCTGTCTGTGCAAAAACACGGTCTCGTAGCTCCCCAGGAACAGCTGTACACAAAGTGTGACAGACTTGCGTCCTTCTGCAGGCTAACCACAGATAATCCTAGCAAGCTGACACAATTCCACTGTCACCTCTGCCGTCTCTCTGCTACAAGCACATTCACCAAAACAAATGACTGGCGTGGGTGACACAGTGGAAGCTCCTGTTTTTGATGTGAAATCAGCTTAGATTATAATGCATCAAGTGATCACCACATTGTCAGTCTGACATCAGACAGAATTATTCAAGTGTCCCACTCCAGCCAGGACTTCAACAGCCATCAAAATCAGTGCACACTGGCTCTTGTGTCCGTTTGCGTTTAGTGTGTGGCTGCTGAACATATTCTCATATTTCATCAGGTCATGATCTATTTCACTGGCACAGGACATCATTGAGCACAAACACTGAAACATGGTGGTCCAAGTGTGCAGTGCTTGGATCTTCATGCTGATGGTCCTGGTGATGATAGGAATAGAATCTAGCAGTCAAAGAGTGCAGTTCAAGGACACAATTTCAGCACTTCAAATCAAGATTGTCATAGGTTTCCAATTTTCATGACTTTAAATTTTAATTAACTTTTGGCTTTTTGTTTTCTCTTTAGTTTTGGTTCATTTTTAACTTCAAGTTTAATTTTCAGTTTCGCTTTTGTTTTTTTGTTAAAAAAAAAAATTTTTATAAATTTGGTTGGTTTTATTTGTTTTAAATTTTTGTTACATGGGATTCTTCTCAAGGGTGAGGCATTGTTATGAAAAACTCAAACATCATCTTATCTGGCTGTGTGTCTTGTCAGAGACAAAGTTATGTTTAAAGCAATCCATTTATAAGATGTTTATTACCTTGAATTATATCAGAAGAAGGTGAATTTTTTCAGGTCTTCACTCTGGTGGTGTGTAGACCTGATTTTTCTGCTTTCACAGAAACACCCCTCGTAACAAAGGCAACTGTTAAGTTAAGACAGCAGTTAAGAGAATATAGAGGGTCCTTTATGCTGTCAGGCTGTGAAGGTGGCACAGAAAACAGCCAGACAACACAGCTTTGGCTTTTCTCAAAAAGATAAGGCAGATCTTCAAACTGTAACTTTTGTACAAAGATGGTAAAAAGTCTTTGATCAGAAGCACGCTGCACAGACTTTCAGACCATGCAGTGTTTGTTTAACAAATGTTCAGCTGCTCAGGGTGTCATGACTGAAACATCTCAGCCTCAGTGGTTCAACTAGGTGCTTCTGCTGCTTCTGCTCCAGCCAATCAAAAATATACTAGATGGGGCAGGACTGGTCACCCAGGAAACCAGGAAAGCAACTATTATGGGAGAGTTTGGCTGGTTGTTGCCAGATTGACATTAGGATCAATGGCAAGCTGATCAGGATAAAATCATTAAAATAGTGATTAACAGGACTGTTCTGCATCACTTGTGCAGGCTTTACAGACAGAAATGAACAATTAAACAGCAGCAATAAAAAAAATCATTTTCTCTGTCATTTTCTCTGTGGATGTAAGGCTTTACAGTAGCCTATGACATATGCATAACAACGATAAATATATGTGGAGTGAAATGATGCTCCCTGTAGAGTTTGGAAACACTCGTAAATAATAAATGGGCTCCAGACTAACTTTTCTTAATAGGAGCACAGTGGCCCCTAACTCTAAATTTTAGGGCCGCAGGCAGGAAATTTGGGAGCGCACACCAAAATCGACTTGTAATGTTTTCCTATCATATACACTGTACTACTGACTTTGACAATAAATGCAAAAACTACAAGCTTATAAACTCATTTTATAGTGCAATGGTTTTGACAACATAAACCAGTTATACAGCTTTAAATCCCACTCAGATCGTTTTTTTTAACTGCTTGAAGTGTTCTCAATGGTCTTTATATTGAGATTATTAAGTTTTAGTCCAAAATTGCATTACCTGTATTATTTTGTATGCAATTGTTGATCTGTAACTTTTTGCTGCCTCTTGGCCAGGACTCCCTTGAAAAAGAGTTTATTAATCTCAATGGGACATTCCTGGTTAAATAAAGCTTAAATAAAATAAAATAAAATACATTTTCAAGGGCTTTTCTTCTGCAGAGCTCCAGTAGCTCATTAGCAATTCATCTCTGAGTTGTGGGCGGAGACAGCACTGCTCTGCACAGCCCTCTTTACACTGGCTTGCAGCCTAACACTGCTGGTGTAGTAGAAGTAGCAGGTTACATAGGAGCTATTCAGCTCTCAGACACTAATGTCTTAAGGGACATGATAAAAGTTAGTTTCATAATCAGCATTCTTAAGAGCATTGCAATCTGCTAATGCACACACTTGTTCAGCCATTGTCCTATTTCTCCGAATGCAAGTGTGTGTCTGAACCTGCTGTTTGGGTCCGCCAGAGGTTGAGTTTTGGCAGAAGATTTATCTCCTGAACATTATTTTTACCATGAAGAAAGTAAGAACTGATAGTCCTCTTCGTCGCCATTGTCCAATGTTTACAAAGGATACCGGTATGTGAAATCTGTGGATTCGCACAATAACCCCAAAGACTCGCCTCTTTTCACACATTAACCTATCACAGTCGTCATTCGCCTCCCCGCTCTCACACACATTGGCCAGGCTTCTTCTTTTTCTTCTGTTCTTGTCTCCTTTCTTCTTCTTTTTGAGTTGGCAAACCAGCTCATTTTTTGCATTACTGCCAACTAGTGGGCTGAAGTGTGGAGCATAAGTTTGTCAGCAACAAAAAAATAATAAATGAAAAAAGCTGGCAAATTTACTGGTCACGCATGCGTGAGAAGATGAAAAATTTATCGCACTGTCTCCGATGTTAGTCTCAAAATGCAACCATTTGGTCGCAGTCTGGAGCCCTGTAATAACATTTCTCTCTCACTTCTCTGACACCTTTTCAGACCATGCAGTGTTTGTTTAACAAATGTTCAGCTGCTCAGGGTGTCATGACTGAAACATCTCAGCCTCAATGGTTCAACTAGGTGCTTCTGCTGCTTCTGCTCCAGCCAATCAATCATATACTAGATGGGGCAGGACTGGTCACCCAGGAAACCAGGAAAGCAATTATTATGGGAGAGTTTGGCTGATTGTTGCTGCTGAAATATTTGGTGGATGGTAGGAAACAAGCACAGATGATAAAAACAAAGGGACTGTGCTAGGTTACAGTACAACATGGCAATTTATTTTTTGTCCTGAAAACTCCTAATTTATGTCTTTGTGAGGATTGTGAAAATATATAAAGTCACTGTTTACATATTGTCAAACATCTTGTCTACACATATGGAAAAAATAACCAGAAACTCTGACACAGATTTGTTGCCCTGTCTTTATAGTGTAACCTTTAATTATGTATGTTACGCTGCCAGCTCCAACACTATACTCCAACTCTACCCACTGCCCCCTTTTCTCCCCCCAATCTGCCTCTGTCACTACTTCATAATGCCTCCTGATACTTTGATGAAAATATCCAACAATCTGTTTGCACTGATAAATGCTCCTGCCAGCAGGCTGACACCTACTCTTAAATGCTGCTCAGTAAATTTTCTTGAAATATTGTGATATAACCTGAGGCCACGTCGCCATCCACTGCTTAACATTATCCAAATACTCCATATGGTGTTTCAGAAGAAAACAGATTGTGTTCAATAAAAAAGTTGATTTTTATCTGCAGTCCCATACATTTCAAAATATGCTTTATTACGAGCTGTTATCACAGCACCCCGATAACGTGATAGACTGATATTATGGTTAGCATACAGTCAGAATCTACTGGCCCATGTCACTCCGGACACACTGATGGGATCAGTCAACATTAAATGTTCAGTCTAGACAAAAACAATTAGTTTGAGCAAAAACTAAAAGGCTGGAACAAATTCGTTAGTGAGTAACACAATAATAGAAAAGACTCATTAGCGGTACCGATAGAACTCAAATCATTTCCAAGTCTCACCTACGATATCAGTATTGATAAAAATTACTGATCCTCATACCTAATTATCATAGCCACAGCCATGAGATTTAAAGCTAGTTGACGCTTGAAATGAAGTGGACATGGTTGAACACAGCTTCAGAGAATTGACTGAGGTATTCAGGGGAGTCCGATCCAGGAAGCCAAGAAAAAACTCACACTATACCAACTGTATTTACTGCCATCCCACTGACTGTTGTTTGTCAAAATCTTAAAGCCTCAATAAGACATTTCTGATAGTTTCACACTGCACAGAAGAAAGATAAACCATTGTTACTACATGAAAAGAGCTGCTCATCATACACTCTTGGTAGACCTTAAATTAGTCATCTGACTTAATCTCCATGCTGACCATTTTTATCAGGTCAAACTGAACAAAGACAGGGGCAGCTACATGTAGGGTTTGACAGGGGAGAGAGGGATACTCAAACGTTTCTATAGTTGTATTCACAACTCAAGTTCAACTAATAATTCAGTCAAAACACATCAAATCCTCAAAGCTCCACAGATTACATGGCTATGTGCTCTTTCCTTCTTGCTGTTTAAGTGTAGGGTTTCAATTCTATCTCTTTCTCAGGAAAACATCTTAAGCGTGCTCCTGCTGATGAGAATTTCAGCCCTTTTTAGGGATTCAGATCATTTGACTTAACAAGAAACAGCTCTTTCAGCTCCCAAAAGTACTATTTTGGCTCTCAAAAACCAGCTTCAGTAGTTATTAGCCATCAGCACATGCACATGTTACAGAGTCCATATGGTCACAAATTTTGTGGGGGCAGTTTTGAAAAACACAATTCCACGGTGCAGCACAAAATAAAGATAAAAGAAGACAGTAGGAGCCAAACCATGTGGCCTGGGGTACAGAAACTTAAGAGTTTACAGAAGTATTAAAGATAAAATACTGCAGCAACAACACTAACCTTCGTCCACACATGACCAGACACCATTCTGATCAGCCACTACCAACAACGGCCAGGCCTGTTACACAGAGCCAGGGCATGCTGCGCCAACAAACACTGGGTCTCATTCATGAAATGTTGGTAAATTTATGTGCCGATTTACACAAAACAAGTTCCCAGTATCAAATATCATGAATGCAGCAAAAACCTGAGTCTGATTGTAGGTTTGTGAGTAAGTTCATTTAAGTTCATGAATGCCAATAAATCTTTAACTGTCAGCGGACTTCTACGAGTTACTGGTCAGCATCATACCAATCTGGATTTCTGGCCCTTCAGCCCACCATCTCTCTTACCCTACCCTCAAACCAGAACAACTTTGCGTGCTTATAACAGACAATAAAAAAAAGTCAGTATGCTAAATTGATTGGCCCAATGGGGTCACCAGAGTTTGACAGACTATCACTATCTGTCAATAAAACTTTACCTGAGGAGTTGTCTGTGAGGTCAGGTTTTACATAGCTCAGTTCATCAAACATGATGCTATGTCAGGACAATTATTTGGTCAAAAAAGTGACTTGCATAGGACAAAAAGTTGGCATAAATCACGTTGGTTGCAGGTTAACTATGATAACTGTGAAATCCTAATCTGGTCACAGGAAATACTTTGCAATTGTCCTTATTTTGTTAAACCTATGGGAGATAGAGGCAATTTCTGTATCCATTTCTCAGCCTGTGTGAAGACCAGGATCAACCAATTATTGTCATTGACATAATCAGCATCATAGCAGCGTCGGCCCTTACAAAGCCAATTACACTATCATCTTTTCTCAGTGAAAACATGTAAAATATATACAAACATCGTGTATATTAGACGATAATCAAACAAAAAATCCAACACAATGTGATATCAGCAGTCTATATTGACCACCTGCTCTCACATAAACGGTATCAGCCACTAAAAACTGTAATTGGTCAACCTCTAGAGTATACCTTGACAGCAGAGCCTTAAACATCATGCTCCACTGCTGGAATGCATCATTTGTGAAGCTGGCGAAATATACTCCTATGGCGGTGGTGTGAGCTAACACAAACAGACATTTGAGCTAAAAACCTAAACACAACACACTAGCTGGAGTAGTTTGTTAGTAATTTGATAGTTGAGTTTGTCAAGCTAAACCTACCTGTCGCTTCTCAGAGTGGAGTGCTGTGGAAATGTTGATTGGTGTACATGTGTTGCAAGATGTTATGTTTAGTTCTACATATTCTACAGACTTAAAGTCATGAGTGGCTCGTGATTAATCTATATTAAACCTAAATTACAGTTATGGCCCCCCAAGATTAGAAAAATCTGATCATCATGACTGGACAATTACTGTGCCACCTGCCCTACTGCACTTCTTTAGTCCTGGAAGACAAATGACACGCACCTCCCCCTCTGCCTTTACAGCAAAGCATGTGCTGTGCCCCCTCCCACAAATAGCTCTCACTCTCAGTTATTATTAGCTCAGATTGATGTGCAACACGGTTTCAGCATGCGGGAAGCTGTGGATGCTGCATGAGTGAAACCTGGACAGCTGTATCTTCAACATGTTGTGCTGCAGTAGCACAAAATATCATGCACACACAGGTAGAGAGAGGAGAGCAGGGAGTGAAGTGAAAAGTTAAAGCATGGACCCTTTTTGCACTGTCAGAGATAATTTTCAAGGCAGAAAGATCGACGTGCTGGAAAACAAAGTTTAAGTGATTTTTTTTTGCTTCTGTTCTTAAAAAAGCTCAGAATTTCTCAACTGTTTTTTACTCCCATAAATATATGAGATACAGGTATTAAATCAGGGATATTTAGACCAATTATCTTAAAAGACACAGCCACAAGAATGATCATGATTTTGATTTTTACTTGTAATCCAGCAGCCTTACGTCACTCTTACCAACCAGATTAAAACGTGTGCAGTCCATAATGACTCATAGATAAAGCTACAGATGTTTAAGGGTCTCATATGCATTCTTATTGAAAGGGTTGACCAGCCAAATAACATTGGGCTACTACCTTTTGTTGCTTGTGGCTTCTTCTAGGGTGGCTCTGTGGTATCAGGGAATGCACCCAGTAAATAGGCACACCCCCACATATGTGGAAATAATACTGACCATGATTATGTTCTTAATCAAGTACTTTAAGAAGAAATTTGCCTTTTGGCAGAATCTCAATTTGTTGATAAATCTTGAAATCTAAGTGTTGCATCCTGCTAGTTTCATCTATCAGGTCAGTATTAGGAATCAAAACACTCTGCTTGAATCTGTATCAATGTCAAATTGCATTATTAGGACAACCCTAGTCTATGGTACATCAACTTTGCAAAATTCTTCCCATTATAATATAAACATTTGGAGCTTACTTCACAATAATGCATTAATCTGATCATGACTCTGTAAGGTGAGAGTATGCACTATGGGTGACCCTACCCCTAATTTTTAACAGGGATGAGCAGACCACTATAAGTGATAGCTACAAAGTAATTATTTAATAATAAAAAAGAAATAGAATCTTGTGATAATTTCAAGTATTAAAATATATGCAAAATAAAGTGCTTGATGGACTGTCTACTCCCAAAGTTCCCTTAAAAAACATATATATTTTAAACAACATTGTCTTTTGTGTAAAATGTGGCCTTATTCTGAACTGGGTTACAATAGAAGAATGTATTTAAACAATAAATTCATAAAGGATGATGCTTTCCCTCACAGCACAGTTCTTGAAATTGCCCAGATTTACTGTTAGTAATGTTGTGTCCAGGTATTACGGAGGTATAACCTGAGATAGGACACCCTCCCAACGCCTGGACTCCTGACCAAAGTGGATCACAGGATTAACTGAAATGCTGGTCTCAATGCCGCTCTATACATTAAGGGTGGTTATGGCTTCAGTCCACAATACCTAACACCGACAAAGTTACATTACTGACTGTGGCATCTGTATTCAAATACATACTCCCCCCTGGGACACAGAAACAGGTCTGCTTAAGGAGCCTGGCCGCGGGTTCGCCTGCTCGTTACTAGCTCTAGGTTAGCCGCAATGGGCTAGCAGTTCTTCCTCGACAACGATAAACAAGAACTTCCTCCATCGTCAGAGGGACTTAACAAAACCATAACCCTGTGAATACGACAAAAACGTGGTAATAACTCCGACAACCGTATTTTCACGGCTCCTCTTTCCCTCCTTTTCCCCATCCCCCAACCCGCATTGTCTATCTCAGGTTTGACTGTGAGCCAATCCTTCCGGAGAGCCGAGGAAACAGCTAGCTAGCTCCCCTTAGCTAGTTAGCAGTTGGACCGATAATTCAGGCAGCTAGCAGGAGGCTAACGGGGACCTGATACTAGTGCTGGGCCTGGATTCACCGACTGAGAGTCTTTCAAATGAACCAAGACACAAACACGAGCCAGCCTTCAGAACGATCACAAACGCCATCTCTAACCCTGTATATCACACCAGCACACAGCCACATATGATTATTCAGCCTTACTGTGGGCCGACGTACCTGTCATTGAGCTGGTCCTCGGTCCCGGGCAACGGGTGGACCACGAAGTGTATAGATGTCATGGGGTCAATCAAAAGTCACCGGCTTGCCTATAAAAATGTGGGAATTGTTGCTCTTTCAATCTTTCTGTCTATGAGGATTCATAGCACTCGTGTAATGGCGAAAAACCTAAACTTAGGTCCCAGGTTCATCACACACATGCCGCCATCTTAACTCTAGCCAGCTTCTTCCCAGTGTGTTGACCAGTGCACATGCAACCGCTCCACTGATTGGATCAGAGCACAAACAGGAACTCGGTTAAATCGAAGGGGATTGGTCAGTAAGAGGAAAGCATGACGGCTGTTATCAGTGATGTTATAGGCTTTCAGTCTTTGTCTCACCCGGTCCAGCAGATCTATCTTTGTTACCGCCACAGTACATGTTCAGGTTTCAGTAAATTCTAACAGAGGGAGGAGCAAAATTGAAGTCTTTTAACTCGGTAACTCGATTAAAAAACCAAGACCAACTGTTTTTAAAGAATAGGCTAGGTCAAATACAGTCCACCTACACAGTTGTTCCATATTTTACAGTCAGTGCTAAGATGAAATAGTCAGTCTATTTTTTCTAATTTTGCTTCTATTCATTTCAAATTAAAACTATGATCTATAAAGTATGATAAAATAAATTCCCAATATCACTGTGGATGGTAATTCGTATTTGACAAAAATCAGCCCTGTGGGACCTATACGTGTGTGTGTGTGTGTGTGTGTGTGTGTGTGTGTGTGTGTGTGTGTGTGTGTGTGTGTGTGTGTGTGTGCGTGTGTGTGTGTGTGTGTGTAACAAGCTTTAGAGAGGAGCTGTCTGCTTTCAAAAGTGATACTATAGTGATTTCTCTTTATCGCTCTTACACACACGCACACACACACCTTATTTCCCACTTTCCCTTAAATTATAAACAGAAAAGTCACCCACACATATACACACACACAGACACACGTACACACGCACCCACTTGTGCCAAGGGTGCCTCACCACCACCACCACCCATCTCCACCCCACGCTCGTATAACCCGTTACCATGACAACAGGGCCCAGAGTTGCTGTAAAGTTTTACAGCACAGTGTTACAGGCTCAGCCTGTGACTGTATTATGTGGGAGGGGCTAGGGATTACGTGGCTACGTCAGCAGGGCATTCTGTATATTTGTGTTCGGGGTTCGATCAGGCAGGCATACTGTGAAACTGACTCCGTAGCCACAAGTGCTGGATCATATGTACAGAAGTGCTGGAAAATAAAATGGCAGTTCTTCCAACGTGGTCCCAATCATTTTTATATTACCTCAACAAGCTAAAAAGAGAGCTGTCCAAGGGTGGTCCATCTATTACGGTTCGAGGGTCTGCCAGCTCAAGTTTAGTAACACTGGGGACTTGTCCAGGATTGTCTGAAGAGAGAGAGAAATCAGAATGAAGCTGGATTTAATGTGCAGTGGATGTGCCGGGGTGTAAGGAGCTGAAAAAGACTCTGAGCTCACACTGACACAACCATCTGGACTGAGAGAGAGGATCCCCACACTGCGGCCAGGTCAGTTTGATGGGACTGGTGCATGGAAAGACTTCATCTACGAGTCTGAGAGTTGTGCTAAAGCCAATCACTGGAGTGAAAAGATTATGGCTGTGCAGCTAATGTTCAGCTTGACTAGGGCAGCTGTGGCAATCATCCACAAAACTCAACGGTCGGCTCAGTGGAGTTATCAGCGCATTGTGGAGGAGTTTGAGGCTGTCTATGGACCCTGTTCAGGGTATGCTGCATCTGTTGGCATAGAACTGAGACAAAGAACCAGAAAACCCGGTGAAAGCCTGCACACACTGAGAGATCACATTTATGAAAAAGTTTAAATTGCATATGCTGACCATGGAGAGTTAGAGCAAAGTGAATTTGGTGTGAAGATATTTACCAATGCCCTGGCCGACGCTGAGCTGGTGCAGAAACTCCTGGAGGAAAAGCTGCGCACCCCGGCGGAAGCCTACAACATAGCTCGCAGGTATGAAACCACCAAAAGGGCCGCACAGACAGTTGCACAGCTAATGCAGTCAGGTGCTGCTAATGCTAATGCTAATGAAAGGAAAACAAGAGCAGCTACAATACACGAAGATGATAGTGGGCCCCACTCAGGGGAGCCAGAGAGAGTGGCCATAGGGCACACTGACCAACCAAGATCTCTCCGGCAGGGGTGACCCCACAAAACTGACAGCCCTAAAAAAAATAGTCTTAGACATTGTTTGCCACAACTGTTCTGGCATTGGACATTTTCAGAAAAATTGCCCCTCCCCTCGCCAGCCCAAACGGACTGCAGCCAATGTCATGCCAGCTCCTGTACAGGCCCCAGTACCTGCCCCAAACACTGTGACCGTGAGTCTTAGAAGCCAAGAGGAGGAGGAAATGTGTGTGCAGGTGGTAATTTATGGAGTAAAAATCTTTGCCTCGTGTCGTCACCAGTTCAGGACTTAAGGTGCACCTTGTTAAAGTGGACCGTGCTTGAGCCAGGGCATGAGTACATTGTGCCTGGCACCACACACCTCCATCCCACTGGTGCTGGTGAGCCCATGCTAAGCCCTGCTGAGAGCATCGTCAAAAGACACCATGTGCTTGTAGCCCATGCTGTTGTGCAGACACGACAGGCAGCTGGTATCCCCATCAGTTTTCAACTCCGGCACCACACCCAATCTACTAAAAAGAGGGACTGTTGCCGGTGTCCCCCAGCCCGCCAACATGCTAGAGGAGGCAGGGACCTGCCCCTCCAAAGTCACAGCAGCTCCTGATCATGTCCCCAGCCACCTGCAGTCACTGTATGCTGAGAGCTGTGTGAACCTGCTGGAAGAGGACCGCTGGAGGCTGGCTGAACTGCTAACATCTTACAGCGATGTTTTCTCCACTGGGCCCACCAACCTAGGCCGCACCAGCCTTGTCAAGCATGACATCATGACCACAACAGAGCCTCCAATCAAACAGCAGCCCCGCAGAATGACCTGAGATAAGCAGGCTGCAGCAGACCAGCTGTTGTAATAGAACCTAGAGGCGCACAGTCCAGCAACAGCAGCTGGGCAGCACCGTTTGTCATGGTGCGCAAAAAGGACCAGAGCCCACGCTTGTGTGTGGATTACAGATCCTTAAATGAGCGCACTATCAAAGATGCATACCCCCCTGCCACATATACAGGACACTTTAGACACGTTATCCACTGCCAAGTATTTCACCACGCTGGACTTGACATCAGGGTATTGGCATGTGGAGATGACTCCCAGAGCCTGAAAAGCCACCATCTTCTGTACCTGCAAGGGGCTTTTTGAGTGGAATGTGATGCCGTTTGGACTCTGTAATGTGCCATCCACATTCCAGCGGCACATGGACAGAGTCCTGGTGGAGCTGCAATGGGAAACATGTCTCGTCAACATCATCGTCTTAGGGAAAGACATCACTCAGATGATAGAGTGGCTCCACCAGGTGTTCAGCAGTCTCCATGAGGCCAACTTAAAGCTGAAACCATTAAAGAGCTGCCTGTTTTGAGAACAGGTTGCTTTCCTCAGACACATTGTCTCCACCAGGGGCATCACCACTGACCCAGAGAAATTGAGGAAAGTGGCTGAGTGGCCCATACCAAGGAACATGACAGAGGTGCGCCAGTTCATTGGTTTGGCGTCCCACTACCGGCGCTCAGTGGAAGATTTTGCCACCAAGCCAAGCTACTGCATGAACTTACAGAGAAGTATGCATGCTTTCACTGCATAGCTGAGTGTCAGGGTGCATTTGAGGAACTAAAAAATGACTCAGATCAGCGCCTGTTCTGGGTTACCCCCTTGACAGTGGTAAATTCTTCCTGGATCCTGATGCAAATGACTGGGGAATAGGAGCTGTTCTTTCCCAGCTGCAAGGGGGAGAGGAGAGAGTTCTGGCGTATGGCAGAGAAGGCTGTTGTCCACAGAACAAAACTACTGCACCACCAGATGTGAGCTCCTGGCAGTAGTAGAATTCAGTAGTATGAACATTTACTGAGGAAAAAAAAACTGTGTTGTTATTTTCCTTCCTCCAGAGGGTCCCTTAAGGATGCATATTGCTGGAATGATGTTAAGGTTTTAATCACTATCCAGAGTAGGGGTAGTTTTACAGGCTCAGCCTGTGACTGTATTCTGTGGGAGGGGCTAGGGATTATGTGGCTACGTAAGCAAAGCATTCTGGGAAAGTGTGTACATTTGTGTTCGGGGTTCAATCAGGCAGGCATACTGTGAAACTGACTCCACCGCCACGAGTGCTGGATCTTATGTACAGAAGTGCTGGAAAATAAAAGTGCAGTTCTTCCAACATGGTCCCAATCATTTTTATGTTACCTCAATGAGCTAAACTGAGAGCTGTTCAAGGGTGGTCCACCTACTACGGTTCGAGGGTCTGCCAGCTCAAGTTCGGTAACAACAGAAAGAGACCTGAAACTCCCACCATGCCTCTGTTTTCTGTGAGTGTGTGTGTGTGTGTGTGTGTGTGTGTGTGTGTGTGTGTGTGTGTGTGTGTGTGTGTCACTGGCAGATGAAGAAGAAACAGAGTCCATGTCAGCACAGATTGTAATTTCTCCGTCTCTCCCTCTCAGAAGTTGTTTTCCTTAAAAACGAGTCTCGGGGGAATTGAGGCATTTTTCATTGAGCGCATTATCAGGAGCACACTTTTGTATTTTGGTGAGCAGCGCAGCCCGGCGCAAGTACCCCCCCTCCCTAACCTCCCAGTGGCATAAGTTGTAGAGAGGGAGGGGATAAGGCGTGGAGTGGATTTAACATGACCTGTCTTCGCCAATCACATCAGCTCCTCTCCGCACCTTTAAACCCGCCACCAACAAGACGTATTACAGTTTTCATGAAGTGGTCAGAGAGATCAAGAGATGGCTGAAGAAGGCAATACCACACAGCGATGGCGACAGAAGGCAGCCCCTCAACAAGTATCGCTGTAAGCGCTGCGGAGGGCGTCCTCCACACTCTCAAATAAGCACAGAGGGATTTGGTGTGTGTAAGGTTGGGCCCTCTGGTGAGACAAACATCCTTTTTCACAAAAAAAGACGTGTGTCTATTTCCTACATATTTAATTTAATTTAATGCGGCTTCAGCTGTGTTAATTCGGTCAGGTTGAGTGTCTAAACGCATGCCAAATGCGCTCATCAGATCAGAAATAGATCAGAATACATCTATAGATCTAAATGTATTTGCTGACTTAGAATATTGGCTGTTGTTGATTATTTATTGCACTGAAATGTGCCTGACACTGTGGAAACCTGCCGGTAAGGCATTGGTGACGTATGCTGATACACCGCCAGTCTACCAAAATACCACTAGACCAGCTGCACTCCACTTGGGCTAAAAGCTGACCAGGTTTGAATCGTCAAGCTTTCAGTGCACTTTCTACACCATTGGCGAGCACGAAAATATCACTGTGCCAGCTGATTCTGTCGACACCTCCCCCTACCGTGCCACCGTGCCCAGCTTGGTGGACCTCAGTGCGCCTCAGTCTGCGAAAATACCAAACTGTCTGTGCGCCGGGCTCCACCAGACGAAAATACCACTGCACGGGGTGCGCCACCCTCCACCGCACTGCTGATGGGAACGAAAATAGATCCCCAGGAGTCATGCAGCTCATGGAAACCCTGAACTCTGACGCACTGATGGCAGCTGTCTTTGTTGACATGATTCTGTCTACTGTACTATGAATGTCTTAGTGCTGAATTCTCAAAAACATCAAAACCTCATCTTAAACTAACAGTACGACTGTACCAAGTCATTATCATTAATATTAATTTAAAAAGGGAGGCAAAAATTACTAACAGCAGCTTCAATTTCAGTAACTACTTCCAGACACTACTAGACCAGAGGTGGAGCAAACTCGGACCATGTTGCTATAAAAACTATAGCTATATAACTATAATTCACACTTTACTTTAAACCAAAATGAAATATGATTTCATCACAATTTTTAAAAGGGCACATTTTCCATTTAAAAGCGCAAAACTCAATTTTAAAGGTGATCTCTTAATCAAAAACAACAAATATTTGTGCAATCCATGAACCAATTAGTGGAGAAAATGTCTCAGTAATCAAGCCAACTGTCAAAATAGTCATAAACTGTGGCCCTACTTCAAATTTAAATAGTATGATATAAAGATGAACATCTACAGAGCAATCAAATATCAGGAGAAACATACATGAAGACCAAGAACCAAACCTGGGGCCTCATTTATAAAGCTTGCTTACGCACAAAACCTGGCTAGAAAGTGCTTATGCCACTTCTTACGCAAGAGTTGGGATTTATAAAAGAAAAACTAGTGTAGGAATGTGCGCAACTTTAAGCAAACTCCACACCTTGCTTACGCACTTTTTGGAGACAATCGGAGCAAGGTGAGAATAGTCCGGGTGATGCGTTCAGCACAACGGATGACTCGATGCAGGGCCTCTCCGTCCTGAGAGCTGCAGCTGCCGTACCAGGCAGTGATGCTCGCAGAAAGCACAGACCCCACTGTGGCGGTGTAGATAGTTTGCCAATTTGAATTTACAAATGTGCAAAAAAACAAATTCCATTTACATGCATTTGTTTTAAGATTAATATGACTAAATCTTCTTGGTTTACAAACTTTCACCACATAAGCAGCGGTGGATAACAGAGCAGTTTCTTTTTGGAACACATGGATGAGTGTCACACGTGATTGTTTTTTCTGATCCTCACCTGTCGCCGCCACGCTCCGACGGTGCAAAGCCACTTTTTTCTTTGCCTCCACCTTTAGATCAGACCACTTCTTGATTTCGGCACACTGTTGTTTTCGCCAACGTCATCGTCAACGAACACAAAACTCCACGTGTTTGCGCGCGCGTGCGTGTGTGTCTGTGTGTTGGAGGAGCACAGCAAGCTGATGAGAGCTGTCAGAGCAGACAGAAGCTGCTCCTATATGTTTAGCGTTTAACTGACAGAGTTTTGCAACTCTGTCATTTTCGTCTCGTCCCATCAACGTAAACGCACTTTCGTCTCGTCACATTTTAGTCATCTCCGAGTTATGTTTAGCTCGTCAACGTTACGTCTTCGTCGTGGAAGAAAAGGGAAATATTTTCGTCAACGAAAACAGCCAGTGTTGTACTCGTTGACGAAAATATTTCCCTTTTTTGACGCTGGCGTTGACGAAAATATTTGACGAAATATGACGAAAACAGCACTGTTTCGGCAACGCTGCGCTCAGTGCCAGCCGCAATTACCGCCACGGCAACGGCGTTTTTATTGGTGATGCCACTCGAATGGCCGCCGAATAAGGTCTCCCGTCTCGCCGCCACCTCAATTACAAGAACCTCCACCTCGGTCTCTGAAAAGTTTCTTTTTCTACGACTTGCTGATGCCATGGTTAAGCGTGAAATGCCATGGATCCATCAGGCTTATTTATATGCAAATCACATACATGGTGAATTTTGGGTGTGGAGAGGGCGGGGAAGAATCAAATCCCTGCTGCGCAACTTTCCGGCTGGTCTGTGATTTATAAAGGGAAAGTGCGTGCAGGTGTGCGTAGGCAGGGTTTTATAAATCAGATTTTTTTTTTGCCTACGCACTTTTCAGCTTTTCAACTTACGTACACTTTTAGTATGGATCCTACGCCAGGTTTTATAAATGAGGCCCCAGGGGCCTCATTTATAAAGCTTGCTTACGCACAAAACCTGGCTAGAAATTGCGTACGCCACTTCTTACGCAAGAGTTGGGATTTATAAAAGAAAAACTAGTGTAGGAATGTGCGCAACTTTAAGCAAACTCCACACCTTGCTTACGCACTTTTTGGAGACAATCGGAGCAAGGTGAGAATAGTCCGGGTGATGCGTTCAGCACAACGGATGACTCGATGCAGCCTTTCTGTCCTGAGAGCTGCAGCTGCCGTACCAGGCAGTGATGCTCGCAGAAAGCACAGACCCCACTGTGGCGGTGTAGAAAGTTTGCCAATTTGAATTTACAAATGTGCAAAAAAAACAAAT